GTTTGAGCAAGTAGATTAGTACATCATAATTGCAAGTGATTTGTCAAATGTTTCCAGGTTTTAGAGATTACAAATATGTAGTTTACAGTTTTTGTCTTAGAGACATATAGCAGAATTGCCATTTCTCTAATGAGCCAATTCTTCTGGAGTTTACAACTCAATTTTTCTAATTTGCTTTGGGTTTAAATGTAGGTTTTGAATGGCCATCTTGAGAGCCTAATTCTGTTTCCTATATTTAATGAGAGCCCTCTCAGGAATCCATTTTATATACAGCACACTTTGTGCTATTGTGCTCTGTTGATGGAATGCCTCCTCTGCTTGCTCCCTCCCATTGGTACCATCACCCAAGCACTTTTTTCAAACCATTTTCAATACCACCTGGCAGAAATACTAATACTGGAGTGTTACCAGAAGAATTATTGATGTCGTTTTTCATTTTAGCGCCCCCCCACCCCCAAATAAATTTCTGCAACCAATCTTCCCTCACAGAGATTGCAATATAGATCTTTGGCAGGAAGTCTACCAAGAAAAAGTGATTGTTCTCATTTTCCCTGTTGTCCAGACTTCAGGTGACGGTAGGTCAGACATTTTCAAAGACTCAAGAATTCCTTGAATCTTGCTGTGTTGAATGCTTTAACATTTTATTAGATAAGATAATGCTAAGACAATGGCAGATCCATTGAAAGCAATGAATCGATTACTAGCGACAAGAAGTGATTTGAATCTTTAGAAACAGCATACTTACACAGTGACTGAGAAGGAAAAATGTGTCGTGAGTAAATATCTCATGCAAGGCATGTTTTATAAATAATACCAATAAATTACTTGGTATTCATCTTTTGTAGAGTTGGAATAAAAGTTCAGGAAATTATCATTTCCTGTTCTTTTTAGATCACAGCATCAGGAATAACTATTGTGCTCCCGTGTGGAAGAATATTTCTGTTTAAGTGATAGCGTGTTCCCCTTAGGTGCCTCCATACAGTGCAATTCCCACCTAGATGTTCTGTCCCAACTTTCTCTGGTTTTTCTCGCCCTTTGTCTCTCTCTGCTTTTCTAATCAGTGTCTCAAATTATCATTCATATTGCTTCCAGAACAGTCATTCTGAGGGGCAAATCCGATTTATTCCTTGTAAAAATATTTTTGAGTAGGTCATTTTTTCAGGGCAAAATGTTAAACTCCTTTAGCATAAAGAATCTAGTCCTATCTGTATTCAAATCAGTATGCTGGGTCTTTTTGACTCTTAAAGCCCTGCCTCCTCCAAAAATTGTAATTCCACAGTTCTTTGCCTGCAATGCTGATTCGCTCAATGCTCAGTGACCTCACTGCTGCCCATTAGGCTTGGAACACAGCTCACAGGATGGCGTGTAGCATGACTCTTCTTTCCTCCTTACATGTTCTCCTTTGGTTCTTCTCTGATCTTTTCTCCAAGTATCTTCTGCATTTTTGATTTTTAGACAGAGTCTCACTATGTCACCTTGACTGTCCTGGAACTCTCTATATAGACCAGGCTGTCCTCAAACTCACAGAGATCAATGTGTCTCCACCTCCTAAGCACAGCATAAAACAAAACAAAACAAAAAAACAAGGCAAAGCTAAACAACAACAACTGCTTCATGAATCATAGTGTACTATGTTTATTTGTATGTTTACTTAGTGTCAAGGCCATTGTTCAAGGCCATTTTGTAATTTACTTCCCATCCTGTGTACTTAGCAGAATGTCTTATAATTTGTAGCCAGTCAAAGAGGTAGAATGAATAAAAATGTAGATCATATGTTCTCAGAAAGTAAATGTATGGTATGGTCATTTGCTTGCCCTTATTTGGGAAATTAAGTTTAAGAAGCTGTGACCAAGCTGTAGGATATAGAGTTAAAAATATTTTAGAAAATCATTCATCAAACAAACAAGCAAACAAAAGAACCCAATTTGTCCCCTGCACCCACATCTGATGGCTTAAAATTATCTGTAGCTCTAGTTGGAAAGGACCTGATACCCTCTTCTGGCCCGCACCTTCCATGGATATATAAATACATATTCACAAAAATTTAAGCAGCACTCTACACATAAATAAAATAAAATATATCTTTAAAAAGATTTTTAAGTTGTGTGCATATATGCCTTTAATTTCAGCACCTTGGAGATAGATCTCTGTGAGTTTGAGACAGCCAACACTCTTACACAGGGAAACCCTGTCTCGAAAAAAAATTGGGAAGTGAAATTTATAAAAATACCTCAAGTACATATAGTAATTTTATCAAAATAAGTAAATTATACAATAGAATATGCTTTTACATATTCTTATTTGATAACATGTTGTATTGGTTATTTTAATTTAAAAATTAAATAAAGCAGTACTAGTTAGAGCTCCTACAGCTGCAAGCTTCTAGAATTTATCTTCTAGTATTTAGTCTTTCTCACATCTATCAAGTCACATGACCCAATGTGCTGACTATGTGGCTTTTGTTTGAGTGTTAAGTTACTGATTTTGATTGAATGTGAGTTTTTAAAGACTGAGGAGAATGTGCAAGCTAAATTACATTACACTTCTCATGAAGGTAATATGCTTGTTGGACTATTTTTTTTTCTTTTTTGGGCTGACAGAGGCAAATATGTATAGACTGCTTATTATATATTTCTTAAAATATATATTTATTATGGAAAATTTCAAAACATAGAAAATCCAGAACAATGTTTTTTTTTTCACAGAAAATATCTTGTAATTTCATTTCTACCAAAAACTAGACACTTCTGAAGCCAGGTGTGGTAACACACACCTTTAATCCCAGCACTTGGGAGGCAGAGGCAGGTGGATCTCTGAGTTCGAGCCCAGTCTGGTCTACAAAATGAGTCCTAGGACAGCTGAAGCTACAGAAAGAAACCCTTTCTCAAAAACACAAAAACAAAAATCAAAAAATTTAAGTGGGCACTGTTGTGTTTTTAATGTTTTCCTATCATAATTATATCATATTGATTTATACTATTTTTCCTATTCAAAGCAGGCATAAATGTATCTGCCAATTCAGTATAATTGTGTAGAAATTACAAGAAATTTTAAGTATCGGGTAATCTCCAGAAAAGTAGAAGGTAACACCAACCACACTACTCAAATAGATCCATAAATCTAATTTCTCCATGCTGTGGGAATGAGTCTTTCACTGTCTACAATTATAAAGAGATATCTAAACTAGGAAATTTATTTCCTTCAGTCCCCAAACTATGTGTTAGATGGGTTGAATAGAGAGGAACTATACTAGAATACAAAAATTTAAGCCCAAACAAATATCATTGATTTCTTCCCCTTGGAGGAAATGATGCTGTTTATACCGTGGTAGAGTTTGTGTTAGGTATATAGTAGGCTGTATGTTTGTGTGAGGCTATTATGTTCTAATACTCCTTTGGATTTTGTGCTTATTAGACATTTCATGTTGTTACAACTCTCCAGACTTCAGTTTTTAGGATTTTTTTTTTCTGTATGTACCAGGTTCTACAAATTAAAGCTGGTTTAAAGCTGTTTTATTGGTTTTAAGTTTCTAACCTAAAGCACTATTTAAAGTAGTTATTCTAAAAGTCCTTGGATAAGGACAATGTTTTTGCTGAAAGTGCATGGTGTGAAGATGCCCTTGTGGAGGTGTCTGGATATCCTCTAGTGCTACTCAGTTTCCTATCATTAGACCCCTTTTAATTCTGAGCATCATTAGGATTTTTATTCCCATCTCTTTCTTTTCTAATGGAGTCACTCATTCTTTGGATTATTATCTGTCTTTACCTACACCATTCTACTAGCCTCTTACCATATGCATTATTCTACTGAATAAATGTTCCCCATGCAACATTACCATCTTCATACAAATGTTGAAGCCTCTGGAGAGTTTGCTTTGCAGCTGTCATTCAGATTAGAAATATCCACAGTAAAGTTGGCAGCATTTCGTGCTCCTTCATTTCTACACTATGTTAATCATTTTAACCTTTCTTTCTTCCCCTACTACACATTGTTGGGGTAGATTTGATTTTGCTTCAACCTTCTTCAGTTAGCACTTAACTTGGAAAGTGTTCATCATTCCACTGTTCAAATGCTGCTCTTCGCTCAAAATTCTTATAATGTTCATTTCCCATTCAAAGCTGCCCTACTACAGGAGACTCCACTCTCGGGTTTGCTATATGCAATATGCATATTTGCTATATTCAGTATGATTGAAGTGTTCTTCCATGGTGCTCTGAGAAGCCCCCTTCTCTACTCACCACATTCTTCATCATTGTTGGGTGTGTTTTGTTTATATCATCATTACTATATTTATTGTTATTTTTCACAAGACCATGAGCTTCTTGTGCCTTTCATTTCTAACTGCATAGTGCCCAGTAGGAGAACATACCAATTGCCTGACCACTGTTTACTGAACTGAAGTTAATCAGAGTGGACAAACAGTGAAGCGTGTATTCATATTAGTAGTTAACTTCGTATGTAATCCCCATCTCTCGAGTATTTCAATGCTTTTAATGATACGAGACTTGATTGTTAAAATGCTTGATAAAAATCAGGATCACGTTGTGTACCTTCTAGTTATTTCAGTGTCTCATACAATATCCTAAAAACATTATAGATAAATTTGTGTGCGCTGATACGTTGACTTTTGAGGAAGGAAATAGTTGCTTAAGATACTGACCCTGTTTAATCTTGACCTATTCAAAATGCAGATCTAAATGGGAAGTTTATCTTAAGAATGTTAGAATATGAAGAAGCTATTTTCCTAAGCAAGCATTTAAGACAGATATATTGATGCACAGTATTTAAATTATGTCCGCTAATAACCTCACTTCTTTCCTCACGTTTGAGAGTGTGCTCTTTCTTTTCCTTTATGTTGTGAGAAATCCATTAAAGTAAGTAAAGACATGGAGCCTTGCTCCACCTCTGAACTTCCCACCCAGGACCAGATTTTCTCTTTGATATCTTTTTCATTGTTGTCAAAGGTTGATATTTACACTTTCTCTCCTTTCAAATTCTAGCTCCTCCACAGTTTGTGGTTAGGCCAAGAGATCAGATTGTTGCTCAGGGCCGGACAGTGACATTCCCCTGTGAAACTAAAGGAAACCCACAGCCAGCTGTTTTTTGGCAGAAAGAAGGCAGCCAGGTGAGTAGGGGCATAACTGCTTTTCTGACAGCTCTGAACCTGGCTTCTCAGTGACCCTCAGAGCATACCTCATCTCCCCTGCTATCAGTGCTCACTGTATGTTATTTCTGAGAAAGAAATGATTCTAAAATAACTGGATGTCAAGTGTTCCAACACAGCACTCTTTATTTGCCAGTGTTATTTTTAAAACCCTGTATCAAGCATAAACTAGAAATAAAATAGTTTGAACCCCAACCTACACTGGTATTTAAGATTTCTGATGGCAAAGGTCATGTTGCCTTCTTGCATTTGGTTGCATGGTATGATTAAATGAAGTATCTCATCTAAAGTGCCTAGCATCATCCTTGGCACATAAGAAATGAAATGGCTTTTTGAAAATTCAATATTAGAGGTCATAGAATACAATTTCAAGCCCCCCTGTCTTGGGCAGTATAAAAAGATCATAAACTTATGCACACTTCCATTTAAAGGTGGAGGAACTCTTTTCTTCCCTTTTCCCCTTCTGGATTTCTTCATAATAAGATTGGACAGGAAACAGGACATTTTATACAGGAAACAACTCTCTTGTTTTGGCTGTGATCCTTCTGGGCAGAAACATATCTCAAGGTGTTTCTGATATCTCAACTGGACACATTAATTTTTTCAAGTATACCTTAGATCAAATGTGGACAAGTGCTTCCCTTCTAGGTTGAGGCAATACGAATTTCCATCTTGAAGTATATGGGAAATTAGGAAACTTAGACTAACAACATGTCTGCACATTCCTCGTGAAATGAGCTATGTGTTCTTTCTGAAGGCTCTACAAATAACAAGGCACACACTTCTCAAAAAGAAGCATTGAGTGCTTTTCCTCAGCATGTTCTCTTGCTACTCCAACTTCTAAAAGAAATTTGGGGGGTGGGTAGGTAATGGAAGATATCTAAATGTCAACAGTTGATATTGACATGCTTTCTGAAAGCTACAAGAGGTGAATTTCTCCTAGGAGTTCATTTCAGTTTGTTTTTTATATTTATATTTATATTTTATTTTATTTCAGTTATTCAGAAATAAAAAAAGTTTATTTCAGATTGAATTATAAAGCATGGTATAAGAAAACATGTCTTTTTATTGATTAAAGATAACTAGAAGTTAAGATAATTTCACACACATACAAGTCACATTCTATAATATAGCTCCAGGACGAGTCAAAATATACACTGGTAGTCTGGTTCATGAACAGAAAGTATTTAACACAATCATCAATGGTTTTGAAAAGTAATTATTGAGAGAATTTCAATATTCCTCCTATATTGTTTGACAAAGTGAAATTTTCCAGAGATTGTTAATAATGTTACATAAATTTCTTTTTAGGTATATTGATTTGCTTAGAGTATTAGATATACTTTTATTTCTTTCACCAATATCTCTTCCATGGGAGTGAAGAAAGAGAGAATAAGAGATTAATAATAACAGTGAAATATTTGAACAAACCGTAAATTTCTATTCAATGAATTGAGATATATCAAAATAGTTCCATTTTCCTGCTTCTAATATCTGACTTTTATGGTGATCTGTCTCTATCCGTCCGTAGAAAGAGCCAAGAGCCTAGACTTAATGGTCCATATTCCTCAATATATGCTGATAATGCCAATTAGTATTAATAGGATGCTCAAACATTTCCAGGGCTCTGCAGAGTTCCTGGGCTTGGCTTGTAATCCATTTCTTTTGCCTATGTCATACAACCTGGGAATATAGATGATGGATTAAACTCAATCAAATGCCACTTTTCATGTCAATGAATCATTTAGAAGGTGGAATGATATTACACTGAAGAGGAAGAGATCCTGGGGACAATTAGCCCATCTGATGGATTAGTGCAATGTAAATTAGTAGTCTAATGGCTAATTGTTGGAAAGTGCACATTGGATCATTTTCAATTGCCCTTAAATTTTAGGCCCTTCTCTTGTATATGTTTTATATCTGTAATATATTTGGATTCCACAGGAGATTTGGTTTATTCTCAAATTATCTTTCAAGTGTATGAAAATGCCTAGTGTTGTGTAGTAATATAACTTTGGGAAGAGGGCAATAGCATTTTGAAATTATATTGCTGACATGCTAGCAAACATTGCTCCTTTTAGACAGCATTTAATAGCATGGTAATGTTTATGTAAAGTGGGCTTATAGTGTCACACTTGAATCTAATAAAGTGGACATCCATCATGTTGCAATAAAGAGAAGAGCTTCTAATTAAAGTAGGACATCATTTGCTGGATTAAAGTCATTTAGCGTAATTGAAAAGTGTTAATACCCTATTTTATCCTCTTCCACTGGCATTACTTCAAGGGTAAAAATATTTTAAGGTGAAAATGTGTCTTGTGCCTTTAATTGAATGTTATTACCTCCTGATTTCAACTTATTGAAATTGTTTAATTACAAACCTGGAAAATTAATTACTATATTGCAAAACAGATCCCAGAGCGTTCGAATGTTCTTTTTTGTAAGTAAATACAACATAAAAATTGATATGTCCTTATTTACAATACAGCTAGTAACATACCTCAATATGATTTATTGTATCCACATGTTTTTCTTAATTGAACAACAGTAAAACATCATAGGTCATCCAAATTAATGATCCTGTTCTCATAGAAGAACTTTAAGGACTTGTGTTTGGGTTGTCTGAGGTGTGTGACAGGCTTTAATGGAGAGGGTAGTAAACTGCTTTTAAAAGAAAGTAATACTGTGAAGGTCTTAGGGTTCATGTATACTTTCAGAGTCATGCTATAGCTTCTATTATTTTAAACAACTTACTTAACCTTGCTTAAGTTGTATCATTTTTTTCATAGCTCTTTTGGAAGCTGCTACGACTTACACAGAAAACTTATAATAAAAAAATGAAGTTAGCCTTGATCAGTCTGCATTATACACTGTTTGGGACTTGTCCTGAAATATTAAAGTTGGTCAACACCAATGACATTTGGCATTGCTTGTCACTGTCTAGCTTAAGCTACCTCTCTACTTACCATTACAGTCAATGTCCTTACAGTGCCTGGGGGCCTGGTCATAGGAGGAGTATTTTGCCTGTTTATTTTAAAGAAGTGGTAGCTAAATTTCAAAGCTGAAATATATAACTAGTCAACATTAGAGAGTAAATGGTTGATATATATAGTTATGTTCATGACCCCAATTTGGTCAATATCTTGAAGATCTCTGTGTTAAAATATGATACTGTGGACTATAAAACTGTAAGAATTATGTCCAAATCCAAATTTAAATGTAAAAAGTGCTGAATCTTAAGAAGTACAGACAATTGTTCCTCCAGCTAGAACATGCTGACTTTGTAGCTCACAGACTATGACTAGGAAAATATTTCCCAGTCAAACCCACTGTGATGCATATAATCATTTCAATACCATGTGTTTTTAAATCTATAGGTTTTATTTTTCCAACCATATTCCCATAGTGGTTATAGTTGTTGTTAATGTGATTTTCCTTGTGGATGGAAAAACACTGAGGAGACTGTGTTATTATTTTTCCCCCCACAGAACCTACTTTTTCCAAACCAACCTCAGCAACCCACTAGCCGGTGTTCAGTGTCACCCTCCGGGGACCTGACCATCACCAACATCCAGCGTTCAGATGCGGGGTACTACATCTGCCAGGCCTTAACGGTGGCAGGAAGCATCTTAGCTAAAGCGCAGTTGGAGGTTACCGACGGTGAGATTTCATCACTTGAGTTCTTTCATGAAAATAATAAATTTTATTTCCATACCCACATCAGGTTTGGAGAGATTTTTTGATTGGTTGAATCACTTGCATCAATGCCTATATAAGACCTTTGCCTAAGTAAATATATTGCATTTGCATAAGGAAAGCAATATCTGTTAATAGTTTCTAATTCTCTCTGATTTCAGACCACCCATCCCCTGCAAAATAGAACCTCAAAGACAGCTATTTAGATCATTAAATTTACAGTTGTGCATTATTTTAAACAAATGATATGACTCATTGTGTTTACAAATGTAATCTGTATATTTTCAGTGAGTGTTTTCCTGGCATGACTGCTTCTAATGGATATTAATACTTTTATTTGACTGGAGGAGTAGGAAATATCATCTTTAAATATCATCACTGAAACAGAAATGAGATTTTAGTTAGCTAATCACATTATGACATTCTTCCAGCTTTAATTATATATTCACTAAGTTAAATTAATTAAGTACATTCTGAAGTAGTGATGAATGCTAAAATTATTTTTTTTTACTTGCACATATGTACTACTTTGAATTTTAATTTCTAGTAAAAGTTGAGAAGGGTCTGATTTTTTTTTTCATCAGTAGTTTATTTATTGCACTTGACAGCTTGGGGGATTTAGATAATGTGTGATCTGTGAACATGAATTTTTCCCCTGTTTTTGAGGTTTTAAATTAAGAATTACTCATTTTTGTTGTATTTTTGTGAGTTTTAACTTTCTTTTTGGTCTTTTTTTCTTCTTAAGCATAGTTTCTGAGATACAGGGTCTTCGATCTACATGCTCTCAGATTTTCTTAATTTTTTACTGGTGAAAGTCACTGTCCTTTCCTATATTCCAGATTTACATGACGATTAAGAGGCCATTTGAGATGAATAGAAAGATAATATCTTTTAATATCTGTCTATGGCAAGGCTCAGTTTAGCACTGTGTCAGGAATGGTGTATGTCTGGGTAGCACAGACAGACACTGTCTAGGGAGATGCTGAGGCTATGGGCTGCATACCTACTGGTGCTGCAGAGAATTTGCTGCTATCAAACTGAAGGAGAAGCCCAATTCAAGGGTAACTATGATGAGCAAGTCTTCCCTAGTTGGCAAGAACGTTGATTCTCTGGGCCCCCGTATTTCTTTAGCAGAATAAAAGATAATGATTTTTAAAGTTCTCATGTTTTGTATCAGAGTAAATGTCTACACACATATTTTTGGTAAATAAGATATTTGGACCAGATTATTTAATATATTCTTTTAAAAATATATATTAAATATATTTATATCTTTAAAAATGTCATTAATTTATTCAAAGTTCATTTTTTCTGATTCTCCAACTTTTTTCCTCAAAATTAAAAAAAAAAATTGTAATGACCACTCTATGAGAAGAGCCAATAGCATTTAAAAAGCCTATAGAAATAAAACATATTTTACACCTTATGTTGACAATAAATGCCATCCTGTGGTCTTATCTGAATGTTTTATTAAGGATTTATAACATGTAGTTAAAGAAGACCACAGACTTGTTCACAGATCAGTGAAAACCCTAAATGTTCATTTAACCTTTGACTTCGGTGTCATGGAAAGCTGTGGTCATCTTCCAGACATAACATCCCTGGAACTGAAATGCCTTCTAGCCAGGAGCTTTTCAATTACCTTATTGATTGGAGTCATTCAAAAGGCAATGAGCTACTTATTTAGGTAGTGAAACAAAGGGAGGGGGTAAATTCTAATTAGTTGACCTTTAGTTGTATCTAATGATGTTAGAGATAGGACAACAAAAGCAGGTTTTAAGAAATTACTGGAATTCTACATAGCTGTTTAACTTGAAACATATATGCCACAACATTTCAAATTTGATGAACACATTTTACTCAGGTAATGAGGACACATTTTCTCCCGCAATTATAAAATTATTTATAATGTTTTATGGCTTGGATTTATCTTGAAAACCAACAAGCCTTTCCTTTAAGCTTTCATTTGTCCAGTTATTGCCAGATTTGTTACAATTGCTATAATGTTCTACACCCTTATTCAATTAAATTATTTTATTTACTTCTAAACATAAAAAATTAGTAAAACAAGATGTTGTAATTTTGGTTTGTGCCAAGCAGATCATTGTGTTCTGATTTCTAGTAGGATTTTAGTAATTGGAATCATAGATTCAGTTGCTCAGGGGTTAGAGCATCCTCATTTGCAAAGACCTATGTCCTGCCTTTAGTTAAGTTACAACTGTTTGATTCTTATCAAGTACTTACATATAAAATGAATGTAATATAATTTAAGTAAGATACATACATTACATACATATATTTTATATACATCTAGATACACATGCATGTTTACATGTACAATATAGAAAAATAAAGTATGCAAACTTTTCACAATTAAACAAAAATCTTTGATGTCTACCCTACTATAGATATTTCCTTGTTAAAAGTTAATTTTTTTAACTTGAGCTTATCAGTTTGATTTTGGGGAAATCTGGTGAATTCTTAAAGAAACACAATATTCAACTAATTTTTTTCCTTTGAACGATTTATATAATGTCATTTTAACATCATTATATTTTTTAATCATTTAAAATATTTCTTAACACACGGACTACTTTGATATAGGATAATGTTTCATAAGCAAAAAGGCATACTGCGCTAGATCTTTGTGAAATTATCTTGAATGTAAATACTGATTGTGAGTAAAAAAATGAATTTTGTCATGCCCAGCATTCTAGTTGACGAGTGCATTCTTCTTAGCTGTGTTCACCTACTCAATAAACTCATTGAAATGGCACGACTATAGTTTAAAGACCGAATGTCACAGTTTTATATATAAATTATTTAAGGTTTAATGTTTTATCGTGGACAAAGACACATCAGCCTATGTAAACATAGCACCCGATAGCTTCTATGAGTACGTAGTAAGTTATATAATCCACATGTGTTTAAAGCAAAGGGCAAAGACAAAGGTTAGCTTTACATGCACTACATCACATAGATTTTTTTAAAAAATATATATCTCTATGAGCAATAAATGAACAATGTATGATTAACAGCTAGAAGCTATCTGTATTTTTATTTTAATTTCAATGTGACTAAGCTCTTCAATACAATTCAACCTTTCTAAAATGTCAAAATATATCCTCAGATCATTTTAATTATAATGAATGTACAGCAAGTTAAAATAATAGTCTGGTCTTCGTGCAGTATATGTAGGTGTATGTTCACTGTATACAGATGGAAAATATACTATATATTTAAAAGGCCAACTACATTATAAATACCAGTAAAATGCTTTAGGTGTTTATTATGACTACTCAATGTCAACATCTCAAGACTACTCAGTGTCATAGAACTCTAAATTTTCTGAATCTGTGTTTATCTTTTAGTTTTGACAGATAGACCTCCACCCATAATCCTGCAAGGACCTATAAACCAAACACTTGCAGTAGATGGTACAGCGCTACTGAAATGTAAAGCTACTGGAGACCCTCTTCCTGTAATTAGCTGGCTAAAGGAGGGCTTTACTTTCCTGGGTAGAGATCCAAGAGCAACAATCCTGGAACAAGGAACCCTGCAGATTAAGAATTTACGGGTACGTAGGATTTGGCTCCTCATCTTATCAACAGCTTTGCTCTCAAGAAAACTTGCACAGTGTACTGAAAAAATTCTGACATTTCCACATGATTGTTGTACATTTTATGATAGGTCATGTTATTTCTTGGCTTAACAATGATTAATTGAAATCATTGTCCTTTCATTATTAACAATTTCACACTATACCTAGAATCCTTTCACTTGTGTACCCATATGCATGCCCTTAGTGAAATTAAAAAATTTTATATATTACTTTAACTATTGTTGTATGTGTGTTTGAATGTGTGCATATGTTCATGTGTGCACTTAGAAGTAGAGGACAACTTTGTGCCTTCTTCAAAACACTCCCACCATGGTATTCCTTTGGACAGAGAGTGTGGGGAATGGACAGGGTCTGTCTTGGGACTTGAACTTAGTAGAGAAGAGCCCCAGGTAACTGCTCTTTTCTATCTTCTCAATGCTGGAACTACAGATGCACAACACTATTTCTAGATTTTTAAGTGGGTTTGGGAGTACAAGTCAGGTATTCATGCCTGCAAAGCAAGCACTTATTGACTTAGCTCTCTTTCCAATATTGGGACTATAATTTTTTTTCGAGACAGGCTTTTTCTGTGTAGTTTTGGTGCCTGTCTTGGATCTTGCTCTATAGACAAGACTAGCCTCCAACTCACAGAGATCTGCCTGTCTCTGCCTCCCAAGTGCTGAGATTAAAGGCGTGTGCCACTATCACCCAGTCAGGACTATATTTTTTTTAAAGATTTATTTATTTATTTTATATACACATGAGTGCTCTATCTACATGTACACCTTTATAACAGAAGAGGGCATCAGATCCCACTGTAGACCGTTGTGAGTCACCCTGTGGTTGCTGCGAATTGAACTCAAGACCTCTGGAAGTGCATCCAGTACTCTTAACCTCTAAGCCATCTCTCAAGCCAGGGCTACAAATCTTGAACAGAAAGTTTAGGATAGTAGCAGGTAATTGAAATCATTTGACAGTAAGTAATGCTGCTAAGTTTACTCTCACTATCAAGGAAGACTGTGAGATTGTATGGGTAAATTGGCTCAGCCAATAATTTCAAGAAAGGAATAAAGGAATGAGACTGTTTATATAAGGCATATTTGGATAGTTGAACAATGTCCTTAGTTTTTTATTTAGGTTGCTACAGATTTTACATTTACACCTGTAGATGAGATGAGTCACTGGTGTTTTCACTGAATGTCCATGAAAAAGAATGACAGTTCCTCAAAGTGAGATAAGTTGGAGCTATATCAAAGGTGACCAAAGCCAGTCTGTGATTCTAAATGTTGTTTGAATTTTCTACTAATATTTAACAGCATTTTCTCAAAAGCAGTGGTTTAAAGCAATCCACAGTTATTTTCCCACAATTTCTAATTTTAAAAAATGAATTAAAAGAATGGCATGACTTAGCTAGGACTTCTGCTACAAGTGTTGTAGGTCTGTGATAGTCTGTTGTGGATATCGCTCTATATAAATAAAACACTGATGGCCAGTGACCAGACAGGAAGTATAGGCGGGACAAGGAGAGAGGAGAATTGGGGAAGGAGGAAGAAGGAGGGAGAGACACTGCAGCCACTGCCAGGACAAGCAGCATGTAAAGACGCCGGTAAGCCACCAGCCACATGGCAAGGCATAGATTTATAGAAATGGGTTAATTTAAGAAATAAGAACAGTTAGCAAGAAGCTTGCCATGGCCATACAGTTTATAAGTAATATAAGCGTCTGAGTGATTATTTTATACGTGGACTGTGGGACTTCAGGGCTTGGTGAAACCTGGAGAGAAGCCCTCCAGCAACAATAGTCAGTTAGGATTAGGGGCTTGCCAGAATACAAAGAGAAGATTGATTTACTTCCAAGCAATGTGGTGTGACCGTTGGTTGCCTAGAGTTGCTTAGGATGAATAGATTAACTATCCACCTTCTTTGAGCATTGTCTGATGGTAGCCTCTAGTCTCTTGCTTTCTGGGTCTTCCTGATATGAGTGCTTGTATCTTCATAGGGAGCATGAAAGCTGCCAATGAAGGTGAGCATTTCAGTTTCGTGGCACTAAATCTCAGACATGATATCTGAAACCTTCAGTTATGCGATTGACCAGAAACCAGTCCACAGGTCTCATCTCCACATTAGTGAGGTGAAGGATTGCATAAAAAGTGAAAGTCCGGGACTGTTATTAGGAGGGTTACCTGTCCACGGCTAACATCGTCCACTCACTCAACTATGTATAGTAAAGCTACCCACCCCCACTGCCACAGTTAGCAGAGATGGTAGTAGAGCAACCTTTTAAAATAATCACAGTCCTGGTGATGGAAGCCAGATGTGAGATAGGTAAAAAGGTAATATATAAAAATATAATCATTCAGTGGAAGAACAATTAGTAAAATTTGTTCTTGGGCAAGAACTCAGAAATCAAGACAATGAAAAACGAACAACCAAACAGAAAATGTAACAGAGCCAGCAGGTGAGGTGACTCAGTGGGTGGAAACACTTGCCACCAGGCCTGATGACCCGAGTTTAGTCCCTAAGACCCACATAGAGAAAGGATAGCAAAGAACTGAAGCTGGTAAGTTTCCTATGAGCTCTCAACAAGAGCCTTGGCATACATATGTCATATATATAAAAGAGATGGATGATAGGTACTTAGATAGATGATAGATGGATAGATGATAAATAGATAGTAGATAGAAGATAGATGGATAGATGATAGGAAGATAGATAGGTTGATGGTAAGTAGATAGTTAAATAGATGATATATAGATAGGTGATATACATACACACACACTCATATGTAGATAGTTAGTTAGATAGATAGATAGATAGATAGATAGATAGATAGATAGATAGATAGATAGATAGATAGAATGAAGATAATACAAATTTGCTGAATCTTGAAAATCCATGTTCAGAAGTCAGGGAAAGAGGTAAAATATTTTGCTGCACATTTTCATGTGAAGGTGATCCTTTTCTTAGGATGCAAGGTATTTACAATTACACATCTATATGGTAAGTTATCAGTGTACTATACATATATTTACAAAATGGAAGAATAATCATAAACTTTAATACATTTATATATAATCTTAATGTTATTAACAAAGAAGTAATTATTCCTCCCTTAAAATCTCTTTTCCCCCTCACACATAGACACACATATAGACAAATTTAAATCTAGGTTCCATATATGAAAGAAAATATGGAGTAATTGTCTGAGCCTGGCTTATTTTGCTTACTGCAATGATTTCCATAATTTTAAAGAGGCTGTCATTTCTCCAATGTATGTTTTTGACACATTTATTAAAGATTAGGTGGATATAGTTGTGTAGGCGAAAAATATTGCCAAGTTCTGTCAAAGGAAAATAAATTAACATGGACTCTTTTTAATATGCTTTTTAAAATTCTCCATGAATTAGCTAATTTTCTTTGAACAAAATGGAAGTTATTAAAAAAAATTCAGAACAGCTCTCCTTGCGTAAACATTTTAACCTCATCTGAGATAAAGGCAGACTTGGGCCATGAAGGTTAATGCTTTTTCACTGTATTGTTGCATTAAAGGATGTGTGTGCATGGATAGTCAAGATCTCTAGGAATATAAGAGAGAAGTAATTAAAGGTAGATGCTTGGTGATGTCAAGCAAGCTTTGACTCCTTGCACAGGTCTTTGAGTAGCGTCTCTAAGATGCCATCCCCAGGAGGCTTGTTTATAACTAACGGTCCAAGGAGAAAAGGGGTGACATAGTGTGCTAACCTATTCATTTCCTTTTAAAGAAATTGGTCAGGGATGAAAGGATAAGGAGAGAAAGAAAGTGAAGCACTCTTGATCAGAAAACGTCCTATCTAAAGTTAAAGCACAAAGAAAGAACATGGTGATGGTGATCATAGCAACACAAAAGTGAGGCTCAGAAGCTATTTGGGCTTTTGATCGGTTCCAAATTGAGCACATTGTTCTTTTTCTGTACAATGGATGCTGCAAAAGGAGGATTAAGTCAGGCTTTACCACTTCACTGGTATAGTCGAGAGGTTTCCTATAGGTCAGATCCTTTGTGTCTCATGATTTCTTTTTTCAATGCATAAGGCAAGAGAACAAAATAACATGATGGATGCTAAGTTCTCCTGGTCCAGCTAATTGGTATCTGAATCTGTATCTTTTGAGAAGTTGAATATTCCAATACTCATTAAAACCTACCTACCACAGCTAATGTCAGGCTCATATCTCCGCACAATGACAGGAGGATGCAGTTAAGACACATTACCTACATACTCTTCTTTTTACACAGAATAACAAGTGCTACATTTTAGTTCAACAGCTATAATAAAATGCAAATTCTTTTACACGTTCACAGTCCATATTCAAATGAATATCCCATTAAAATCCAACTTCGGCTCATTATATTTAGCTTGTGAGTGATGCTTCTTAAATGCAAAGATTCCTAATGACTATAATGCACTTGCAGCCACATTTGAAAAGATAGCTTATTCCACAATGGCTACTCCCATCATCCCTGCAAGATAGAAGACAATTGTACCGAGATAATACAGAAAAGAGTGACAGGCTAGAGCAATTTCAAACTTTAGTTAAATGCATAATGACTTTAAAATCAATTAAAATGGTAACGTGGCAGTAACTTCATATCCTAATGATTTATCTGAGAATCAATAATGACTCTTTGAGTCATGGATTAATTTTGAACCCGAAGGTGTAGTATTCTATAATCTTTCCACATTTCATGAACAGACCCATGCTTACCATAGAACTGCATCTTTTGCTTGCCTTAAACTCTGTTCATTGGCTTTTACTTACATCCACTTTTCCTACCAGACAAGTCCATTGGCAGTCAATGTCAGTAATGCAAACTCCTAGAACCCAAACACCAGGAGGATCAGTGAATATATTTTATTGATCTTCAAGGGTTGTTTTTTTTTTTGTCAAGATTTTCTTTTCTTCCTTTCTCTTTCTTTTCACCTTTACATTTGTAAAAGACAACTTTTGATCATATTTTCAACTATTTTAAAGTCCTTGTCCATTCTTCAATGAGCAACAAAAACATTTTAAATGATCTATAAATTTGGATTTTTAAATGTGTAAATGTGTTTAAAGAAAGTTCTGCATATTTGGTTCTATTTCTGATCATGTTTATTTCAAAATGACAAGGCTCCATAGGCATTTTTTCCTTTTAGGTTTTTTTTTTTTTTTTTTTTTTTTTTTTTGGTTTGAAGATTATACTACTTTGTTATTGGACACCACCCTGATGGTATTTATTTATAAGTAGAGAATGCATTCTTTAAATGAAAAAAATATTTTAAAAAGCATTTGGCTTCTCAGAGGTGTGAAAGTCTCATTATCTATTTAGTCCTAGGTACTTTTATCTGTTGAAATATAATTTCTCTGAGAAAGAAAAGTCAGCGTTGCATTCATGAATCATTGCATCCATGTAGAATTCTATATGAGTTATTCTATTTTGGCTTATTTATATCTGATGCTGACACAATGAAGTCCCACAAGAAAATGAAGTTAAAATGCACATATTATCATGGAGGCAGGGAACTTAATAAAGTTTATCACACAAATTACATTTAGTTGCATACATATCACTTTGAAAAACTTTTAATCAATGTTGTAACAAAAGGTTGCTTTAGTGCCAAACACACACACACACACACACACAGAGAGAGAGAGAGAGAGAGAGAGAGAGAGAGAGAGAGAGAGAGAGAGAGAGAGAGAGAGATTGACTCTAATGCCTCATCAAGACTGAGTGATTACAAGCTGATCACAATTGAATTCTTTCTTTCCATGTGTGCTAGATCTCTGATACTGGCACTTATACTTGTGTGGCTACAAGTTCAAGTGGGGAGACTTCCTGGAGTGCAGTGCTGGATGTAACAGGTGAGTGCTTAGTGAGAGTCATATTTAATGTAATGGTAGATCATGATTTTATATGCACTGGATGTAAATCTAATTCGTCACATTCAATGTCGATTTTAGATTTGAACATTAGTTGGCACAGAGCATGGCATCTGGGGAGCTCCCTGCATTTGTAACTCATAACCTTGTTGCTTGATTTCTTCTGAAATGCAAGTGATTACACTGATTATCCATGAAAGGGAAGACTATATTTATTAGCATGTTGGAAAACCAGCTAATAGCTTACAACCATCTGATTTATGAAGATGAATTGCACACTGTCAAGTCAATTTCTTTAATGTTTCCTTCTTTCAAGCATTCTTGTCTGCTTACAAAATCAGGAACAAAGTCTACCCTGTTTGTCCTCTACAGAATCTGGAGCAACAATCAGTAAAAATTATGATATAAATGACCTGCCGGGGCCACCATCCAAACCACAGGTCACTGATGTTACTAAGAACAGTGTTACCTTATCCTGGCAACCAGGTACACCTGGAGTTCTTCCAGCAAGTGCATATATCATTGAAGCTTTCAGGTATGAGACAATTCCTGTTTCATTACTCCATTAGACTTTTGTCTTAGTTACGGTATCTCCAATTTCACCTGATCAACCCTGTTGCTTTATGACAAGAACAAGTTCATGTACTTAAAGAAATTCACTTATTTTTTTTTACTTTATTAAAAATTGGGTATAAAATTTTCATTATTTATTTAATAATAAGATTAAAAATAAAATTCATTGTCTATTCTTATGTCTATAAAGAGGTATTTTGTAACATTGGCTCCCTCATTTTTTCACCTGACCATTGTGTACACACACACACACACACACACACACACACACACATTAGAGGATAGGCTCCATATTCAAGGGAGAAATTGTAGGGTTTTTTTTTTTCTCACTTTGAGTCACGTTGCTTAATAATACTTTCCAGATCCATCCACTTTCTGGTGATTTCATAATTTCATTTTTCTCTATACTTGTTAAGAAATCAATTCCTTGTGCTTCTAGTTATTGAATGAAAAGACATTTCAATGTGATATGTGAAATAGTTTTCTTGACTACAGAGGTATGGTTGATAAATCATGGCCTTTTACTACATTGTTTGATCTAAACTTGATAAAGTACAAATAGAAAAATGTACAAACTTTATTTTTACATTCAGTTTCACTATGATTTTGTTTGATTTTTCCGCAGTTTGAAAGACAGCCACTGTCTTTTATCACTATCAGGACAAATGATATATTTTTGTGTTAAGCTTTTCTGTTCCATTTTTAAGTTAATGGCAGATACGTATTTTCAAATTGTAATTTTCACTACGCTTTATGTTTGATGCCTAAAGATATTGTTGATGCTAAAATAAAAGGACCTAAAAATCACATTTTCTTATTATTTTTAGCAAAATAGCACTTGACCTTAGGTACAGTGTTCTAACATGACATCCATTATAGCAAGTTGAAGAAGGGTCCATACACAGAATCTGATACTTCATCGTTTAGAGATGAGAGATCACAATACCGTGTAATGTACAATTTTATTAAAAATGTAACCAAGGGAAAATATTCATTATATGCTTCCTTTCTTCTTTTACAGATATGTAGTTTTAGAAGGCTCTATTATAAAATTGCATGTGGAATTGATGCAAAAGAAAACACAACTTGTTACAGGAAAATGTATTGGCATAAATTACTCTGTAGCCCATTTATTCTTTCTGCAGGTTAATTCTTTGCAAGGTATATACATATGCATCTATGAGGACCATATTTATTGTATAAATTTGATGTTGTGATTTTGGCCTCTGTTCCTTTTACAGGTATTCATTTAGTGGGCTGCTGTGCATTTAGCAAAGGGCTGTCACATCTTCTGGGCTGAGTTTAATTTTGTTGTGCATGGCACTCTGTTAGGTGGGCTCGGCTTTGTTGTGGAATAAAATGAATTCATCCAAATGTTTCATTATTGGGCTGAACACTTCAAGTGTTGTGTGTGTATGTGTTTAATTTTCAGCCATTGACCTTTGTCATTGACACTCAACTCCATTTGTTATAGTATTATGAATAGTTTTTAAATCAGTTTCTGTTCTTATTTCAGCCAGTCAGTGAGCAATAGCTGGCAGACAGTGGCAAACCACGTTAAGACAACTCTCTATACTGTAAGAGGGCTGAGGCCCAATACAATCTACTTGTTCATGGTCAGAGCGATCAACCCCCAAGGTCTCAGTGACCCAAGCCCTATGTCGGATCCTGTACGTACACAAGGTAATTTCAGTAGCTGCTAAAAATGATGGCATTGGGATGGTATATCAACTTAAGACAATGGAGGTTGTATGAGCAAAGAGAATGTGTACAAGCTAATTGTGTATGATTCTCTGGGGTCTGTCCCTGCATTACTATGAGGTATTCTTTCAGAGCTCTCAGGTTCTATGTAAGTAAATCAAACAAACAGTTGGATACATGTGTAGTATTTGAGAGTCTCTGAATGAAGAAGAAAAAGTTTCTCATTCTCTGTTATATAATAGAAAAAAAAATAATAAACCCTTTAAAAAACAGATGCCAAACAAGAGTGCCCGGATTCCTTTTCCTGTTTCTGGGTTCTGTGTTTGTTTTGTTTTGTTTTATCAGGAAAATGGCTTTCCTAGTGTGGATTTTCAGTAGGATTACCAATGACCCTGAATCTGTTAGACATATATTTTCAGGCTTCACGTCCAAAGAGGGGAGGCACTCAGTGCCCTGAGTTAGGTTAGCATGCTTTCTATGTGATATGGTGCCAATGTTTAACAACCACCCCATATTGTCTTTTTTTTTAATCAGTCATTTCAAGGAGATATTTATTTCAGAAAAGAATAAATAAACCTTTTTTTCTTAGTACAGGTGATTTTTCTTACTAATATGCTACCACATCTCCTAGAATATTAAAATGATTAATTTCAAAATGGAAGTTTTCTTCTCCTTTTTTGTAACCTGTCCTTGCTACTGAGTCAGTAAAGTGTGGGTTTTATAAAGAATACTGTATTATCCCTTCCTATCCTAAGACTAAAAGAAGGAGTTAGTACAATAGAAAAGGGGGCCTTTATTGTATGTCACAACCAACTCCCCACAGGGTTCTTGAGAGGGTTAATTATTTCTTATTTGTAAGAGCTTTTGAACGAGATATAATTCAAAGTAGTATTTTTATGCTATGAAAAGCACCATGCCGCCATAAAATATTATTATAATTACAATGTAGTTCAGAGGTAGTGACGAGCATGCCATTATCACAGAGAAGGGTGCGGTAAAGGAATGAAGTCAAATAAAGTCACCACGTGATGGTAACGTGGCTGACATAATGACAGTTGAGGGAGGAGGGGATGATACTTTGCTTTTGTTCTTTCCGCCATAGTGTGCTTAATTTTCCATGATGATGAAGGGTATGTAGGTAAAGAACCTGTCTCCAGAGAGAGAAAAAGCACAACAAAGACTTTGAAGGCCTGAAAGTCGTTACATTTTGCCTCATCCCTGTGCAGCCGCTTTTAATGTGTCTGGATTGAATGAGTAAATTAAATGACTGATTGTGACAGGGAAGAGATGTGTGTTTTTTTTTTTTTTAAGTCAAGAAATTTGAGAATGTCCGTTAGTGCCACCCATGTGGCTAGCGGTCATTGTGGTCATTGTGTGTGCAGCTGCAGTTGGAGGTAGAAGAAGAACAAGGTTGGGAAACCTCTGGCGTGACAGAGGGGAGCTCACCCTCATGATATTCAGTAACTGTACCAGTCACTAAAGCTTGCTTCAGAATAAAACTCTCAATGAAAAGATCAACAAAGATTAATGAAGTTCTTTTGTGATCTGGCTTGTTCCAGCTGAGAAACTTCAAAGAGCTGAAGACCTATATTCTCTTAACAGATACTTAATAGGAAAACCCATGTTTTGTGTCTGAATGTCAGTCTCATTTTTGATGTCACACATTCAGCTGTTTGGCAATCTACACAGCACTCCTTTTCAAAGAACGTATTGGCCTTTGAGGTCTGAGTTTTCAAAGGCTTTCATGACCATGTACTTTGAAAATCATTTCCTTCATTAAACCTCCTAAATACTTTCAGGTAAATATCAGAGTAGACCATACATACATCAGCAAAGGTTAATAGTATTCAGATAAAGGAACACATTGTTCTAAATCAATTCATGTTTTACTTTGTTGTTAATGCTGAAGATGAAAAAGGTAGAAATTAAAGAAAGCGGATTATGTGATTCCTAATTATTTATGTCACAGTGTAAGTTAATGCACCCAACTTAAGTTACACCTTGCGCTTTTGTGAGAATGTTGCATAATAAAATGAGGAAAAGACAGAAGAAATTAAGGAAATAAATAATTTAGAATTGGACATCCTTATTTAAATCAAATAGTTTTAGGGAAAACGTTACCTTGACATTGAAGTGGGTTGGTTAAAGAGATCTATTTGCATATGGGTAACTTTTAATGTTTGAGATCAAATTGATGGGTTTGAATGTATGTAATTTTTAATTATTTTCATAAAGACTTTAGGATGAATATTTTATCATTGAATGTAGTAATAGAATGCTTTTTAGGTAAAGGGGGTATAAGAAAATAGTAATTTAGGGCTGAGTACGTGTCATTCATGGGAGCATATTTATTTCTTCATTTTCTCTCTTGCTCCAACAAGGTAGCTATAGGATTTCTTTCTAGGTGATGGAATTCTGGCCCAAACTGATATTTGGGGAGCATTTTACCAGTAAAATTTTTTCAGTATTGCAAAATGTTCATTTGTTTTATTCTCAATCTCACTCTGTTCCATTAATGACTGAATTCATTTCCTCAGGCTCTCAATTTTTTCAATCTATGACTCAAATGAAAATAGGTCACAGAGTAGGAAAACATAACCTGCTGATCAGGCCAAGAAATGAAAAAAAAAGCCTCTAATATGCAGTTTCAGATATGTTTTAAAATACAACTTGAAAATCCTTCAGTGCCCTAACATCTGTATAGAAACGATCTTTCTAGACAGGTTATTAGGGCACAGACTTCAGTCTAACCCATAATCTAGTGATCTTCCAAAAACAATACATCTATGTGGGAATGCAGTTACAAAGGTTCTTTTGTAAATAGCAATTTTTGATAAAGATAAAAATAACAAATATTCCATACCATCATGGAATACACACACACACACACACACACACACACACACACACACACACACACCCATTCATTTTTATATACATGTGTTTATATTTGTATGCCAAATTGACTTAAATTGACTTGTCATGAGACTTTTTATTTTTTGAGACAGGGTTTAACCTTGTAGTTTTGGTGCCTGTCCTGAATCTCTATAGACCAGGCTGGCCTTGAACTCACAGAGATCTGCCCGGCTCTGCCTCCCGGGTGCTGGGATTAAAGGTGTGCACTACTGCTGCCTGGCTGTCATGAGACATTTTAATCCATCTGGCAGTTAGTTCTAAATTAGATTATAGCAAATGCACTAGAGTTTAATAATGAATTTTGAAATTAGGAATGACTTTCTCCTCTAACTACAGATATCAGCCCCCCAGCACAAGGAGTGGACCACAGACAAGTACAGAAAGAACTAGGGGATGTCATCGTTCGTCTCCATACTCCAGTTGTTCTGACACCTACAACTGTTCAAGTCACATGGACGGTAAGTATTTAGAGATTAGATTAGTCTCTATGTACCACCACAAAACATATTTGGAATTTTTTCAAGGAAAAAAAAAAGGCAGATTAAGCCTAAAACTAAATTTAAAACACTCACCATTTTAAATCAAGATGCAATCAAGGAAAACAAAGAAAATATTCAGTAGATGAAACTGTATGAAGAGTAATAAGTAACTTGTAATAGAAATAAGACCTTCCCTGTCCTTACTTCTAAGAGCTTTACTGAACTGAAGTTAACATGCCAAAGTTGTAGGATACAAGTGAATACTTTTCTCATGACGAGTGTTTTGAGATCATCACCAAAACTAATTTTTAGAATGGTGAAATCATCCCAGAATGAAACCCTGTGACCATTAGTGACCATTCCCTTCCACACTCATCCTTACCCCTCTTCACCCAATAAATGCTACATTTATATAGATTTACATATCATGGAGTGTTACCGTGTGAGGAATCACAGAGATCATTTTGTATCTGGCTTCACCCAGCACCTTGTTGTTGAGTTGCTCTCATATTATAATAGGTATTAGTACTTTATTACTGTCAGTGTACCTATATAAAATCTATTATATCTAATTTTTTCCATGTGAAGTAGTCATAAATAATATTTTCTTTTATGCACAGTCCATATTCTCTTCTTATACTTGGTATAAGTATAGATTTACTTGGTAAACCTTTGAAATGTTTCATTTTGTTGGCTATTATGAATAATGTTTCCACAATTCTTTGTGGATAGTTTTAATGCAGACATTTTCACTTACCTTTGGCATATTCCTAAGCATTTTTGAACACTGTGTTAACTTGACACTAAACATTTTAGTAAACTTGCTGAATATTTTCTAAATGTTCGTTTATTCCAGCTAGTAAAGTCAGGGTATACTGGTCTCTTCCAAATTCTTTCCAGTTTTTCTCCCATTCATCAAAACTTAACACTCTAGTGGATATTCAGTGGTGCATCATTATGATTCCAACTTTCATTTCTTTAATAACTACTTGAGATATATTTAACTGTATGCATCTGTGGTCATTGTTTTGGAATTAGCTAAATATGTTTAAAAACTAAACTAGTATTTCACCTCTTGTCTTCCAGATCATTAGAGAGAAACAATTTTATCACACCTTACACTAACTTTTCAACTAATCAGGTTGAGACAAAAATATTTATTTTTATTAATTACTTAGTAAAATTATTTGAGAATATAAAACAAAATAAAAAATTGTTTGGGTTCCCTCTTAATATTAATTACACTGAACAAGTCCAATTCAAGGCCATTTTTCAGTACAGAGTGTATTCCAGACCTTAAGTGCCACTGTAGGGGAACAAATCCAGTTGAAACCCACAAAAAATTCAGTCAAAGAGTTGTTTAGGTATATTATACACCAAAAAATATCATAGCATTAATTTAATATACATCTAGATTGGGAACTATAGAGGCATTATATATTAGAACAGGAGCCATTGAAATAATATTTAAATGCTATTTAGTTGAGTAGCAATTTATTATAAAAGAAAACAGAGGGAGTTTGTATAGCTTACTTAAGTTATTGCACTTACAGTATTTTAGAGTCAGGTGTGCTGGGGGGTGAGGACAAGAATATTTTAGTTCCTGTTAGTGTTAAGACCACCTGAAGTGGCTCACAACGGCCTTCAGGTGTCAATAAAAAAATGTACATGACTTTTGTGCTGGAAAAATCCATTCACCTCCCAAGCTATACCAAAGGCTAATGTGCATGCCAAATAATTAGCAGGGACCTTTTGCTAAAATTGACCAGTAAAATAATAAGGGTAGATGAAATTAATTTTAAAAACTGTTCTACAGAGGAAGTAGAATAAGAAATACTTAGTTTGAAAAAAGGATGATTTTATGGTGGTGGTGGTGTGGTTCAAGGAAAGGAAGAGTTAAAGACCCCTTGTTTATTCAGCACCATGATACTTGGCCTGCAATGAGTGATTGTCAAAGTCACTTTCCAGAACCCCACTAAAACAAGCTAAAGCACTTAGCAACTGGCTCACCAAAGAAAATTCTTTGGGATTTCCTGTTCAGGTGGAGGATTCTGTTCTCTTATATTTTTTTTTAAGTGAAGCTATATATAGTGAACATAGCTTTTGGCAGTTCAGTAAAAAATGTGGATTCCTTCTTTTTTAGTATGTCTTTTTTTTTTTTTTGACAAAAAATGCCCTGTAAATGCTCATCTCCACAGACTCCAGGGTTCATTCACTTCCATTCATGATTTCAGTCTTTCCTGCCCCCGTGCCATGTGCTAGCTGACGAAAGGAAGCATTCTTAAGCTCAGAGAGTCAAACAGGTGAAGGCAGAAATCAAATCAGGTGATACAGCTGGAAGACAGGCGTTCTCTATGTCTTTCTATTTCCTCCTGAACACAAAAAGATAGCTGTCATAAATGCTATTTTTTTTTAGCTTAGAGATTTAAACCCCAAGAATCTGTGACTAGACATTGATTAGAATAAATACTAACAGAGCATCCATAGACTAACCTGTTTATTAATAAAATTACTAGCAAGCATAAGACATCATTTGGAAATGATCACCTGTCAAGATGAGCTAGAGTGAATAGGATAGAACCTCTCCTCACTCAATGCTCACCAGTTTTTCAGGTCCACTTTCAGCATTTCCCTTTTTGCTTTCACCTGTAATAACACCCCCTCCCCGCCCCAAGCAGTGCCTCCCAACTGCACAAGATTAAGTTAAACTCTTGTTATTAAGGAGACCATTACTATCCACTGGTTGATGGCAGTGCTCACTGGAGTGAGAGAGCAATGCTGTGTAGTAAACATTAGCTTCATAAAGTACCTAAAACACTTAATTAATGAAATCCAAACATGGGTAAAACCAATTTGCCCTGATTTACAGACTCCCTTCATCTCCAAACAGCTGTTTAATGTTTTTCTTAAAAACACAGCTTGCTTCTTTCAGTATTAACAAGCTATTATTGTGAGTTATGTCTTTCTTTCAGTATATAAATTCACTTAAAGGGAATTCAGAGAAGTTTATAAAATGTAAGCTTAATGTTGTTATAACATACGCAGCAAGGATTTTTTTTTGTAAACTCTGGCAGTTTTGATGAAAGGCAATTCTCTCTGGTTCTCATGAATTTAAATTTTGTTCCTTGGTTGCCTAATTTTATGTTAGCGCAACTTCTGCTTTCAAAAATTACGTCAGTTTGTTACAAACACAAATTGGTAGCACGGCTGAGCATTCTAAGGTCATGCATGAAGTTCCACTTTAGGCTTGAGCTTAATTTTTCTTGATATATCCTCATAAAAGTGTGACTCTAATTCCAGAGAATCTTTAGGGGTTAAAATCCGTCAACTACAAGAAGGAATTTCTAGTTTTTGAGACTCATTTATCAGCTGAAGGTTTACTTGTAAGAAATACATGCATTTTCAAAGCTTCTAGCTAGAGCATTCTAAAGAGAAACAATTCCTTTGTTTATTCTGTTTAATTGAAATTTTGCATTTTTTTTTTACTTTGTGAAAACAATCATGTGATCTGTTATTCATCCATTTGTTTCTTTCTCTCAAAAGATGTCATACTACAACTAAACAATAAAGATTAGAAGTTAATATATACAAGAAAACCCTTTTGTTTATAGCATGCTGATAATTGAATTTTTAAGCCCTAGTCAAAACTCATATCCTTATTTTATTTCTCCATGGTTGTCTTAAAATGAGGTCATTTCATTTCTTGTTCACTAGTCTTTACACTTTCATGGTGAATTGGCTGGCTTTGCATTTCTGAGTCCATGGCTTCCAAGCTGTAACATGGGGTATTGATTGGAGAAGCAGCTACTGCAGTTCATGTTCAAATTGTTCATTTATGAAGCAAGCTAAACTAGTAAAATGATTTGACATCTTTTTGTTATTATTGCTAAAACCTAAAAGGCATTTCCCCCTGTAAATGAGGCAACTATAAAACCCCTGAAGAAGAGCAGCAGTTGAGACAGCTTGTACCCATCCTGTGCAAACCGAAGTCAAAACAAATCCCAGCATGGAGACAGGCATTGGGCACACATTCCCACCCCAAACCATGGTGTTATTGGCAATTGCCAGCAGCTGGGAAGGAGAAAGTTTTCTATATGAATGTATGTAGGTAGCCATTGATAAGTTGACCACTCTCTGGTACAAGACCATACATCCAAGAATATTTGGGTAGTACAAATTTGTCTTAAAGGATTTAAAAATAGAAAAGTATATCATGTCGGGTAGGAAGGGAAGAGATGTGAATCCAGGAAGAGTTGGGGGAAGTATGAATATAATCAAAACACATAGAATGAAACTCTTGAAGAACTAATAAACATCATTTTTTCTCTTCAAAAAAAAAAAAAAAACAGCCTTTGGGATTTTTAGAGAGAGGGAATGAGGGAAAGCCTATGCAGCAGTTGATACCCATCTGACACTATTCTTAGCACCCCTTAGTATCTGTCAGTGCTCTGGAACTTGCCAAATGGGTTATGGCTGGCTGGCCAATGAGCCCACGGTCTCCCCTCTCCAATGCTATGAATGCATCAGCAAAACTTGGCTTTTCTTGTAGTTGTGGCAATGTGGGTTCTAGACTCTAACTCAGGGTTTTTAAGCTCAGAAGGCTGGCAGTTTTCCAACTGAGCCTTCACCCAGGTGTCATAAATTAAAAAGATTTTGATAGTCACATTCAAAATCACAGACTTCTAGTTTAAAAAAAAAAAACACTTCTATTTAATATGGGAAGAGACATGGAAGCTATCGAAACCTGAACACCATTAGAGGAAGAAGAGGCTGCTGAAATGTTGTACTTAGAGTTAGATACTGCTAACAGGGATAAGTGATCATATACTTTAAACATGATGGGGTCACAGCCTTAATTTCTCCTGCAGCTTATCCAGACACAGGGGTGTAAGCAATCTTATCCTTTGCTTTATCTCTTGGGTGACCTCCACTCTTCATTCAGATTATCTGCCCTCTAACTCTGCTTCCTCTCCCCGCGAGACGTTTTAATTCCCAGGGTATCACATTCAGAGCCTTTGCTTCTGGTTATTTGTTATGGAAACTTTAAAATTATTTGAATAATTATTACCAAGTGCCCTCCTTCCACATGGACTGTAAAAAGAATAAGGATCCACCTTCATTGTCCCTTTTCACACTCAGAAGTCAGCAAAGTTCTTGGCACCTATCAGTAAGAAAAACAACAAAGGTTATAGAGGAGAGGGTATTAATGAATTGATGTTAACACATGGCATAGTACTTAGGAAAACCAGGAAAATGGAAGTTGTTGAATTTGGGGAAATAGAAAGCAAATGAGAAATGAAACTCGATAAGCTGTGGTGCTGGTAGAACATGTGTGGCTAGCTTAGTGTAAGATATTTTCAGACAAGGAGACAATTGATCTACTCATCATTTAAGAAAGATTCTAAAATAGCAATGCATACTTGCAATTGAAGGACATTATTAGAGGAAGGGAAATGAATGAGAAGGCCCTAGCACCAATCAGGTGGCTATGATGAGGACAAAGATGGGCCATTTCCTCAGTGACTTCATCCCTTTTTCCATCAATTATCCCATGCTGTTTTTCAGGTGGATCGGCAACCCCAGTTTATTCAGGGCTACAGAGTGATGTATCGGCAGACTTCTGGCCTACAAGCTTCAACTGCATGGCAAAATCTAGATGCCAAAGTCCCCACTGAGAGGAGTGCTGTCCTAGCAAATCTGAAGAAGGGGGTAACTTACGAAATTAAAGTCAGACCATATTTTAATGAGTTCCAAGGAATGGACAGTGAATCAAAAACGGTCCGTACTACTGAGGAAGGTCAGTAAAGGTTTCTAATGTAAACAAAAATTTTATTTAAGCCGTTTTCTATATAGTTCTTACTTTTATTAGTTGGAAGACCAGAAAAATATCATCGAAGAGTTGAATCTAGGGAGGGTAATTTTCTCCTTATATTCTGAGAATATAAGAAGAATATATATATGTAAAAAGGTGGAAACACTTGTCAGTGAGAGATGTGTGTGTAAGTTTTGTGTGAGGTGTATGAACGTGTGTGTTTGTGTGTGTGTGTGTGTGTGTGTGTGTGTGTGTGTGTGTGTGTGTGAAGTCAGAATGTATATCTGACAAGAAGAGCAAAGGGCAATAAATAAAAAGAAGAAAAAAAAATCGGAATCTAATCTTTTCTTACACTTTGTCCTAAACCTTGTTTCAGTACATTTGAACTGATCATAATATATTTCTTTATTTTAGTGAGGATCTCTAGCTCATGTAGCTTCAGAAGCCCTTCTGTAACACACTCAAGTACACAGAACAGGCTTATTTGAGGTGACCACTGTTTGGGTACTGTAGATTTTAGCCAGTCTTTTTACTTTCAGTAAATGAAAGGCTTTTAGTACATGCTGCCCTTAGAGTAAAAAGGCAAGACCACAAGTACTCTGAGCCCCCCACTCCATTTCAGCTTGTGTATGGACTTTGTGGGCACACTTCCTATAAAAGTCTTTATTCTAAAAATGGTTTGTGTCAAATGATACAAGAAACAGCCTTTTGAAAGGAAACTACAAATACTAACAGGCAGATGTCTGTGCTCAACCAAACAGCTTTTAAGTCACACATTTCCTATAATACAAAATAAAAATATTAACTTCACATTGATTTGCAGTGAGATCAGTCCATCAACATGGACAAAATTGAATATATTTGAAACCATACTACTTTTAGTAAATATAAAAACAAGAAAAATACTAACATTATTAATATTTTTTTTTATTCTTTTACTTGATGTATGCTAAAAACTTGTCCCACCGGTGAATGTCACAAAGTAATTATAATTTAGGATAACTTTAAGCCTTGTTCCAAAAGTCACAGTGGACTTTTCCTGTGGATTAGGCATTTGTCAGCATTCTGTCTACATTTATCTCAGTTTTCTGGGGCCTGGTAAATGTAACAAATGGACTCAGCTGGACTTAGTCTGGGAGCAATGAGCAGCGATTCACGTTCTTTCAAATCTGCAGAAAGGCGAGTGGAGTAGCAGAATAATTGAGCTGTCAGGGAGCAGGCCTGGAGTTCTCGCCTAGCCAGCAACAAGAAGGGAAAGCCGGCTTCCAAGTGTTAGTTTCCAGTGCAGTCTACTTACTTAATAACTGCAAGGCTGGTAGACAAGTGGTCAGATTTATGTCACTGTGCCACATTCTGGAGCAGTACTGTCACACAGAGGGACATTCAGGAGCAAACTGTATTAGCAGCTGTCTCTCCGTGTCTTACATCTCAATGCAAATGTGTCATGCCAATGAAATAGGCCAGGACAAATTTACCAAATATGGGACACCTTAGCTGGCCTGTGGAAGGTATTTTAGGATATTTGTAAGGAGTGTAAATTGTGGCTCTATGAAGCATGTATAGTTTTATAGAAATCTTTTTGTGCTCCATAATTCTTTGTTCTAAATCTCTAGACAGATTTTTAGCATTATCTAAATGTTCCAATGTTTCTCTTTCTACTATTGAGTTAAATTGAGAGGTTCACTGAAAATGGCTGAGTTCTGCACAATTAGTGTTTCCTAGCTCTGGGAATCCCTGAATGGGAGACCCTGCAATCTAAATTCAGGAACTGCTTCTCACTCATTGCTTCTCAGCATGGTTGTAATTAGTTATAGGAGAAACTATAAAGGAAGAAAATGACTCTCAGAACTCAAAAAAATCTCCATTTCACGTTTGACCCAACATAAGCCCATTTTCAATTTTATTAGCAGAGTCTCTTACCCTGCCACATAAAATATGTTTTAAATTATAAATTATAAGATAGTTCCTAATAGTCAATTAACTTTCCCAGTATGGAAAGAAAAGCATTGTTTTTGTTGGTGAGATTTATAATTGCATTTCTATTTTACTTATCTCAAACAATACCCAAAACCCCTCAGTTTAGAAACTAATGCTTGTTTGCATTTTGGGATAAATCTCTGAAAATACTTTTGGTTCAAGTATTATTATGAATTCTTCTAGAAACATAGCCATTAGAGAGTATTAAAGAGGCCAGGTGGTGGTGGCACATGCCCTTGATCCCAGCACTCGGGAGGCAGAGCCAGATGAATCTCTATGAGTTCAAGGCCGGCCTGGTCTACAGAGCGAGATCCAGGACAGGCACCAAAACTACACAGAGAAACCCTGTATCAAAAAAACAAAACAAAACAAAACAAAACAAAAAAAACAAAACAAAACAAAACAAAACAAAAAAAGCATTAAAGAAAAAAATGCAAACTTCTTAGAATAAAATATTCTGGTTTTAAATTCTGACTTACAGGTTGACCTCAGTAAAATCTTCCAATATGGCTCCCTTACTCAAAACTGAGCCAAGGGTTGTTTCCACTTTCTGAGGTCCTTGGAAAGATTGGAAACTAGCAGCACATGGCATGGCTAACGTAGAAAAACACCTTAAGTGTAGCTCTTAAGCTCTTTAGTTTGTTATTGGCTCTCCCACTGATTGCACCACTTGAAACTACACATTAAATTCAAAGCCTGATTTTGAACAAGCTGTCACTGGTCAAATATTATATGCAGATTCAGGGTGACTAGAAGGCAGAACTGTAGATGAATTTCTAAATGGTCTTATTAAATAAAAGAACACAGAGCCAGATATAAGAGTGAAAACCTGAGAGATCAGAAAATAGGGAAAGCCACAGCTAACTTTCACTCACCAAATCTGCAGCTAACAAATGTGAGATACTTCCTGTCTATCCATGCCTATATGCCTTGCTGTTCTGCCATCTGATTTGCTCTCTGTCCAACTATGTCAGTTCCTCTTCCTGCCCAGCTCTATCACTTCCTGTCTGTCTGTACAGACCTCCATACCTCCATGGTTGACTAGTGTTGGAATTTAAGGCATGTGCCACCATACCTGGCTCTGTTTATAGTGTGGCTTTGAACTCACAGAGATCCAGACAGATCCCTATCTACCAAGTGATAGGATTAGAGCTGTGTGCTAATATGGCATGACTTTTGTGTTTACTTACAATGGCTTTATTTATTTATTAGGCAAGCTTTTTTTTATTAAAACACAAATAAAGTATCACAACATTTTCCCTTCTTTTGTCTAATAAAAACAATAAAAATTAAAACTAATATAAGAAAAAACTATATACAATAAGTAAAATAACTATATACAATATATACAAGCAATTAATATATCAACAATATCTAGTCCATTTGTGTTTGACAAATTCAGAGAAAATATTCCATTCTCTATCCTATCTTGGTGAATCCAAAATGTACCTAATTCACTTTCTATCCTATCTTGTATTAACAACAGAAAACTATCTTATGATATCTTACAAACTTCCATACTTAATACCTCTTAATGAGCTTCTTTTCTGAATTTCTTATTGAGGAAAACTGTAACTACAACTATCTAATCTTCAACTCTCTCAGACACCCGAGAAGGAAATAATATGACCTAGTAAAACAGGAAGTGCAAACAAGCGACTTCCAAAAAAATGTGAGTTATGACAGAAACAACCAGCTGCCTGGACAGTCCCCTGAAGTTTCTCTGCAGCATAGAACGTTAAAGGTCTTTTCTTTGTTTTCATGTATTGTATGCATGTGCATACCAGAACTTGCTGCTTACATACAGTTGATTTCCTCTGCAGCCCCCAGTGCCCCTCCCCAGTCTGTGACTGTGCTGACCATTGGAAGCCACAACAGCACAAGCATTAGTGTATCCTGGGATCCTCCACCCCCAGACCACCAGAACGGAATTATTCAGGAATATAAGGTAAGCCGGGCCAATGAAGGGAGGCCCACAGACAAGCTACCCCAGCAGATCTGAGTACTACTTCAACAGAGCCTGTCTGGAGACAGATGTGTGATAGGAAAGGGTGAGAAAGCATAGCTTATGAGAACCTAGCATCGAGGTCGGAGACGTAGAACTCAGTTGGACAATGGAGAGTGGAATGGTTTTCAGTATAATGGGACTCAGGAACGATGGAAGGAGGGGTTTGAGGTAGAAGTAAGGATTGTACTAAAACAAAGTTCACCTGAATTATCAAGGAGAGATGAACTGAGGACTAGGAAAGTTAAAATGGATGGGGAAGGAACAGGACTGCTGTACCAACTCATATTGAAGTTTCCCTTGGGATGACCATTGAAACAAATTTTTGATAGCATAGAAGAAATAATTATCTCATATTTGGATTGATGGAATCTAAAGAAAAAAAATACGTTCGTGTTGTTCCATGACTATCACTGATGTTCAAGACACTAAATGTGTCTAACTTTTTATAATAAATTTGGGTAAATCATGATATGATTATATATTAAACTTTGGAATTTATTTTTTCATTGAATTTTTTTCAAAGTATTTTTTATATATTTGCATATACTTTTAGGATTTGGAAAGTAGCATGCCAGGTAGAGCAAGTATCAGTAACTAGAAATTCGACCTTACTTCAGAAATTCATTGCTGGTGTGGAAAAATAGGCAGAATGGAAAAAGAGAAGAATAATTTCATGCTAAACTATGCAGATTGAATTTTATTCCTAAAAGATATTAAAAAATAAACCTTTGTCACATTACTGGTCAACTCACTGAAGCAAATGGATATGCTAATTAGATATTTTTGTTTAATCATCCCATCATATTTTAAGCAAACATGCTTAAGAAGGATAAATGTCCTTATAGTAACAGAACTAAGTCAATTCTAAAGTCATACAGTGTGACTGACAGTACTAATATTACAAAGTTAAGCACTCCTTACATGTTTGTGAATGAAGATAAAGATTTGTTTTTATGCCATCCAAGACTGAAAACTCTAAACCTGAGCTTAATTAAATAGCAATAATAGGTTACAGCATGATATTTCTCACCTATTATATGTTTATCATATTTAGGTAGAGTGGTATGCATTCAGATAAGGGCTAAGTACACCTCCATCAGTAAAACAGGTATCTTATTTAAATGAAATATACCATTCACAGGATTTCTCTTGCTAAAAATGTTCCAAGACCTTCCCTGTTTCAGAAACAAATGTTATGCATTCATACACATGCATGTGCATTTTGTTATGAAACATTGTAAAATAAGAAAATAAATGTAGATACTTGAGAACTTTCATAACCATTTTACAGTAACAATTTCTGTATCTCCAATGAAAACATGCCATAGAGTTTAATTTATATTGAAATAACAACCCAGGTACTTCAACATTTGCGTCTGAACCCTTCTTGCCATTTTGTTTAAAGCATGTGTAATGTACAGATATATTTTGATCAACACTAAGATTTATTGATATCTTTGTACACATTGACTTTAATTTCACTTTAATCAATTCCTGTAACTGAGATCAATTAATCCTGTTAACTACTTCCTAAAGTGATATTTTATTGAATGGAATATGAATTATTCAGCTGTATACTTTAGACCATTGACATAACAAAATACACAGTCATCAAATTTATATTGGATTATGTATAAAAGATTTTTTTGATAAATTAAGCAGAGAAAATTATGAAATTTTATGTATGTAAGTGATGGGCATTTTAAATTTGATATTTAAATTATCAAAAGAGTCACTGTGCCTTCTAAATTGCTCAGTGTAAACTCACATGGTAATAGTGAGATGAAAAGGAACATTACAGAGTTTCAGCTTGTCATATTGCTCACCCTCAAATGCACATAAATATACATAAAGCACAAGGGCTGGCCATAAATATTATTTATAAACAATTTTTATATAACTATAAAATAGATTAGTCTGTTTTGTGTATGTATTCAATTATAATAGTTGAATTGCCAGAATGGAGACATCATGCTACCTCTTTTTACTCTCCCTTTTCTATAGATCTGGTGTCTGGGAAATGAAACACGATTCCATATTAACAAAACTGTGGATGCAGCCATCCGTTCTGTAGTAATAGGTGGCTTATTCCCTGGAATTCAATACCGGGTAGAAGTGGCCGCTAGCACAAGTGCAGGGGTTGGAGTAAAAAGTGAACCACAGCCAATAATAATTGGTGAGTAACAGTCTGGACTTCAGTATCTCTCCATGGACAGCAAGGTAGATTGTGTTTTTGAGTGTTCATCTTGACTATGGCCACTTATATTGAGAGACGCATTTAGTACACCCTGGATGGGTATACAGGCATGTAGGTGAATTGACAATTCTTACAAATTTCACACAAATAGTTGTATATGTATCCTATATCTAATAGCTATAACCATTGAGTTTTAGTATTAAAAGTTGGCTACATGGCTAGAAAATTATTGGTATTCAATAGATCTACTAATAATTGTGGTTCAATGAAAAAATAGAAAAATAAGGTAATCACTGGAGAGTATAAACTATATGCCTCATTTGAGCTAGAATATGTCAAAATGAGAAGCAGCCCAAAAGAACTTGATAACGCATATGAGAGAAGAAATTCATGCTAAATCTATTCACATAATTTAATAAAAGTGTTCTTTTTAACTGTTGGTAAAGTTTGTCCATTCTTGAAAAGTGTATGAATGCAATTATCTAGAACATGGTAATTTTGTGTCTGCCTTTTGACTCAAGCAACACTTTCTGAGATTCTTTCATGTTTTTTAACAGTTTAAATGCTTAGTTACTGAATGGTGTTGAATCCTCTGAATATGCTCTATGTTGTTTACCTGATTTTCTCTTTAGAGAATGTGCATTCTTTTTTAAGCCTTTGCAAGAACACATGCCTGCATTTCTTTGAAAAAATTCTAGGAGGTAGAATTTACACATAAAAAGGATTACGTATTTTTAAACATTACTTGAAGCTTCTAAATAACTTGCAAACTATAAAATTTAAGATTCCTAGAAACCAGAAAAAAGACTTCCAGTTTCTTTGCATCACCACCACCATTTGGTATTGCCAGTCTGTAATAGGAGACATTCCAGTGGATGTAAACTGTGTATCTTTATGATTTTAGATTCAAATTTCTTTCATGTAAATGATGTAAAACAACTTTATCTATGCTAATTTCTTGTCCTTTTGCATATTGTATGAAGTTCTTGGTCACCCCCCCCACACACACACACAGGAGAGTGGGGGCAATGAGAGAATTTTCTTCTAGTCCATGAGTTCTCTCTTTATTTTAATAGTATCTCTTGATAAGTAAGTTAAATTTTAATGAAATACAATTTAATAATTTTTTTCTTTTATGTATATATTGTTTTAGGAGAAATTGTGTTATATCTACAGGGAGGACACTTTAAATGTATTCTGGAAGCTTTATAATTTTGGCTTTTATACCTAGGTCTATAATTCATCTTCAGGTAATTGCATGAAGTTGAAAGGCTGAGATGTACATATTCTATAAATTTATCAAATTGAATTGTTGAGCATCTGTTGAGCCTTCCCCTAATAAAATAAATGTATGTGAATCCCTTTCAGGGTTCCTAATGTCTGTATTTTGTTATGTGCCAAACTACAGTTCTTTCATTACTGTGGCTTACAGTGGTCTTTAAAATTGGGTAATGTGAAAATGCCATCATTTTCTTCTACAAAATTGTTGTGGCTATTTTCACTTTCCACATACTTTTCAAATCAGATTGTCAGTTTGTACAAAAGTATCAAGGAATTGCAATTGAAAAGGCAGTGAATCTCTTTGTCAAACTGAGTAAAGGTAACAGTGAGTCTTTCCCAGGAACATAATACATGTTTTCATTATAGAAATCTTATTCACTACTCTGCCACAGTATTTTGTAGTTGTCAGTGTGAGATCTTCTATATGTTTTGGTGATATATTTCCTGAGTGTTTGATATGGGTTTCACACTGTTGTTGAATTGTTTGACTTGTTATTTGGAATCTGTTTTTCTTATTGATTTATATTATATGTGAACTCAGTCTTAAGTTTTCTTTCTTTATTTTGTTGTTTTTGTTGTTGACATGCTAGATTCTACTGAATAGTTTTAAGAGGTAAATCGTCTTTTCATTCCTGGTTGTGCATTCTACTTGTTCATTATTGTGCTCTTTGTGTCTGTTGCTGGATTTAGTGTAGTATCATGTGGTAAAGAATTTTGAATTTACGTTCATGAAGGATGCTGATTGGTTTTTCTCTTCCTTCTCATGTCTTTTTATCTCCTTATCTCTTGGTCAGGTTTTAGGATGAGGGTGAATGGCTTTACAAAGTCAATGGGAAGTCTTCCTTCCTTCCTTCCTTCCTTCCTTCCTTCCTTCCTTCCTTCCTTCCTTCCTTCCTTCCTTCCTCCCTCCCTCCCTCCCTCCCTCCCTTCCTTCCTTCCTTCTCTATATTTATTCTTCGAGAGATTTGATAGTAATGTTGTCTCTTCCTTAATTATTTATTAACTTAGTAATGATATCCATGCCAAGAGGAATTGTGGAGGTTTAATTTTAGTGAATGGTGGTTTACATAGAAGATTCTCTTCTACAAATGTCAAGCAAAAAATGAATCTAGAAATAGGTGATAATTATGGAATTATACATCTCCTTTTAAGTTTAGAACTCCTTTTTTAACTTTTTTTGGGTCTTTTCTTCTTTATAGATAAGTGTAAGTGGTACATATTTGTGTGTTTGTACAGGTCTCTCTGTGTGTAGTCCTGAGATTGATGTTCAGAATTCTTAATAACTCTTCTTTCTTATTCTTTGAAGTATGATCTCTCAATCATATCCAGAATATGCCAGTACGATAAGGACAGTCTCTGGGGCTACCCTGTCTGCACCTTCTTTGTGCTAGAATTACAGAGTGGTTTCCATGTTCACCCAACGTTTATATTGGTTCTCAGGATCTGAACTCGAGTCTTCTCTCTTGTGCAGAAAGATCATTACATGTAGAACCAACTCTCCATCCCTCAATCTGTAAGGAGCCATCTCCACATCCCTATCTGTAAGGAGCCACCATCTCCACATCCCTTAGTCTGTAAGGAACCATCTCCCCAGCCCTCAGCCTGTAAGGAGCCATCTCTCCATCCCTTAATCTGTAAGGAGCCATCTCTTCATCCATCAGCCTGTAAGGAGCCATCTCACCAGCCCTCAGTCTGTAAGGAACCATCTCTCCATCCCTTAATCTGTAAGGAGCCATCTCTTCATCCCTCAGTCTGTAAGGAGCCATAACCTGCGCTTCATCAATGAGACTCACCTAGTAGAGAGAACCAACTACCACAAGCTGTTCTCTAACTTTCACACATGTGTATGAGTGTGTCCCGGCCACACACTAAGTAAAAGTAAAGTTACATATAAATGTAACAAATTCTTTTAAAATACAATATATAAAATATTTTCTTTCTGGTTCCAAAACCTGTGTTGTTGTATGGTCTACTTCCATTAATTGCTTTTCTTTTCTTGTCCTTTGTTCATATTGTGTTGACTGTTGTGTTTTTTTTTATCTGCTTGTCTATCTTTATATGGCTGGTTATATTTTACTTGATACTGGACTTTGCGGTGACATATTATAAAGGCTTGTGGTCAGTGAAAGAATGTTTGTGTTTGTCCTACTGGATTTTTACCTTGAATTGGCCATGTCTTACCCCTTTTCATGGTGTTTGTATGGGAGGTTTTTGGTCTTGTCCTTTTTCTTGGACTGCAACCTCAGTTTGATATTCAATCTAAGGTAAGGCCATTGGGAAATTTCAATAAGAATATTAGGGTGTCTCTGTGGTGCCCCTAACTGAACGGAACTCAAATATCAAGAGTTCACTTCTCTGAACTGGGTATTAGCTGGACACCCTCTCCTCTCTTGTCTTTCACCCTTTGCTTCATACCAGATCTTTGAATTAGTCCTCAATGCAAAGTTGAGTGTTCACCCTAGGATACCAGGGGTGATTGCTTGCTGCTTAGTGGACATTGCTATCAAATGGCTCCCTGTAGTTGTGGATTCCCTTCAATTCTCTATCATTCAAGCATCCCTAAGCTGTGAACGCTGACGTATCATATAAATGACATTGGGGTTTATCAGTGTGGCCCTAACTTGCTTACACTGCATGGCTTGAGGATATCACTAAAGGCAGCAAAAGCTCATCGATAAAGATTTCTCTTCTCTATAGCTCTTGTCATTAAACCCTTCTCTTTGCTCTTCTTGGCATCATAGTGACAGTAAATTTTAAAAAAAAGAGTATACATATATCAAAAATATTCATCCAAAGTTCATAAAGCTTCATTTTTGTCTCTATTTTCCAATATGATAAAATGACATGCAGACAGGATATCACCAATTTCTGGGTGATGATTTCTTCTCCTGCATAGAGACAGACTTTATATTTGGTCATAATGTTAAATGTTTTAGACTTCCCAACTTTTCTTTGTTTGCTAAATGAATAGCATTGAAGAAAAAAGTTCAAGTATTATCTTTTCTCTAAATTGCCTTTCCCTTCTTAATTAGTTGTTCAGACTGAATTAATTCCTTAACCTGAGGGAAACCTACAAACTTACCCTTCTGAGATTTTTCTGAAATAAATTGGAATAAGGAAGAAATATAGGTGTACCCAAAATGATTTAAATATATATTCACATCCATGTGTATGCACAAATACACATTTTATTTTATTTATAAAGTATTTAGACATAAGCCTTTTACTTAATTTCTTTTCTTTAAGACTATGAGGTGTTGTGCCACATACTTGTAGTCTACAATCTCAGTGTCAGGGAGGCTGAAGGAAATAGTAAAGAGTTTGAGGCTAGCACCATGAACTCAAGGCCAGCTGGAGCTACATGTAGAGACTCTGTCTCAAAACAGACAAAATAAAGCAAAAATATACATAAGCATATCTCTGTTCACTGTATATTTTAATTCTAATGCATTATTGTTGATCGATGAGAATACTTTGCTTTAAAAGAAATGAAAAGGACAATGCTGCCTGAAAACTCCTAAAAAGGAAATGCATATGAACTGGATTTACTGAATGTAGTTTTTCTTACTGAAGATAAGTAAGATTGCCAAGTAACTGCATTTCCCTCTTGTGTCTTGTTTTTCTATTATAGTTAGTAAATGAAATGTTATTTAAAGCAATGGATGTTTTCTTCTCTTTTCCTAAGGGTTGTCTGTCTCACAGTATTTTGGAGATCTGATTCTCCTGGAACAAGAAATCAATGCTATGCTCTGACAAGCACAGTTCTTCTCAGAGCAGTGACAGTGTGGCAACACAATGGATTTCATTTAGATGATTTTAAATAAATTGCAAAGTTTTACCAAACTCTGTTTTTTCTAGAAGACTGCGTCTCTAACTGGATTTTGAGCACCTATTAATCTATCTTAGTATATCATACAAGTGTTCAAATTTTTCTAGAAACAAAACAATGAAATCAATGCTTTTCCTGTATCCTAGTCAGGTAATTAGAATATGCCATGCTTAAAAGGTAATCATGAACACAGCACTGTAGAAACAGAAATGAGGACATGCACATGTGTAAGTCCAGTTCGACCCAGAAAAGAAGTGTCCTCCAGAGATCCCTTTCTTTTTAATATCTACTGCTGTCCTGAGACACTTCCTAATTGTTTCTTTAATTATCCTTCCATATCAAGCTTCACATCTTGTCTGATAAGGCTTTGTACACAACTGTGACTTCTCAGTTGAATAGTGACTTAATGATGGCTAATCTCCTTTTTTGTTTCAATTTATGCTTCCCTATTGTATAGTCCATACCGGAAATGGCATGAAAAGTGACTCAAGCTTACCTGCTTTTCCCTTTGCTAATTAAGTCATGCCTTGGCATTTGATGCAGTTTATGGTTCATAATTTTATATTGCTGTTATGCCAGGCTGTGTAAAGTTTCAATTATTCTATCTTAATGTTGTGAAGAAACAAGTGACTTAAATACTGTAAAATGGGATGCATAACCTTATACAGATTGAAATTTGAGGTTTTTTCAAAATTAATTTTCTATGTGAATGTAGGTTTCACATGAAACTGTGGAGTAAAGCAAACAGACAAAAGCATGAAAGAAATTTATCCATACTAAACAGTACATCAAATAACAATAATCTTCTTAATAATAGAAGTATTTTTAAAATTATTCATATTTCATAGTCTAACCTGGAGAGTTGATGATCTTCAGTACAACTACAAACTTTTACAGAAATTGATACAATTGAATCTGATGTGTCTAATTAAATTTTTTTCCAACAAATTGCTTTTGTTCTTCATTACTCTCCAATGGGAGGAAGATACTACATTTTATTACATTTTTTTTTGTCTGCAAGAACAATAGAGCATGGTAGGTCACACCACCCTTGTCTGTGTTCTTTTCAGGACAATTGGCAACATTGTTGCAAAAATTATAAGCATAAGAAGAAATAATACACCATGGCTCACAAAAATGTTGTGCAATATTAAATAAAACATTTTAAGAACTCCAATTAAAATAATGCAAATCTTCTCTTACTCTTTGCTCAAATCAATCAGGGTTTTCAGGGTTGTTGTTGTTGTTTTGTTTGCTTATTTTATGTTGCGGGGCCATTTAGTAACTACTAGTAGTGAAAAGAGTCACTAGATAACATATTGAAAATATGTCAACAAAACACACTTTTTTACTTTTATACATATAACATCTAAAGATGCATATATTTCAGACAAGAAAGATTTATTGCATAAATTATTTTAAACCTGAAAAAGCATAAAATGCTTTTCAGTAATGTGTGTGTGTGTGTTCATATATGTTTGTTTGTGTGTGTATAAGAAAATTCTATCAATTATAATATATAAGCCTGCAGAGTTTGGTTTCTTTAATAAAAAATGTTTTGTTTCTTATTCATAGCTCAGTTTAACAAGGGTTAGAAGAATGGTGCTTGGGCTTTCTATTACATTGTCATTCAGCAATTTATATTTTTCCAAGCAAGAGCTTTTCTATGTTTTCAAGACATGATGTCCTCCAACACATATTGGTTTCTAATACACAAGAAAAGAGAAAGAAGATTGAGAACTGTTACAGAGTATTAAGGGGTAGAGCCAAAGAAAATGGTCTACAGACCACTGGCTCACATTCAGTCACTGGATGGCAGAGAAAGTTCAGTAATGTGTGTGAATTTTCTGTCCTGGAAACAAAGATAAGCAGGGTTGATAATGGGTCCTTGACCTTTCCAGGATCCCCAAACCTAAGCAATTCACCTGACCAGTCTGGAAAAAAATAAAAAAAAAACACCGAAAGACTCTCAATGGAGCTCTATTTTTTTTGGCAGGGGAGGAATGGGTTTATTTCATCTTACACATGCTAGGTCACATTCCTTAATGTATCTCTTTACATCACATGGGCCAAGGTTGTGATCTCTTAGCTTCTTTAGAAGCGTCCCATAGGCTCTTGGATTCTCATTCTAGCAAATGTCTCAATTTCTACAATTTTGGGATTTTGGCCATACTTGGATTGGTAATGGTTCTATGCATGGGAAGTTGTACAGTGAATGGTTTCCACTTGCTAGATACCAGCAACACTCCCATTTTCTAACTCAGGTCAGTTAAGACAACCCCAGCTATCTCGAGATTTGACACATGTCTCTAAGAGAAGGAAGACTCCTTTAAAAATTACTTGTCTAAGGGTTGAATATGCAACTGCATTTTATAGTATTAAAGACAACATTCTCATAAAAGAAGGAAGAGAGGAATAAATAAAGGGAGGAAGGAAGGAAGGAAGGAAGAAAGGAAGAAGGAAGGAAAGGAGGTAGGGAGGAAGAGAAGGAGGAAGGAAAGAAGGAAGGAGGGGAGGAAGGACTAAAGAAGGAAAGATCACCACAACGAATCCAAAATATATGAAAAAAACAGTAACATTGTCAACAATCTGAGTCAGGCGAAGCAGATTAAGTTCCTGACACAAGCCTAGAATTTACTATCTAACAAGTGGTAGAGAGATTGTACCTATTCAGGAGGTCAAAGGCTATGCTCTCTCTAACACAACAGTGCTGCATTCACTAAAGCAATGAAAAGCATTCCTATGATGTGGTCTACTGGACTGCCCCTTTTACATTTTGCTTGCAATTTACCTTTGAAATGTCTTAAATTAAATACTGACTAGCAATGCTATTGACATTAGATTTACTTGATTCTCATTTTCTAAGTTTTTAATCTTTTAAATACATCTTAAATATTTGTTGTCCAATGTCATTATGATTCTCCAAGGCTATAACCTATTAAGTATGGATTGAGTTTTGCTTAACTGATTTTCCGAGGACTAAAATTTCTCAACATAAAACATCTTGATTCAATGTTCAATTGTCAAATTACTTTTAACTGCTCATAGGGAGTGCATAAGTTTTAGAATCTCTTAATGTTGTAATTATACATACTGATATCCATGAATTAATGTTATCATAATTGATATTGTTCTATACAGAGGATTTCATGCTTCATCAAAAATCAAAGTGTATCTATGAAATTATATAATCTTGTGAATTACATCCCCTGGAAAATAGGGAAGACAGTAGCAGAAAAGCAATGCACAAATACTTATGTTATGGAAACTTTGGTAAAGAATCACTTTAGCTGGTTTGAGAAAAGTATCTGTCATTTCAGTTGCTAGTAGTTGTTCAACTGATTATTTACAATATTATCAATCTGTAAGTAGCTGAGAAGCTGTCCTTGACAAATAAAGAAGGAAAGATCACCACGAAGAACCCAAAATATATGAAAAAGACAGTATGAAAAAGAATGACACTTATTAGCACATGATTCAGTACTACTTTTTAAACTTAAAATGTTCTTATCGGTAATTTTGACAACCTCAGGACAAAACAAATATCAGCTGAGCTTTAAAAGGACATGTCTGTGCCTATGGTATAATGTGTTTGTATTCTGCTATTATTTGTCTTTATGTTTACTGACACCATTGTTCCTTCCATAGGGGGACGTAACGAAGTTGTTATTACTGAAAACAATAACAGCATAACTGAGCAAATCACTGATGTTGTGAAGCAACCAGCATTTATTGCTGGCATTGGTGGTGCCTGCTGGGTAATTTTGATGGGTTTTAGCATCTGGTTGTATTGGAGAAGAAAGAAGAGAAAGGGACTGAGCAATTATGCTGGTAAGAGACTATTTTCAGCTATAAAAACCTCTTATCTTTTGGAATGTAATGCGATGAGAGGAAGAAATGGAATGGAATAACAAATGGATGATTTGGGCTTGTTATAAAAACCCGCTCTGTAAAATGCAATTATAAGCAACATGCTTCAGTGCATTGCTCTTGACCATATCGTTTTATGACCACAGGCAATCTTTCTGCTTGTATCTCCAATGAAACATAGCAAGAGTAGACACTGATAAAATGCTCAACTATTTTTTCTCAACTAGTTCTTCAAAACCACACACGCAGAGCTTGCCTGCTATAAAGACATCTTTTGAGAAGTGTGTTTAGGCCAGAAAGTTATTAAAATGCTCAGAAAAGAAGGAAAGCTTTGAAAACTCAGCTTTTAGTATGTCACAATGAAGATTACACTGGGAAATGTCCCAGATGAAAAAAAAAAAGACAAACAACAAAAATCTCACCAGAATTAATAAAACTGATGAGGCATGAATGAACTGATTTACTGTTCACTTAAATGGGTGCCTATTTCAGTGTGAACAAGCAGAATTTTCAGAAGGAAGCAAAAGGAAGAGGAAAGAAGCAGAAATAGCTGCAGGAGAAATGAAAGAGACCAGAGATGATCTACAGCATTTCCAAAATTAGTGTCCTTGTAAAATGCAAGAGAGCATCTCAAGGGTGTCAGATGTTATACATTTAAACATCTGCAAAAGACAAAGAAAGGTAGATGGGTCGGGGACTGAGACTGAAAGGAAAAGAGAGATAGAGTCTAGAAGTGGGAGAGGGACACTAAAATCATAGTCAGTGACTGAGGAATGCTTTCAGTGTTGAAGCTATATTCTATTACAATTTTAATTGCAGTTACTTTTAATTATTTTCCTAACAGCAGTGAAAGGATACTCCCAATAGCACATGCTCGGTAGAATTTTAGAGAGCAATTTTAATTCCATCCTATGAACACTTGAAATGTTTTGAGATATTGTGTTTAATCTTCTAATAACTAATAAATTCTCTGTCAAAATCAGTTATTAGAACATGTCTGCTCGAAATAGAAATTGAATACAGTGTCTTAACAGTAAAAAAAAAATGCAAACAATGCCATCCACTTGGTTGTCTTGCTTGTTATGTTACAATGTTAAATATGGTAACTTGACTCTAGCATTGTCCTTATATCTGTAGCACGTGAAATGCATAGTATCAATTACTAATCGGGTCTAGAAAAAGAAGCTTATCATATCCATTGACAAGAAGTTTCCCATTCTAGCCAGGCGCCTTTAATCCCAGCACTTGGGAGGCAGAGCCAGGTGGATCATTGTGAGTTCGAGGCCAGCCTGGACTACCAAGCGAGTTCCAGGAAAGGCACAAAGCTACACAGAGAAACCCTGTCTCGAAAAAAACCAAAAAAAAAAAATAAAATAAAATAAAAAGTTTCCCATTCTCACTTTACAGTGGTCAGCGCTGTCTGCTTCCCTATTCTTTGTCATCTAGGTGTTAAATCACTGCACCGATTAGAGATCCTTCCCCAAAAGGGGTGGTGAGTAACAACTAGTGGGTGGCAAAGTCTTGAACTTCAACAGTAATTTAACGGCATTTTTGGAGCCCAGCCCTCTGTACCTTCACCCCTGCAGATATTGTCAATTGGCCGATTCATTTCATCAGTCATTAATCCATGTATCTTCCCTGTGACATGCTCATACCAATCATATGAAACATAAGGCAAGCCCAATTTAACTGAAGGACAATGTTAGGCTTATTACTTCAATTGACTTAGTGATAATAATGGAAGACAAAGCACGGAAGTCACTTTAATGAAAAGTCCTAATAAATTCACTTGTGGAATGGTACCTTTGAAACCTCCATCTTTCTTTATTCCCTCATGCCTGAGTAATATAATAGCTCTCACAGCCTGTAGTTTGCCCTTTTAGTACAGTTACATCAGACAGACAGACAGACATCTCTTCCTGTCTCTCACAGCAGTTCTTTGCAAAAACCTATGCACTTAACTTGAAAATATCTGGTGGTCTTGGAGCTTGACAAGGATTGTCCATTTGGTACTGTCATGACTCATTATGATTGATGTCCGTGAGCTTGGAGAAGAACTGCTAACTCAGAATGTGCTTTGCCCTTCAGATATTTGGAAGAAGGCCAAGCCAGAGAAAAGCCTTTCAAAACTCTAATACTTAATTGATAGATGGCTGATTCTGAGGATAGATGTCTTTTTTCCTTGTCACTTGCCTTCTCTCTGTGATCTCCTAGGTGGGAAGCAGATAAAAATGTTGCCAAATCCCAGGAAAGTAGCCTTTTCTATCTGGGTTGTGATAGTGTCTCTGTATTTTCTTTCCTACTTACCTACCCTCTACTTTTTTGGATTTTTACATTTTTGTCTCTACAGAAGCTAGGGGATGTGGAATATTAATTAGGAATGGACAATGATGCACATGTTCTTAGAAGTTTATAGTTACGGTTCCTATGACTGGGCTGATGTCCCATTCTAAAAGCACAGAGTTAGTGATGGACTATTTTTCTTGAAAGTATTTTAAAATAATAATAGACTAAATAGGCTATCTTGATTTTTTTATATTTTTCATCAAAAATTCTCTTAGAAATTTGTTATTTTACCATTATAAATACAAGATCAGATAGAATTAAAGCAATGTAACTTCAATAACAAGATGATGTTTCTGAAGTTTCTATTGTTTCACCACTATACAACATCGATGCTGATGCTATAATCTTTCAGGTTTATGTTTTTCTAATTTCTAATAATTTGTTTATGATGGGAGTCATGAGCTTCAATAAGTCAAGTCAATTAGACCAATTTAGAACCACCAATTAGAAGCACTCTTCCTACACCCTTGTCCCAAGTCTATTCTTAGTGTCTAGAAGTAAGAAATGGGAAGATGTTAATTAGTGGAGAGACAGAAATAGTTTGCAGGTAAGACACTAAGTCTGGCAGGATGCCTTCCATTCACACTACATAGGCAAAACACCCACTGTGTCTCATTATATCTAAAATGAAACTTGTTTTTATTACAAAAAAAGTATTTGTAAATTTTGAAAAGAGAAAAACCCAAACAAAAACAAAACTCTGTTAGTTGGTGTTGATAATTTTCTTTGGGCACCAGCAAAATTAACATGTTTACCAGAGTAAACTCATGGACAAAAACCTCCATTGTAGAAGCACATATCCAGAATCAAATACAAGTTAATGAATTCAAATCGTCTTGGAGGAGAATCTGGCCTTAACATGTTTTGCCACTGCTCACAGCCAAAAGCAGGGCCAGAATTGATCCTCATTTTGTCAACTTTCTTTCCCTATTTTTCTCATACTTAAATTCTCAGATACAAATACACAGCATAGTTTTGGCCATGGCTCTCTGTCTAATGTAAACCCACAAGTGACAATTGTTGTTCAATAGATCCTTCTATCTCACATTCTATGTGGAGTGGCTTTTCATGTCTGTAGAACAGGTAGTTGCCTTTACCTGCATTTTCACTGAGGAGAACAATTTCCTTGTCCTTTTGTGGGGGGGCTCTGATTACAGGAAAAATTCACAACCTCAGGTGCTAGAAAGTGAGAGAGATTTGAAAAGAGATTTACAAAGAAAATGTTTTTTGATTTTATAATACAAAGTAAACATATGGTCACAATTATAATAGTTTTCATAGCTAAAATGTGCACAATTAAATTTTGAAACAAATCTATGTAGTTCCATTAGAATTAGATTTAAATGTATCATATATTATTTGTACATATATAACTGGATAATGTTTGTCAATATTACATATAACTTCAATATTTTTTCATTTTTTTTGTAAATTTTTATTTATTTATATTGGTGTATAGGTATTTACCGTTTGTATGGATGTCTGTGCTTTCTATGTATCATGGGCTCCTGTGGAAGGCAAAGAGGGCCTGAGATTCCCTGTGACTGGAGTTACAGATAGTTGTGAGCTGCCATGTGGGTGCTATGAATTGAACTAGTGATCTCTGGAAGAACAACCAATGCTCATAACCATGGAGCCACCTCTCCAGAACCTATTTTTTTTTTAATTTGTAATTGTTGGAGTAATAAAATTTTGATGAAAGTGAGCTTCTGTTTACTTTTAAATGTAACTATTATCTATAAAGACAATATTTTAGGAAGCTTGGCAGAGATCAATAATTTAACTTGATTGTGGACATTATAACATGGAAAATACTCCATGCATGGATTTTTAAAAATGTTGGTGAAATCAAAGTCATTTGACAGAGATATGTAAAGGCAGTTCAGTGATTTGATGGAATTTTTAGAGTCTGATTATCTGGGCTTGGTTAATACTTATTAAAAAGGAATTAATATATTCATATTTCAGTAAGAGCTTATCAGAAAGGGAAGAAGCCTTGGCTGCCACATTAAAGTTTCCATTTGGAGTAGGAAAATGTGACCAACTAGAGATAGGCACTCTGGAAGCTTCTTTACTTCAAAATGTCAATTTGCTTCATAGTTACATTTCTTCCCTCTGCCCTCCATTCTAGCAGACATGCCTCAGGATTAATTCTGACAGGTGATATTAGATGCATAGAATTACTCTGTATCTGGGACAAACTGGGAAAATCTCTTTCCCTCCTGACTTTCATAAAAAGCAAAATAAGTTCAAATATTTAATGCAATTCTACATTTTAGATGTTTATGTCTGAAGCTTCTGTGGATTGCTCCCAGAAGTTCTTATGCTGAGATGCTAGAAGAAATTACTGATTCACAGTCAAGGTCCTTTCAATTTTATCTCTGATAAACACAAAGTCACTGGCCTGTGCTTAGAAAACCAGTGACATGGAGATCATCATGAATTCTCCTTCCTGATCCCAGGTTCTTTCCACATCAAGGCAAATATTTCTTTGAAATGAGAGCTGCCTCAAAATAGCTCTCGGTTGGCAATGTCATTATTTTTCTGCGATTCTCTCTGAATGACTCCTAAAAATTCTATTGAAAGATCAGACACAATTTCCATTGTATAAATTCTAATTGTTCATAATTTGTCATTTGCTTTTATTTTGTGGTTCGACTAGAGCTTGTACTTTTATTCTACTTTCAAGTTTCAAGGCAGGTTATAAAAGAAATTTATTGTTCTCTTTCCACCATCCTTTAAAAAGAACAACCAGGGGCAGGGTTTAGTGGCAAACATCTAATTCCAGCATTCTGGAGGAAGAGCCAGGCTGATGTCTGAGCAGAGGCCAGCCTGGTCTACACAATGAGGCAGGCTTCTCAGTCAACAGGACAAGTAATCAATATTGCTATGATAAGAGGGGTAGATGTATATGTCTACATCTCCTCTTACTTTCTTCGTCATTCTTTTGAAAGGAGGATTCAAAATTGAAAGAGTCTCATGTCTACCAAATTTTGTGTGTGGAGGACATTTTAAGTTACACAAGTAATTACATAATGTGTTGTGGATTTCTTTTTTCTTTTTCTTTTTTGTAATTGCTAGAGAAAGATAGAGACACATGCCTTCATGAAATCTTTGACAGCCTGCTGCCAATCTAGACCACTTTTAGAAAGATTTGAATGAGGATTGAGATACAAAGAGAAAATAAATATTTTCTGAACATACACTATGAAGCATCACCTGGAATGTCAAATCCTTTCGTACTTTAACCTTTGGTTCCCTATTAGAAAATATAGCTTACCATAGCATTCAAACACTGAATATTAGCTTTAATTAATGGTATCTTTATGTTTAGATTTTAAGTGGTATATCATAATACTTTGTATTTTTCTACAAATTTGCCATTGACCAATTTTAGTGCCTCTGATTCGGCTGACTCTTTTTCTCTTATATTTATCTGGTAATAACAAAAAGTTTGGATGAGAAGAAAGAGCATCTGTATTAAGAAGATTTAGCTTCACACTCAACCCTTAAGCATCAGTTTTTGAAGTGTAGCCCATCAAACACTGCCTTGTTTGAATACTTACAATGTTACAGCATTGTCTTGACTGTATTTTAGCACTTAGTGTTCTATTATAAACACATAGCTCGTAAGATCCATGAGATGAGTGGCTGGTAATCATCTGTACTGTGTTCCCGTTTTCTGTCTGTGTGCTCACATGTGTTTGTGTGTGTTAGCCTTTTATACCCCTACTAATCACTGCTCGTGTGTTTAGAGTTTAATTCATTTATGTTAAAATACAATAGTCAAATGGGCACAGTAGGGTAGAGTTGCACTACTAATACCAAATTTTAAGCCCTTAAGTGGAGCAATGATTGGTATCATCTTCTTTGAGTAGATGTCTGTCACTAGTTATGGGCGGATGTAAATGTTGTGTCAGGACTGTTTGATAGCACATTTGAGAGGCTATTGAAACGCTGTGATGGCAGCATATGTGGAGTCCCTACACGACATTTCTGGGAGCTGCATATCGGTCTTTAAGTGCTGTAGACCCTTGGAATTAAGGATGTATTACCTAATGATGATGTTAGAGAGAAAATTTTACTGCTAGATAATGAAGAGATTGCTGCACTGTATGAGGAAATTGCCAAATTTCAAGAGTTTTTAGCCTTGGTATCTGAAACAAACAAATGATGATTCATGGAAAATGTTCAAATTAATAGTTATCTGAACATTTGGAGAATGTATCTTATTTAAAATGAGTTAGTTTTTTAAGCAATTTATTTATTTTCACATTTATCTGTAACAAACAAATCATAAAACACTTGATTTGGTGTCATCTAAAGACAGAATATGGTGTTCATTTTAACCCTATCATTCCCTGTGATCACTTTAGCTGATCTGTAATGATTTAGGTCTAAACTGTAAGATCCTAACAATTCTGCATTCTGGAACTTTTAAATAGTGGATATCTTTTACATAAAAATTGAGTGTGATAATTTAGTGTCAAAATTTTATCCAAATAAACTTGCAAGTATGTATGTATACTATTCCATTATGCTTGCCTATTCATTTTTGTTGCAGAAATAGTAGGTAGCATTGAGTACACTCAGTCTTAGATCCCTCTCATCCTTTATGAGGAATATAACACCCCTTAGGTACAAACCACTGAGAAGCTCAAATAAATTTTACCTACTAGATTTTGGAAAGGGATGCTGGATCTGAACTGATGTTTAAATTCATTGGAAGGTCCATTGGTCTACTTTCATGTTTCTGTTTTGTAAAGTGGAAACAAGATATTGGAAAAGTAGAATCATACCCTTGTTTTTACTAGACATTTCTTGGAGTTTTCTTTAATAAGCTCCCTAGTATTAGAGAAAATTTCAGATGTTTACATGTAACTGGAATCCATTCAGTATCAACTATTCACAAACTATATTGTTATGAGAATAGTATTCCACATTAATAGTAGTATATGTCTACTGTAATTGTAACCATTCAATGCATAATGCTTTTAAGTATGAATGATCTTTGATGGTGAGAAGTGTATAATCAATATTTGATGTTGCTCTATTGGAAGCATATTATCATATGGAATAATGCTAGTTCCCTTCAATGTGTGTTTTTGTACTATTCCTTCAAATTAGACATTTTCTTGTTATGAATAAATGACTACATTTGATAATTCCACATTAATTCTGTATCATCCTACTAGTAAGACTGCATATACATCACTTGTAACAGTTTTGATATCTAAATACAATAGTTACTCTAATGGTTCATTTTGCTTGAAGAAACTTGAAGCAACTTATTTAATTCAGAGCAAGTGATGACTTTGCACTGAACCACGCCATTGCTTGTCACTACCTATATAATTCCATTAATTATACTGTGTTGGAATTCCCAGTCTTCATCTCTAAACTGAGGCCCAATAGGTAGCTGTTATTAATTGTGATTAATACTGACTACTATGTGTGTATGTCTTTCCTTTATTACAGTAACATTTCAAAGAGGAGATGGAGGACTAATGAGCAATGGGAGGTATGCTAAGGAGTTTCTTTTTATTATTATTTTTAATCAGTACTGGGGAAATTCTGTAGTGAGCAGCTATTATTGTAATAAATGATCACTTATAAGTCTGAGAATTCTAGGAGGAATTGAATGGCTTACCACAAGGTTTAATGATCTATCTGTTGTGCACTTTAGAGGAATCAAGTCCAGATGTTTCATATCTCCCAGATGCCCCTGAAGAAATTAGTAGTAAATATCACAAGGAATGTGTTCATTTGTTAGCAGGATGTTTATTGCATTAATTAGACATTAGCAAATGAAGTTGCTGTTGTTTAAGACTCCTTATTGGCTCTCACTAAATTGCTGTGAGTGAACAATTACACATAATCGATCACAAAGTAAATGATTCATGGATGATGAATAGGCTGTAGATTGATAGGACTGGATTCCACAACTTTGGATACTCAATTGAAATTGATAAAAGCTGATAACAAAACCATATATCCTCATCTATTTTCCCTTTGCCAATATGGAGATTGTAATTAGGCTCTGGTAATAACTTCCAATCTCCCATTTAATCAATATTTTAGCAAAAAGAGATTAAGTCTAATGAGAGCTAGCAGATATACCAAGAAGCAATTGAATCTTCTTATTGCAGTTTCCATAGAAACACACGTTTCTCTTAGGGATTGTACCAGAAGGGGTCTATCAAAAAAAAGTACAACAATTATAGGTGATCTATTTCTTTGTAAGTATGCTAATATTCTGAAAAGGAATCAAAATCCTATCTTTACATTAAATAATGGAATTCCTTATTAATGTGATAGGAAAGAAGTTTTCTTCATAGGCTTTGGTAGATGTTGAGTCATATAACTGGATCTTTTACTGCCTTAAACCCTTAACTAGCCCTTTTATTTTGCAATGTGAGTAGCCTGGAAATGTACTATTGGTAGAAAAGTATAAGAAATGTTCATTAATTTGTGTCAAGCTATATGCCTCCAATCAAGTCTTAGGGCTCTGTGTAAGGGTGACAACCTAGAGAAAACAGATCCAGTTAGGGGGGTACAAAAATGAGGATTGAATAATTTAGTTCTTTGGAAATGGCAGATATGGAGCAGCTACTCAAGAGAAATTGTTCCCTTGAGATGTCAATTTACCATAAAACTGGGTCTTATGATGCTGTTATGCCCCCTGTTTCCCAACAGTTTCAGAGTGGACAACTGATGTCATTTGCATGTGGGCAGAATCCCAGGCAAAGCCTTTTTGCTTCCACTGACAGAGAAGATCTATGTATAGCTTTAATGAACTACTAAAGTTCCTTTATTTCTTAAGAGCACTTGCAATTTAATTTGAAGTCAATTAAAATCTTATATCTCCTTACCCTTTATCGCGGGTAAGGAAGATGTCAAATTCCCTCACTGAGCCCCACAGGCTAATCTCCATTTCATTTCTGTTTCAGCCGCCCAGGTCTTCTAAATGCTGGGGATCCCAATTATCCATGGCTTGCTGATTCATGGCCAGCCACGAGTTTGCCAGTAAACAATAGCAATAGTGGCCCAAATGAAATTGGAAATTTTGGGCGCGGAGGTAAGTTCTGTGTTTCAAAATAACAGTATCTGTTATTTGGGTGTCTATTTTTAGTTTGGTGTTCTGGAATTTTTTTTAGTTTGGTTTTCTTCTAAGCATTTTACATTTATGTGTTGTATGTAGATCACCAAATATGGGGTTACAAACACACACGGGAAAGCCAGAGGGAAGCTTGCAGAACGCATTTCTCTTCCTCGACTGTATGGGACCCAGGGATCAACCTCAAGATATCAAGCTTGGTGGAAGGGCCAGTAACCTCTGAGCCACCTTGCTGACCTCAGAATTTAAAATAACACATTAAAAATATCTCCTTTCAGGACCGGGTGGGTGACTCAGTGGGGAAAAAATGACGTAATAGTCTCTCAGAGGACCCCAGTTTGGTTACCAATACTCACATTGCACAGCCACCTATAACTTCAGCTCCAGGGGATACAACATTTTCTTCTGGATGCCAAGGGCACCTGCACTCACATGTGCTTAGACACACATACAAGCACCTAATTAAAATTATTGTATAGAGTATCTTCTTTTGTAATTAAGACAATAAAGACATACAGCAATAATGCTATTCGTTGCTAACAATTTTAGTAGAAAACTTGCATGTCTAAATCATTTGAAGCAAAATTAGGGTTTTAATGAAATAATTAATAATTAAGACGTACACAGGCAATGGGACCGGGACCTGTCCTGGGGTTTATGCAGGGACACTTCGCTCAGCCTGGGAGGATGGGACTGGACCTGCCTGGACTGAATCTATCAGGTTGAGCTGAATCCCCAGTGGAGTCTTTGCCCTGGAGGAGATGGGAATGGGGGTTAGGCTGGGGGAAAGGCGGCGGGGGTGAGTGGGTGGGAGGGGGGAGGACAAGGGAATCCATGGCTGATATGTAAAATTAAATTATAAACTAAAATTGTCAAAACAAAAAAATAATTAAGATGAAAAATATTGACTGAGCATTCAGATTTTCAAATATTATCACAAGAATACTAAAACTAGAAACTAGGAACTTCAATGTTGTACTTGTACTACATGTTTTACCCACTCTGTCCTAGTTAGCATGCTTTCTACCAAGTAACTCTAGCATGACTTGCAGTATGGGAATAATGAAGAGTATAAATTTCATATAAAAAGAGATGGTCCTTACCATGATATAATATGCCTATGAAAAGTAGTTAGCAGCTAAATAAATAAGACATGTTCAGAAAGAGACTTCTGAAGTTCTATGGTTAATAAATGGTATTTCAAATGAAAGGTGTAATCATGCTAAGTAGCTCCTGACACTTCCAAATTTGGATGCTACTATTATCTCTATGAGTTTTATGTTCTATTGTAAATATGTTCTACTGTAAATATCTGTTACTTTCTCCCAAACATGTCTTCTTTGAATAAAGGTATAAAAAAGGTAATTCTATAAGGAGAATTGAATGGATGAACATCAAGGTGAAGGCTTTTGCTACATCTCTTTGTTTAGTGTGAAAGATGTGTTAGCATTTACTCTTTATGTGGCACAAAGCACAAAATACAATGAGCATGTAATAGGTGCCTGTAGGTTACAAATGACAATGGAATGGAAACTGTATGATTGACTAGTCAGCTTCTAACTCTATGTAAAGTATCATAGGAAATGTTTGTGCTGAACATTATCCAAATAACTTCTCCCCAGTCTGTCCTCTCCGCTATTCCACAACCCACTTTGTAAAAATAAATTGGGTTTCCAAAGCTCTCACCCAACCAGGATTAGCTTTCTCCTTTGCTTGTATTTGTATCAGAACACCACAACATGCTATGTTCAATAAATACATACATAAAGACTATCATGACTTTATTAGGCAAGCTACATTAACTTCTCAGATGTCTTATTCCTGTTTAACCAAAATATATATGTGTAGATTTGCAAAGGTTTTCTTTATGACTATCTCATTTTTGTGAATTGGAATACTTCACAGATGCATTGAGGTCAATACAAAGAGTTTGCAGGTTTTTCCCAATTTCTTTCAGTATGTTAGATATTTTAAGCATTCACTTTTTAATGCATGAAAAGGAGCGCATGGCACTTTTCATACTTATTCATATTTTATAAAGTTATAAAATAGGTAACAATATTTATAGTTTAGAAAGTTAAGAAAATAAATTTAATCAAGATGAGTAACTTGGGATCTGGTTAGAGAAAGCAGTTCCAATCAAGTTTTAAAGCCTTCGATGTTTTATCTACACTATGTTCTTTTCTTCAAGTGGATTTACATGTATGACTATATAATCATAGTATGTACAAGAACTACCACAGACACTAAGATTTTCCCATCAATAATGTGATAACAACACATTTGATATATAGATGAATGAGTAATTCAAATAATAAAGTGACCCACTAGCAAATAATTTGCCCTTTTGTCAAGACAAAAATAAAAATTTATTAGGCTATTTCAGTAACAAGTATTTTCTCTTTTCACGTCACTGGATTGTGGAATTATTGAAATGAAGACATAAATCTCAAAAAAGAAAAAAACGCTCTTCCACAAGTAACTGAAGATGCAGTGAAGAAGAGAGCCATTCACAGAAATAATGAAGCAAAATCTAAATGAATTCATAAATCCAAGTAGAACCAAGATGCCCTAAGCTTCATTGCCAATGCAGACTACAGAGTAGTCGTCCTTTAATTCATAGATTTCAAACACAATATTAACAAGCGCCATACAGACCAAATCATTAAGGAGTGGCTGCTGGGAATCAGGAGAAATGAAAAGTGGGAAGTGCAGCCTCACTACGGTGATGCCCCTTCAGATGCAGTCTGTTGGGAACAGATCAGGCACAGAGCTCCAAACCATCTCATAGTACTAGACTCCCTTCCACATACAAATATGTGTGAATAATCCCCAGTGTTTCAAAAGTAGGGTATGATTCTACTTACTATTGAAAATGTGATAGTGATCAAGACAATATGCAGCTGCCAAAATCAATATAGGTACAATTTCACTTGTAGACTGACTATAATTTAACCTAGTAGGGAGCAAGTGTGTGTCCAAAGTCATAGTCAGTGTGGTAGCAGCATATCGTTACCTATGGTTATGTTTTTGGTTACTCTCCCCCACCCCACCCATTTAACCTTTTGGACTTCCCCATAAAAACATTTCAAGTGTTTACAAATAAACTGTCCTATAATCTAAGTCTAAAACATCGGAGAAGTTTAGATGCAAGATATGGAAAACTAAGTCCATGTTGGTGAGATATTCTACCTAATTAATGTTCATAAATGAATGACAGGGAAGAAAAAGCAGAAAAATGTCTGAAAACTCATTGATGGGAATATTTTCACTAACTAATATTATCAAACATGAAGATTTTTAAGAGTAAAAGGATACTAGCATTTAAATTTTAAATGGTTTACAGTTAAAAACTAGAAGGATAAGAAAGTAGGGCAATTCTGTAATCTAAAAAAAAAAAAAATTTGGCTGGGCGGTGGTGGCTCACGCCATTAATCCCAGCACTCCAGAGGCAAAGGCAGGATGATCTCTGTGAGTTTGAGGCCAGCCTGGTCTCCAAAGCGAGTTCCAGGAAAGACACAAAGCTACACAGAGAAACCCTGTCTTGAAAAACAAACAAACAAAAAAAGAAAAAAGAAAAAAGAAAAAAGAAAAAAATTTACTTGCTTATATGACTCAATGAAATATTATAAGCTTGAATATAATTAGTGATCACACTAATATTCATTTGAGATATTTACTTTAGCAAAGTAAAATCTACTTCATTTAAACAGATTGGAGGAGTTCTGGACTCAGAACCTTTTGAAATTGAAAACTTTTTGGTGTACAAAATTATAAATTTTATGTTATTAGGACAAATTCTCTAGCTATCATGTTACAAAAGCAAAACTAATTCTTTTTTTTTAATTTTATAATTTAATTTAATTTTACATATCAGCCATGGATTCCCTTGTTCTCCCCTCTCCCATCCCCTCCCACAACTTCCCCTAGCCCACTCCCCATTCCCATCTCCTCCAGGGCAAAGACTCCCCTGAGGATTGAGTTGAACCTGGTAGATTCAGTCCAGGCAGGTCCAGACCCCTCCTCCCAGGCTGAGCTGTTGAGAGTTGTCGAGTCTAAGTTTTAAGGCAGTTGAAAAGTTTTGTATAATGAACAAATCAAGTGGTATGATGACTTCAAGGGCTAGGGTGCAAGATTTGTAGAGCACATGTTATGGGGGGGTATATAATCAGATTGATAATAATTCTAAATATCTAAAACCAGTGTTAGCCGAGTCGAGTCCTTTGAAAAAAAGAAAATGAGCTCAAGAGAGAGATGACAGGTCTAAAAATAATGCATCATGCAAAGATAGTTCACATCACCCAATGATGAATGGGCTGATTGATATTCATTGTTGTTCCTACAGTTTAATTTTACTTTTGCTGTTGTACAGTGTGAAACTCTAATTCTCTGGTTCTCAAAGCTGATAGCATAAATTACATCCACTGATCACCAAGACTCCTTTTTTTTCTGAGTTGAATCCTCTGTATTGTAAAAATAACTTATATGTGAAAACTTTCGTTTGTTATCCACCAAAAAGAAATCTGTTTTCTTTCATTTATTCTCCACTTCCAATACTGTGAAATAAAGCAATATAAATGGCAAGTTAAAACTTCAGAAAAAGTGTTAATTTCATATTGAGGATAGTATTATTTTGGACCATTTTTAACTGTACCACGGCTACACTTTTTTGTCTCTTGTGATAAAGTGCAAAGAGATGTTTTCATCTCTAGTTTATATATTCCCTCTTAGAAACATTTCCATAAAATGCTAACAGTTTCTTTGCTTATAAAAGCAAGTGAACAACTGAGTGTGTTTCTCAGGAGTGGAACATCCCAAATTTCTAATTCGTGCTCGAAGAAAATGGGGAAGAGATGTAGTAAGCAGTGAGACGTGAAGGATGTGAGTTGAGCCCGCCTGTCACTGGGGTTGATGGTCTGACGATGGTTGTATATCATCTCCCCTTCATTGGCTCATGAAGCCCATCTCTGTGCAGTGCAGACGTGCAGTGTGACACATTTATTTTTCATCTTCTGTCCTGATAGTTTGGGTTCCCGTGCATCATTCAATAGTTTCGTCTACCTCTGTTCATTGCAGACGTGCTGCCTCCAGTTCCAGGCCAAGGGGATAAAACCGCAACGATGCTTTCAGATGGAGCCATTTATAGCAGCATTGACTTCACTACCAAAACTACTTACAACAGTTCCAGCCAAATAACACAGGCCACCCCATATGCCACGACCCAGATCCTGCATTCCAACAGCATCCACGAACTGGCAGTTGATCTTCCTGATCCACAGTGGAAAAGCTCAATTCAACAAAAGACAGACCTGATGGGATTTGGCTATTCACTACCTGATCAGAACAAGGGTAACAATGGTGAGTCAGTTTCTAGTACCTTGAGAAATTAATTTCACATCATTTATGCATGAGATAGAAATTTGTATTTATTGTTCAATGTTCAATTTCGTGATCCATTACAAGGTTTATTATCTAAGCTAAAATATTCTCCTGGCATGTATGTATCCAGCACCTTAAATAATCACTACCACTGCCACCATTACTGCTGAATTCACCATCACACACCAACACCAACTGGTTTCATTCTTTTTAGCATTTTTCAATATAATAACCAGTAATCCATCTCTACTTCCATTAGGAAAGGATAGATAAAGCATACCTCTTCTCTCCCACAACATCTGCTTCTGAGTTGCTAACTGCATGTTCTGCATGGGCTTGTGCTGTGAACTAATCACATGATGCCACTATGACCTCTGCCCTTTAACCCTTAGCCTTACTTTACATCCCTGACTACCGATTGGCTGAGGGATTGTCTAATAGAATGCCACACAACCAGTCACAGGATTTCAGCACCACCAGCTCTCACAACAGCTCAGAAAGGAGTGGCAGTCTCTCAGGTTGGTCTGATCACAGTAAGGAGAAATATTTGTTTGTCAAGAGCATATGACCTGTGTTCCTAGCTACCATTGAAGAAATATTGAATTCACAATCCAGTAGCAGGCATTTATCTATCAAATGATAGTCATTGATCATAGTGAAGTCGTGCTTTGATTGTGGGAGGAGGAGGAGGGATAGAATTGCTGTCACCCTTTTGTGAACTGTACAGTGATGTACTTGAGGCAAAATAGAGCCATCTTCATAAAGACGGCTCATGAAGAACAGGTGCATTTTGTCTGTCCTGAGCCCTATTTGAGTCAAGAGAACTTTATAATGAAAAGGTTATACATGTTATTCAGTTCCAGGTCATTGATTCTAGAAAATACACATGATGGAAATAAAATTATTGTAGAGCCTTATATTAATGTTGGAGCAATGCAGCCTCATCATTTTCTATATACATGGTAAATTATTAACACTTAATTTAAAAGCTATGCATATAATATTTTATGTGGCTTCTTGTTTTTATATTGTAAATTTGAGCATGTACTTGAAAGAAATGGGCTGAACTAATTGTGATGCAGACAATCCAACACAGAGGTGGAAATACATTTTTGTTATGGTAAAATGCATTTCCACCCTAACATGTAACAGTGACAGTTCTACCATGAGACTCTTCACCTGTAACAGGAAGACATTGTGGTAGACATACATTACCTTGCAATTTTATTCACACCATATGATTGTTGATTTTATCTATATATTTCTAATTGATCACGCCACCCAACTTGTTTTATCTCTTCAGATCAGTGATATGCCATTTACATGAAGTCTTTCCAATATATATAAATAGTAAAGGATTATAGAGTGTTGGTGGTTCCCATGGACTTCAGAGCATCAAGAGTTAACTTTCACCACCACTAGGATTACATTTACCAAATTACTTTTCCTCAGGAGATAGAATCCTCTTAGACCGAAATGTTAATGCCCTCTTTTCCCTCCAAAATGAGTCATTGCTCTTCTTGCTTATTGGTAGGATTAGATACGTTATAGAATATGAAAAAAATTTAAACATCTGTTATGAATTTAAAGTGACTGAATAATACAGGGGAACTTTAGGAATGACCTTCTATGTCATTTTTGCTGTCATTTCTGTATAATTAGTTCCACAATTGTTCTGTATAATTAAAAAGTAATTTTGCTGAAACTTCCTTTTCAGTTCATTAAAGATATGTAAATATCAAGCAATGTATATAAAGAACACTGCATACCATAAGCCATGGGGTCTATAGACCTGTGAGCCAGCAAATATTTGGTATAGATCAATTGTCACCAGCTTTTAAAAGATATTTCTTAAGTAATTCTAAGCAGTAGTGCATGCTGCATTGTTGAGCCCTGTAACATCCCATATGACATGAATGTACAGGTCTAGGAGTTATGATAAATACTTCATCTACATTTGAATATAAAATTACTTTAATTAGAGATAGAGAGCTTTTTCAGTAGCTGGGATTGAAATTTTGATTATACCTTTTTTAGGTTACTGTTCAGTTAAAACTCAAATTGGAGTTCAGTATTTCTGTTCTGCTTCATATTGGTGTTTCCTAATGTTCAGATGTAAGACTAAACACCCTATGACTAGCTGATCCTATCATGATTTAGCATTTGTAAATGATCTGTTCACAATGATGTTAATATGTTTTTAAAAATCACCAAGATTAAGAAACTTTCATTTCTGACTTATTTGAGTAAATGCATTTCATTCTTTAAAATATTTTACAATATATCCCTTTTAGAAGTTCTAAAACTTCTGTTAAAAGTCTTATTATTAAAAATGTAAAACTGAGATGTTTTGCAAAAAAATAACAAAAATAACAATCCTGTATGTATAATATATATGTGAAAATTACTGAATTTTTTCAATGTACCAACTTTCAAAAAGATTATACATTCAATTTAATATACATTATCATTTATATACAATATATTTTGGGGTGGTGATGAGGTCAAAGTCAGGACCTCATGCATCCTAGGCAACTGTTCTACTACTCACTTCCTTCCCTCTCTTTATGCATTTATTTCTAAAATAAATTGTTTTCATAGTTTTTCTTCCATAGTATTCATTTGTTAGATATACAAATAATATAAATATTTACAGTTTGACTTGAAGAGAGAGGTCAAATATTTGGGCAAAGCCTCAAAATCATAGTGAAAGAAATTCTCACTTAAAATGATGGAGCTTTTATTTGCAGGTTGTGGCAATAGATTGTGGTTCATTCCAACTCAGATCCAGATCTCAGAAACAACTTTAACTCCCAGGTTAGGTCATATGCTCACCACTGTCATAGAAGCACATCACTTAGCTTAGAGCTAACACACACAGTCATGTTGATGAGGACTCCTGATTATTCAAAATGAGAAAAGAGATAACTGTGCATTTCCAGAGGAGGAGAAAAGAGATGTTTTGTGGAAGGCCCTTGGAAATTCCCTTCAAGAATCAGCTACTTCCCAAGCACATTTTAATGCCTGTTGTTTACAACAGTAGGTGGTGAATTGTTTTCTGGAATTTTAGTAAGAATTTCAGTTTGGATTTATGTAAGGACTGAAGGACAATTGGGTTAGACACTATGCAAACAGCTGGCTCTTGGCAAGCTGCTGCCTGGTGAATGCAGATTTCTCTCTTTGAGAATCTGAGAGTTGATCCTGGAGCACTCCCTGAGAACCACAGTATCTTACCTTTAAAATGGACACATAATGTCTTCCCCGCTTTCATCACTCAGTTCTCTTGGTGTCCACATAACGATTCAAAAAGGGCTGTGGGAATTCATGCAGATGATCCTCATCAAAGACAAAAGGCAGTACAGCTAGGGGGTAGCAAGGAAAGATGAGTTGCTCAAGCTATTCCTTTTGAAATAGTAAATTTTCATTCCAGTTTTATGAAAAACGATGTAGTCTTTGGTTGTTGTTTATGATTTCAGCGGCTTAAGGATTCAAAGATTCATTTCACAGTGAAAAAATAAAGATCTATTCATCAGTAAACTCTTTGCTTTATTAGAAACTCAGGCTGTTTCTGGCATACTTACTGAGCCTGGAAAAGTTGGATAATATTGCAGAGGTGGCTAGAAAATGGATTCTTTTCTCCTCCTCCTCCTCCTCCTCCTCCTCCTTTTTCATCTTCTTTTTAAATGAGAGAGGAGATGGAAGAGAGTAATGATGACTGGCACTCTACTTAATATTTTTCATGTAATGTCTTTTGTATTTCTAAAGATAGTTCAAGGAACTAGAAACATCCATTTTCTGTAGATGGAAATTAAGATGACACCTACTGACTGACCTATGACATCATAAAGGAATTAGCGCTCAAGTCCAGAAATCAAGCTCTTACCCATACAGGCTGAGTGTAGAAGATGCCTGTTCTCATTCCGTCATGCCTTTTCTTCCATCAAAGAATTAAAACAAAAAGTGAAAATACTATGTACTGGGACTATATAGTGGATAGGAATGTAGGCATGGATGGCATGTAGAAAATGTGTACTCTGCAATAATGTGCATGTCTAGTGTAACAGTGTTATCTGTTGCTAGGCTTCCAATATATTATTAATATAGAATATAATCTGATTTTGCTAACTCAGGTTAGTAATATATAGGAGAAAGAAAAAAATGGATGAGCTTCATCTGCATGACTAGATAGCGATGCTAGAAATACCTTATACTCACAACATTTACTTTAATAAAGATTAAGTGCAAGGGGTCAATACCACTGTTGGCACATGCATATAAGCTGATATAGGAGTCATATAAGTTGCTTAGGTACCCTTGAAACATCTTTTGCTTCTTTGCTCCAAGAATATTCATCCTTGTATCAATCTTGGTACCATCCTTGTTAATAAAGAAGCTATATTTATTTAATATTGGAAAAATAAAATACATAGCATAATTCAAATGATGTTTTCTTTTTATAGTTCATTAATTTTCATGTACTCTCAGATATGGTTCATACACTGCTGGCTTACTTATATTTGTGCATGAGTTCATTTGTATTACACAAATTATGTACAGAACCTAATTACTCTATTTCCATGATATTCCCTTCATTTTGAATTTTATGAAATATTAGAATTAAAATGGTTGAGAGTTTTTTTTAACATAATATACACAAATAATGCTGCTATTCATTAGACAAAAAGTCTATGAAATGTACCTTGGTGGATATTCTCCAGATTGTAGTTGATTGATTTTTTTTTTTTTACCCATGACTTTGGAGAGAATATTACTCCTTTGGATTAATTAAATTGAATGAATTCTATTGGAAAAGTTTAGCTTGTATCCTTAGACACTGAATTGTCCACTGAGACAGATTATATAAAGGAGCATTATAAACACAGTAAAATCTGTCATTTAAAGGAATTTGCTATGAACCATTATTTTGTCTAACAATAGAAATGTGGAAGTAGCAGAGGTGAATAAATCAATAAATGCGCTTATTTATTAAAATGTGCTTATTACACAGTAGCCATGTTTTTTGGTTCATTCACTTCTGCAGATAATGAATTAGGAGAAACAACGCCACTGGTGGAATCCATAGCAAAATGCTTTTCTCTTCCTGATCGTTTCATTTCATTGCCTAGATTTTTTTTTAATCATGTCTAACATACTGATTCTGGTTTTGAAAACATTAACACATCCTGGCATCTGATATACTCTGTTTCTTTGGATACTCAGCCTCTCTGAATACATGCGTTTATTGCTTTCAGGTGGGAAAGGTGGAAAAAAGAAGAAAAACAAAAATTCTTCTAAAGGGCAGAAAAACAATGGATCGACTTGGGCTAATGTCCCTCTACCTCCTCCTCCAGTCCAGCCCCTTCCTGGGACAGAACTGGGGCACTATGCTGCAGAACAACAGGAAAATGGGTAAGAAGGTGGTGTATTCTGACAACATGGCCAAGGCTGCACTTCCATCTCTATCCATTTTTGCTATGTACTTCTTAATCATTTGACTCCCTCCCTCCATGCTCATTGCATCCTCCCTTACTGTTTGCACTCTCTCTATATTTTCAGCTGATAAATATAAAACAGCCTGTATTGAGGAGTGAGAATCCTTGGCCCTCAAGTGCTTTAGATTGTCTGCAATCATGATAATCAGCCTCCATTTATAATATTGCTTGTTAGTTTGAAAGCAAGGACCCACAGCTCTGTGAACTAAAGAGGCACTCCTGAGAAGGGCTGAAAGGGAATTAAAGTAACCTTCTTCATCATCCCGTGCAGCTTCCTAATGACTTGATGTCTGGCCATAGCAGGGCGCCACCAGGAGAGCAGCATCACAATGGGATAATTGTGGGGACCTGACCAGTGGGTAGAACTTTAATCATCAGTTTTGATGGGAATTTAGGGAACAGAACAATAAGAGATTCAAGTCAATGCACACTCTATAACAAAGTCTTTTTAAGTTAGACAATTTCTTTTGATGGTCCTTAAATGTGATGTTTCTCTATTCTTTCTCAAATATCCCCTGACTTAGTTTCCTGTTAGTTTGAGTGGTGATTGATTTGAAACACAAAGGCATGGATAATGTTTTTTTTTATTACAAAAAAATCAAATGAAATATTTTACCTAAATTAATATTTCTAAGTGCTGTGTATTGCTTTCAGTTTGCAAATTAGTATTTTGACTAGGTTTGTAGGCAACCCAAGAATACAAAATATATTGAGATATTTTTCTTCAGAAATTTTGTTTTACATAGAAGTATTAACATATTAAATGTAATTTAATTACATAGTGGATTGTGGTTTATATTTGTTCAAATCATGTAAATATCATATGCATTTGCTTATAAATTTTTTGCCTTTGTATATATGTACATAATATAGCATATATATGTATATAGTCTACTCATATAACAATACACACGAATCTTTCCTCCATCTCTCTATCTCTCCAATAGACTTCATTTGTTTCTCTGGGAAATAGTGTTCATATATATGCAAATAATGATTATTTAACTAATCAAAATGTTTCCATTTGAAATTAGCAGTCAAGAGCCCACCCTTTCTTATCCTGGCTTGAAAATTAAATTGTGAATATGATTTTAATTCGCACCAGTGATGTAAATATCTCACAATCTCATGAAAAATACGAGCTACATATTTCATCAAAAGGGTTACTACAGGATTATTAGTTAATAATTGTAGCCAGAAAACAATGAAATGGAATAGGATAAAAGCAAGTGATGGTGGCCATGAGGAAGAAGGATAGTTAGGAGAGAGTCCTAGCTGGGATTAACAATAATGTTGAAAATATAGTCTCTAGTTACTAATTATGATTTGTAGTATTGGTCATTAAATGCCTTCTAAACCTTCCATGGCTGGTTTCTTTCTTCACAGCACAAAATAGCAGAAGTTATTTAATCATTGTTCAAATGAAATGATATTTGAATGTTAATTCAATCATGTAGCCATGGTGCAAATGCTTTGCCTTCTTAATATGCTTCTTCTGTTTGAAAAAGGCAATGTGTTAAATGTATTAGGGCCTAGCTCTGACTGCAATACATTTATTATAGTCATAGGCTGCATGGAAAAATTCAATAGTAATTAAATAGGCACTTTGCTTTGTTCTTGCAATTAGAGATTGGCAAGCTTCTGCCGGAGTTGAATGTTATTGTATTTTTATTAGTAATTTGGTATTTATATCTGGCCTTTAATAAGTTAGTTCGCATGCTGCATTGATTTGCTGTCATTTTGATCATTACTCATTAGGAAAGACAGATAATAGGAGGCCTCATACTTGGCTATCAGAATGTCAAGGAACAAGGACTTGCCTTGGGAAGGTTGGACAAAAGAGCTTTGGTTGTCCATTGGGAGTATTTTTGTAGACATTGTAGGTTACTGCAAAAAATATCAGAAGTGTATGGCTTCAATAAGATGTGCAGTCCTACAAATTGCAATCCATAACTAGAGACTGTATTTTCAACATTACTGTTATTCCCATCCAGGGCATTCTTGACTCTAGCCTTCTTCCTCATGCCCACTGTCACTGCCTTGCTTTCATCCCTTTTCATTGTCATATTGGCCATTTTGCTGGAACGCTCCCAGCATTATCCACCTGAACCAAGTGGATCTTATAAAATATGAAGGAAATCATTAAATATATATATATATATATATATATATATATATATATATATATATCCATAGTCACCTGCTCCCTTCTGTTCTTTCTTTGGTAACAGCAGTAAACCTTTCCATTTAGCCCTCAGGAGTGGATTCAGATATGAATACCAGGGAGGTGATGAGCAGTTCAGTTCTCTGCATAACATGATATGAACTACATCCTGACTTGGCTTCCTTCATTCACTCTTGTTAGTCTCCAACTCTTTGGATATTTTTTTTCCACTTTTTATTTTTTTCTTCCTAGAAACCACATTGGATAATGCACTTTTTTTCAGACTTTCTTGTCCATCAAGGGTGATCAAGTTTATTCATTGTGGTTCCAATTATCTTTGCAGAGAATATAGAGGAATGTTGATGATAGCATCCACCCTACTTTAATGAAAGATTAATAAAATTGGTTTAAGTAATGTAGCATACTATGTAATTTATTTACCTACTATTGCAATTTTTCATAATTTCAAAGTCTTTAAATAGCCTCTTCTTTGTCCAGTATTACTTGAATAAAAAAATGAATCAAGTATAATTTACTCTAAAGCTTTTCACTTTATCATTGCAAATAATGTATATAGCACATGCTTCTCTCACTTGTCTTACTCATGGTATATTCTAAATTTATACATCATTTAGATTGTTTAAAGAATTGCCTTAAAGAATCACCAAGTAGGAATACTTTTGATACTAATGGGCTATTCCTATTTGAAATACTAAATATACAGTACTTTCTATATTAGTTTTGGAAATATGCCAAGGTAAATACTGAAAATACAACCATTAATTTCTGATACAAAATGTGTTGTTTTTTAACAAACTTTTCAGAGTAAACTTGACTTTCACTATTAGTAATGGTTAACAGTAAACACGTTCTATACTGAAAATGGACAATAATTTTATTAGCTTCTAAATATGTATTTCAATGTAGCACTCAAACTCAAATAAATTAGTCATGTAAAGAAACAAACTTTCTTTTAATGAAGCTCTTTGCATGTCAATAAATGTGATTTTGGCCAGCTATAAGGGAACTAAATCTCCTTGAAGAAAAGATACTATAAACATATGAAAAGCTAAATATTAAACTGAATGAGTAAAAGAATCAACAGTGGAATTCTAAAATCCATTTTCAGATCAATGTTCAATAAGATTGCCAGTCCCAATTATGTGATATAATATTGAGTACTGGTTAGTGCTGTCAGTAAGTTTTACAAATTACAAATTTAGAATTTAACTTGAAGGCTTGTAAGATTAGATTAGAGAACCTGGAGAGGAGAAGCTTGTTTGAAATAAGTTTATTTCTATGGCCAAATATACCAAGCTACAAAATTGTAAAGGAAAAGGAAACAAAGCCATTTAGTTTCAGTGTGAGAGTCTTGCTGACAAACGATGTACTCAGACTAGAAAATATGTTGAAGCTTAACTATGTTAAATGAACATAACAGAATGAAGAGAAGTAAATGGCTCTCTTACACTGTTCTGATGTCTTCATAGATAAATTTGTAAATAGCAGGATTGATTGGATTTGAAAACCTTAGAGCATTAAATGCAACAAAGGATGCTGGCTACAGACTTTAGAGCAATAGAACTCTTTCTTCAAATGAAAACTGTGATCTCCATAAAACAAATTAAAATGACAATGTGCTAGCAAAACGTATTTTTTTTCAGTACAGACTGGCACATATAATATAGTTAATAAATAGGAATACAGATTTAGCCCATAGCATTTTCTTGGAGAGATAACATACTGCAATGTGTCTGCTGTTCACGATAGTATAAAAGACATTTAGGGACAGCCATCCCTTCCAAATTGTACTCCCAAAGCGGGGCTTTCACTTTCAGCTCCCTGAAACATAAAGGCATTGATGTAGCCTCAGCAAGGCAAAAGTAAATGACCACAGACACAAAACAAAGGAGCCATAGGAAAAATTAACTTTGAGTGGAGAATATTTTGTTTGTGGAAATAAGATTTTAGGGATCCATTGAGACTGGACAGGTAGAGGTGACACTGTTCCAAGCTCCCTGGAAGTGATGAGGTCCTATGTAACTGACATATTCCTTCCTCTTCTTACTTATGGCCAATATTTTTCTCTCTTTATCTCTTTTGGAAGCTGAGCTCTTCAGTACCTGCCTTTGGGCTGGCACATATGCAACAACATATTCCTGTTGCTATTGGCCAACAGAGCCTTGCTAGACCCCAGACATTTTGAGCTCTCCAGGTTTCTATTCCTACAGTGGTCTCTCTTGCTGGTGAGTTGCATCAGCTGATTCTACTATGCACAGTCATCCTTCCACCCTCTTATCTTATCATACCCTTACCAACTTCCTCCATTCCTCTTACCAAGGTTCTAACCCCTTCCAGGTTGTTCTTATCCAATGTTCTATTGCTGTGAAGAGACACTATGACCCCAGCAACTCTTATATAGGAAAACATTTAATTGGTACTGGCTTACAGTTCATAGGTTTAGTCAGTTATCAGGATGGGGATGGTAAGAAGCATGATGATATATAGGCAGACATGGTACAAAAGAAGTAGCTGAGAATTCTATATCCAGATTGTCAGGAAGAGAGAGAGGTTCTGGCTTGAGCATTTTGAAACCTCAAAGTCCACCTCCCGTGACACACTTCTTCCAACAAGGCCACACCTCCTAATAACCATTACCTGGTGACCAAACATTCAAATCTATGAGCCTATGGGGAGCTATTCTTATTCATATGTCTTTCTGTTTGACTTTTCCTTGTGTTTAACCAGAATTATTAACACGGGCCTGGCGTGAATCTGTCCACTGATGCCTGAATAACTCCCCAGTAGTTACATCACTGAAGACAACAACTTCCTGTCTTCTAGAAGCCACAGCTCCCTTGTGCCAAGCATGGCTCCAAGAGCCTCTCTTTCATCTAAACTATAATTACTGGTTTAGCCTTTTGGGAAGCACAACTTTTGAAAAGTCTTTTATTTTTTTAAGTATCTTAGGTTTTTTTTTTTTTTTGCTGGAAATACTAGGACTATGGAGTTGGTGTAAATAGAACTGTTATTTAAAATTTAATATATTACTACTCTATATTCTTGACCCAGAATACCTTCTAAAATAGCTTTGATATGCTACCTAAATCTTCAAAGTAAATTTTATAAACTGAAAATGTATAAAATGATAGATTTTGTGCCAAATAATTTTTACTGAAATTAGATAAATACTTTTTTACAAGATTTTTGGAACTATATGTTGAGATAAACATGATGTGAGTTTCTTTTGATAAATTTAATGAAATAAAAGATTATTGATGGTTTTATCACCAAGCATTGATGACGGGTATATTATATGGGATAATAGATTGCCATAGGTGTAGAAGAGTAAATATAATTCTTAAACACGTGTTAGATGGTCAATCAGCATCATTGGCAGATTCTGTTTGTGCACAAGGATGCACAAGAAAAGGAGGTGGATGCATCTCTAAGCATTGTCTTCATTAATTGTCTTTAATTAGCAAATTGGTGTTTCCACATGAGTAACTTTGGTGGGAAGTTATTACCATAGCTGTGTGGTAACAATTAGCTAAGAAGGTATTTTAAGAATAAGTTGAGACATTGTGAGATAGTAGATATAATTAAGAATAAGAACTAAGATGATAGTCAGGTGATTTACTATGATAGCCTCAATAATGTGATAAGGAAGACACAGACTTTTGAAACCTTTTAGACACCATTTGGCTGTTATTTATTGCTATTATAATTGTGCATTTATGGGTGTGGGTGTGTCAGTGAACATATTTCCTTGTTTCATTTCAGCTATGACAGTGACAGCTGGTGCCCACCGTTACCAGTGCAAACCTATTTGCACCAGGGTATGGAAGATGAGCTGGAAGAAGACGATGATAGGGTCCCAACGCCTCCTGTTCGCGGGGTGGCCTCTTCACCTGCTATCTCCTTTGGACAGCAGTCCACTGCCACTCTTACTCCATCCCCACGGGAAGAGATGCAACCCATGCTTCAAGCTCACTTGGATGAGTTAACAAGGGCCTATCAGTTTGATATAGCAAAACAAACATGGTAAATATCCTTTGTTAGCCACAGGCCCCATACTTTCTACATATGTAAATGTTTTTGGAAGTTTATTAAGGAGAGATGCTCATAAATCTGTGTGGGTGGGATGAAAAGTGGTTTAGAATATGTATTAGCCATCTATATACAGAAACTGGTGACAGAAATTTAAATAACCTGACCAACATCACTAGGCTAGTTAGAGAATGAAAGAAGTAGGGATTCAGACTGAAGCGCTTTTGGCAATGACAGAATCCTTTCTCACTCACAAACCAGCTCCAAATATTTTATCCTTGAACTTGTTTTGAATGCCACAATAAAGGACTCCTTTCACATTCTTTAAAGTGCCTGTGGTTAATTCTGTATGTGGTTGTGACTATGTAAATGCATGCTTCTGAATATTACTATGGACAGTGTCAGTTATTAAAGACCCTGTTTGAACTGAATTAAGTGTATTAGAAAAATAATAAAAATAAAAACAGTAAATGCTTCAACAGAAATGCAAGAACACTTTAAAATTTTTTTCCTAATGAAACTGCAAATCCATGAATCACAGATGGAAGTCTGTTAGGTGTTCTGTGAAAATGCAGCAGAAACAGAAACAGGACTAAGCATCATGATTTGTAGAGAATTTTTGATCTACATGTCAGTGTATATGACCTATCAAAAAGTATCTTCTGTTGATTTACATCATACTTGAAGGTGAGATGAAAGATTTTTCATTTTTTGGCTAGCTCTATTTACTGAGATGTATTCATAGTGAAATATTCATCTTTTTGGTATTTATGAGTAGCTTATTTTTAAAATACACCTAAGTATATATTTGAGAAGATACCCAAATAGGGAAAAACACTCCATGCTGTCACAAACATGTTTTTGGCTGAGGATCAGAAGCCCTTTATTTTTTCATAATCACAGATATATTCTCAATAGTCAAACATGCTTATTCTTAAACAATATTGTTTTACATAAAGCTCCTTTGTACAAAATACAACTAAATTTAAAACAATTGAATGATGAGACATAGGATTTCCTTATGTTGACTTATGAAGCCATGCAATCTTGTTACTTATACTTTACACACAGCTCTGATTCATATTAGAATCACTTGGACAAATTATTATACAATAATACCTAGATCCTACCTCCAAGTGGATTTTGATTGCTTAGTATGGAATTCCATAGAGGAGAGCCAAGTTTAGACCCACTTTCCTAAAGATAGATGGGTCTTACAGATGTATGACTTGGGTAAATAGGTCATGTATATGTATACTTCTGCTATATATAAAAGGATAGTGATGCTAATAATTAGCTTCCATATGAATTTGGAAGAGACCTTCCTAATAATACCCTAAATTATGATTAAGTATATGATCACAAAGTCCCCAAAATCACTCTGAAGTTTTAGAACATGCTGAAACAGTTTTAAGAATTCACTGGATCTTCTATAATCAAAGTTACAAATTATCCTCATAAAATACAATGAATTCAAATAAGCCAAGAGATGTGGTACAAAAGTCTGAAGAATTCGAAAGGCAGAGATCTCTCATTGGAGTTTCAGGTAGCCCTGTTTACCCAGCATTAGCAAAATGCAGGGAGTGTTACTAAGCCAAGAAGTACATGGGAACAGAGCTGGAGACATGGCCTTCAGTCTATTGAAGTTGTCTTCTCTCATGGCTGACCTCAGTAGTCAGACCACTGAGAGATAAAGCTACTGCTTTGTGAGTAGAAGCCCTATGATGATTTCTCCTGTTAAATATTGTGTAAACCAAGGTTTCCAAGTCCACAGACTCTTGTACCAGAAAGAACATGCTTATGAGAGTAGAGACTACAAGTAGGTTTTAGAAAACAAAGTCTACACCTTTTTAGTTATGGTGAAGCTATCGATTAGGCTTCATGTTTGGTTTAAGATTTAAATGTGTGCACATTTCATGGCCCTTAGCAAACTACCTGTCTATCTTATAATTTCTGAAAATGTTTAGAAAAGGTTGGACTTTTACCTGAATTGGTTCCTGATGTCTTTTCACGCTTAAAATCTCCCATTGACTAATTGCTTCATAGGTATCTCCTGAATGGGTGAATGAACTAAGTCATTTCCATATCTTCAACATACCCATACACTAGACCTTGTTTCTTGCCTTGAGAATGTTCCTACACAATCTACAATATTCTGAATGATGCAGATATGCATATGAGGGTAGTAATTCATTATTTACCCAAAAAGTACCTTACTTGCTCTTGTGGTTTGGAAGTACCTCCTACTTTAGGTTACATATCACTTTCACAGAACTCTAAATATAAAAGCTCCCAGCTTCATCTCCAGAGATGCTATTCACACTGACTGATGAAATGTTCAAAACAATTCCTATTACTAGAAGATAGTTAAAAATCCTGTATACTTTAATCTCATATTTTAGATTGACTTCTAATTCTGCTTAAATTGATGAATACATCTTTTCATTCCTTTGTAATTTTTCCCATCAAGACATTCCAACAGCTATATATAGGATTACAGTGTTGGTCTGTTCTATCCCAACCCATCCCCCAAATCTATAGCATTATACTGAAATGGACCACATATGTCACACTGCTTGATATCCTCTTATTTGTCATGTAGTGATCTCTTTCCTCAAGTTACAAACTGAATGTAATACCACATGTATAGCAAAGTGAGCCAGTCAAAGCTCAATATTCAGTATAACAAAGTTTAGTAAAACTTGCTTTTCATTCCTAAGTATAGATGAGTGGGTTGTGATGTATGCCAAGAGGTTGCATGCTGGCTCAAATACCTGCTCTGTAACATTAGAGATTAAAGCTGGCCACATTGAAGTGATGTCCAGAGCTAACATTCTTGGGCTTTTTATCATTGAAAGATTTAGAATACTGTTAATTTTACAATTGTTTGTAAATTCACAGATGCAATTCACAGAGGAATATCAAGCAAATTTTAGAAGAGGAAACATTTTCTCAAAAGATTGCAAATGAGAACAGAAACAATCCTTCAACTTTTTCAAAAGCCAGTGGCAAAAAAAAAAAAAAAAAAAAAAAAAAAAAAAAAAAAAAAACCAACATGTATTGTGCAACGACTCTTACATGGGAGGGGCCTTTTGAATACTTCCGTAGGAAGTCAAGAAAAAAAATGTTCAGACTTGGAACACATTCACTCTTTGTTGCCAGTTACAAATAATCATGAGTTGCCTCAAACTGAGCATTTTATATGTTAGGAGGAAATATTTAATGACCTCACAGCACAGCAAGTGGACCTCAGGATCCAGTTCCACATTGTGTTAATCATAAAATGAGAACCAAGTCACTTAGGCTTTGCTTAAATATTTTCTAATCAACAAATGGCCCTGCATGGTCCATTAATTTTATAATGTTGGGATTAGACTTCTTCACTCATTTCAAAAAGAAGTTATGGAACATGCCTTATGTTATAAATTCAGTCCCTCCACTTAAGACTTAGTTCTTGAGATACATTGCAAATACCTAGAGAGCACAAAATATTTATATCTAATCTACACTGGGATAATGGAACAGCTGTTCAGCCTGATGTGATGGGAATCATACCAAAAACAATCCTCACAGGACAGGAAGTGGGCCAGAGGCAGGGCCAGGGCAATCAGGCCCCCACCTGACAAACTTCCTTCAAACATGCTGCATAGGTTAAAACTCACCTGGAAATCAAATAACTTTGGTTATTGGGGGAGGGGGAGCATGTAGAAATGATTGGTGACAAATTTCTCTATTCTCTTTTGAATAATTTGTTGATATAAAAATACTTGGTATACATTTTCATATCTGTGTATTGTCTTATAAACATCCAAACAAGAACTTTTGTAGTTTACACTAATTGGTAAGGCATGCATCCATATCCCAGTATCTTTGGTGAAGTGAAAGAAAGTGCTGTGCATTAGTAAATATGGAAGACAGTATGAGTTACCATAACCTGCCATTTGACATGAATTACAATTTTGTTGAATGTTAATGAATTGCTTCTCGTGTTTCGTTTCTTTCCATTTAAATTCCAGGCACATTCAAAGCAATACTCCACCTCCACAGCCCCCAGTCCCACCATTAGGTTATGTGTCCGGAGCCTTGATTTCTGATTTGGAAACAGATGTTCCAGATGAGGATGCTGATGATGAAGAGGAACCGATAGACATCCCCAGGCCCCTCAGAGCACTAGACCAGACACCTGGATCCAGTATGGACAATCTAGAGAGCTCTGTGACAGGTAACAAAATGGATAGAATGAGAGAGAATAAGTGACCTATTTGCAACATTAAAATGTATCACAAATCAAATGCTTCCTTATGTAAGATGTATTCCACTCCATCTATTTTTGTAACATTTTAAATATGTTAATGTTAAACACCGAATTCAAAAAGGATTTAGAAATACTTTGGCTTTGCTGCTAAAATGATAAGGAAATTCATGAATTTTAAAAAGCTTTAAAGACATGAAAGAAAACTCAATTATATCCCAGGCTTTCATGAAAAGTTCACTCTGCTAGGGAACCAAGTCTATTATATGAAAAACCTTTCCTTTTCGAAATGATATAATTTGTATATCGGGAGCAACATACAAAGTGAATGAGATCTTAAAAATTCTTCTTGATATTTCACTCTGTAAAATCGTTCACTGATGAAAATAAGCAAGTCTTCAGAAGGAGCCTCTCTCTTAGGTTGCACATGGTACTATTTTTGGAGTGGAAACATGTATAGTGAGATAAGCAATACATTTATGCATTTCACATTGCTGAATCTAATCACCAGTCCTCTGCCAAGAAGTGTAGTTATTTTGACTGTTTATTGCTTAGCCCCTCCCCATTTTTTTCTTGTTCAATAAGCAAAGGCTTCAGTTGGTACATGGCTATGATGACTCTTGAACTGAGAAACAGCCCATTTCCAATTATTTAAAATTATACAATTGAAATCTCATATACACACAAAGGAAGCAGCAAGAGTTGAATTTCTGTCTTTCTCTCCCTGAGTTATCTACCCCTTGACTCACAAACATGCCCCAAACTGGATAATGAGGACATAGCTACTCCAAACCTAATTCTGATTTCTGCTTTCTGCTGAGTCATCTCAGATCACCCATATCTATGTTCACTTGAATGACTCCTGTCATCCTAAAATGCTTTTGATCAATCTCCCTGGCTTCTCTGAGCTCTGGTATCTTACCAATCTGCAGAACTGGGGCTGTCCGGTAGAACTGCAAGCACTGGTGGACCTTGGTATGCAATAGTACAGAGGACACATCAGAACCTCCGCCTTCCTTTTTGTGATTCTCGGCATCTGAGGCATGGATCTAATTTTCAGTTTGTCTCTTTGCCTGGAGACTGAGCTCCTTACAAAGCTAATTAAGATTTTAAAACCACAGATATATTCCTGGGATTGGAAACATAGATTGAATTGAAGGGGACAGAGCAAAAGTTAAAATTTTTGAATGCTGTGAGACCTGACTTATTAGTACACTATTATGTTAAGCCCCTTTGCCTGGATTTCTAGCATAATCTACTTTAGGGCAAAATTCTGAATATCTTTGCATATTTTACTAGTAATACCACACTGTTTCCCATTAAGAATGCAATGAAATTTCCAAGAATAATGGCAAAAGTCAACTTTAGCTGCGGAAGTTCCTTATTAAATGTTATAATGCCAGAGACAATCTGTATCTCCCTAAGTTAGCAGAACCCCATTCTACCCTTTACATACGCAACTGCTAGGAGCTAGTTAGGCAGTTTTAGGTGAAGATAGTTGAACAATCTGCACTTCTCCTGGAACTAATTCCATGTTCATGCCAGAGAAAACTTTCATTGCCAAGAAAACAAAGTTTCCTTCAATACTTGAATTTCATTGCTTAATTGTTTCCCTATATAAAAAACTTGGGCCATCTAGATATGTATTTCTCCATAGTGAACGTGTCCCATGAAAATCCATCTCCCGAGTAACATGCCTTTCACTACACTAGCTAAATAAAAACTTCTATTGTTTTGTCCTTTCTTGTACTTGTAACTCAGAGGAGAAAGTTTAATCAGAAGTTTAATTTACCTTCTAGGGTGTGTGTGTGTGTGTGTGTGTGTGTGTGTGTGTGTGTGTGTGTATGTGTGTGTGTGTATGTGTGCATACATGCACATACAAGCACAAGTACGTGTTTGACAAAAGTTGTATATGAGCATAATAGAGTGTATTTATTGTGTTGAATGTCGTGATACTTTATTTGTGATAAAATGTGATATTTTATTTGCATGTTAATAAATAAAGTTGCCTGGAGATCAGAGGTCAAATAGCCATTAAGCAGAAGTCCAGCAGTGGTAGCACACACCCTTAATCCAATCACGTGGCAGACAGAGTCTCTGTGTGGTCAAGGACACAGCCAAGCGTGGTGACAGGAGCCTTTAATCCTAGTACCAACCATATAGACCTGGAGGTTTGTATAGACAGGCAGTGATGACAAAGTCATGTGGCTGGGCTTAGAGGCAATGAGAAAGCAGAACATAAAGGCAATAAAAACACAAGTCAGACAGGAAGAAGCTCTCTCTGGGGAAGCGATGGCGGAGAGGTGGTAAGATACGGTAGTCATGGCTCTCTGATCTCTTTGGTATTACCTCTGTATTTGGCTCTATGTTTCTTATTTAAGAAGACTGTTTAGAATTTCATCTACAGTTGAATGTGGAAGTATGAAATGTATGTGAATGTAGATTAGATTTTGAGTGTATATGGAGAGTACGTGAGTCATGTAGAGAGTATGCATGCATTGGGAGTGTGGGTCAATATATTGGGGGACTGTGTACATTAGAATGTACATAGCCATGTATATAGAGATTGTGAGTACATAAATTTATGCAAGTGTATAAAATGAGTGAGTATATAGAAAGAATATGTGAATGTATATGTGTAGATTCTTTTGGGAGCTAGCAGAGGGGTGTGCATGGGAGAAAGCTGCAAACGTGCATGCATTTTGGAGATTTTCCCTGAGGTTCATGTATACTCTAATCATGATATACCCTCAGCCTTTTGCAAGCACAATGCCCAAATAGTGCACAGACATACATTCAGGCAAAATGCCTAAAAAACAAACAAATAAATAAAATTATTATAAAACCAGAGTTCTCCTTTTTAAAGAAGTACATTAATTAATTCAGAATATGTTCAGAACAATTGAATAACCTGTGGAGCTCCTTAAATTCTGAAATGAACATTCATTTGAGAAAAAAGTCTGGAGCAGAAATTATCAATGGTTCCAAATTATCTAAACTTGGTAATGAAAAGCATATATTGACAAACCTATTGCTTCATATAATTATTGCCCAAACAAGCATTTATTCTGTGTCCCTTACTTACAAACACTGGATCAGGAATTTAGATTCAATAATAGTAATAGTAATAATAATAATAATAATGAAGAAGATGAAGAAGAAAAAGCACCCTAAAAAATGCAGAACATTCTTCTAAGCACAGAGGTGGCTGCTTTTTGAATGGCCCATAGATTTAAGAATGATTTTCTACTATTTTTTCTTCTTGAGACAGGTTCTTACTATGTAGCACTGTTGTCTTGGAACTTAATGTATAGACCAGGATGATTTTTGCATGCAAGAATTCAATGTGTGCACTACCACAGGCAGACTTATTTTTTCACTAAAACATAGCAAGGAAACAAGAGATAAACAAAAGATAAGGGAAAGAGATAAAGAATCATCATAGGTAGGAAAGAACCACAAAGACAGAAAAAGAATGGATGACTGAGTTTTGGAAGTCTGGAGTACTGAGTATCTGGAACTTCAAAGATGTGCCCTGCCCTCTGTTCTCAGGATCTACCCTAGGTTGTAGTTCACTTAACCTTCAAGACTGTATGATTGCTGATGCTATAATTTTATAATAAGGAAACCAGGTCACAGATAAATCACAACACTTCATCTACCTAAAATGGTTAAAAATATATACAAAAATCAGTCTTATGCTCATTAAAATGACTGTCACCCCTGCTTTGGGAGTGCCTAACATTTATCTCTGAACATAATCTTACATAATAAGAAAATGATGACTGGTTTGTAACCCAACATGAGAATTTTTCTTCTGTATAGATATAGGTGGATAAATACGTATTCTAAAAAAGAAACCACATAAAGTTATATGGACACACTAAACCTAACTGTGTGCATACTTGATCAAGATCATGATGTGAGTTTTCAGATGTGACATCTATTTTTCTCATAATTGGTTCTACATTCCATTACAGCAAACTATCAACATTTATCTGTCAGCATTTTTAAAGGAATTATCATTTTTTAGTAATATGTGCATCTAACTTTTCCTGCACATCTATTTGATTGTCACAAAGACAAAAATAGTTTTGTGTGTTGCAGTGTGTCCTTGTTGTAGGTTGGGAAAGAAACACGGAAAAGCTTCTGTTTTCAGAAATAAGCTAGTGAGATTTCCACCTAAACATCAACCCATCATGTTAGGGTACCAGAGGGAGTCAGAATTCAGCATTTCTTTTCCAACAGGCATGGTAGGAGGCAGGGCAAAGCATTTCCTGCATTTAATTCCACCACGAAAAGAAAATTATAAAAGGCAGAAGGGGAGAGGGATGGAAAGGGGTGTCTTTAACATATAGTTGAGGTTCTAACTGCCCGGTGACAGAATGAAGGTCAATGATGAATGCTGTTAAGTGATATAGAGACTGCCCTGAGTGGTGGAGCCCATGTGCACAGGGTGACTAAATGGAAATTCTGGCACTTTCTTTTCTTGTGTTGGGAGAGTTTAATTTTTGTTTTCTAGAACTTGCTTACCAGATCAGTGTGAAAACACAGCACTTGACACCCCCCACCTCTAATTTGCTGCTCGCGGTTTTGGAGAAGTTGGCCATTAAAATATTTCGCCTGAGGTTTTCCCTCTGCTGCAAAAATTCTTTACAATTTTTTTTCAGTATGAAGGAACATTTCTGATAAATCATACAAGTGACAAATTTATTGCTGTAGGCTACTTCAACAGCTCTAGGACCTTTAAGACAAATTAGACACCAAAATTTGACAGATGAAAGGGTAGATGTTTTATATATATATATATATATATATATGATTTTAATCTGAGTGAAACAAGTTAACAGATGTTATGCAACCTAAGGAAAGAACTACCTAATTATTCCTTTTGGTTTTCCTGTATGTTACACACACACACACACACACACACACACACACACACACACACACACACACACACAAATATTCACATACCTGGAGAAGAGGTAGATTTGTTGCACATCCAAATCTTAGAGTATCAGAAGCATTTTCCACATATCTTCCTATTTTTTTCTATATCTAGAAAATGTCAATATTTGGAATAATTTGACCAAAGACAATTATAGCAGAAAATTTGACTTAGCAAGTAGTTAGATAAGCCCTGCTATCTAATAGAGTTCCTGGATTAAATATTGGCTCAAAAAATGGGTGGCCATAAGTTTTTGTAGCTCATAAAAATGGTAATGCACCAATTAGCAGGGTCGGATTAGAGAGCACAGACTTGACTCCAGCTTAATGGATCTAAGGATAAGCATTTGTCAGCAAGGAAGGATTTAGCATAAATTGACATGTAAATGAATTGACGACTGATCATAAATTAATTTTAGTGCTGAAGATGTAATAGAGACACAGCAAGATGCCACTTTATCATGGCATTTTATGCTCAGTAACATTTAAGCAACTTAATGTCCTATGTGAGATTCTTCTTCATCAGCCTGAATTAATTTCATTTTTTTCCCCTGGCCTTTCATGGTTTTTATGCAGAAGAGTTTGGAAAGATTGAAGCTGTAAACACTAATAAATTTGGCTTTATGGCATAAATTCATTTTTCATTAAATGCTTAAATATGTATTGATTATATTTGTGACTATAATGTGTCAGAGGAGTATATATTGCTTACAATTTATAAAGATTCTTCAGCCAAGTTCTTCTTACCTGGTAATCTCTAATTTTCACACTTGTGTCCATAGATATAAAAGACACAGTTATAAAAATGGCAAACTCTTTAGTCTACCAATTAATGTTTTTTCTTTTCTCTCTCTCTCTCTTTCTTTCTTTCTTCCTTCCTTTTCTTTCTTTCTTTCTTTCTTTCTTTCTTTCTTTCTTTCTTTCTTTCTTTCTTTCTTTCTTTCTTTCTTTCTTTCTTTCTTTTTTTTTTTGGTTTTTCGAGACAGGGTTTCTCAGTGTAGCTTTGAGCCTTTCCTGAAACTCACTTTGTAGACCAGGCTAGCCTGGAACTCACAGAGATCTGCCTCCCTCTGCCTCCTAAGTACTGGGATTAAAGGCATGCACCACCACTGCCTGGCTTAATGCTTTTCTTTTAATCTCTGTCTGTATCTCTGTCTCTATCCCTGTTTCTCTCTCATGTACACACATATACACACACACAGACCTTTTTCCCTTTGCAATTATTTAAGTAAATAATTGCTTAATGATTATATCTAAGGGAAAAAAGTAGCCACTGAGGCTCAAAACCAATACCTAACAAATACATTTTCAGAATTCCATGGAAAAAATTATAACACACAGTGTGATTGAAGCCCCACCCATGCATATCCGTATTATTGATCTTACCCCTGGTCCAGCGTAGTGTTTTTTAGAGAAAAGGTATGATGGGAAAGTCTTACTTTTCTAGGCTTTATGCTCCTTTTTCTACATTGTCAAGGGGCAAAGACAACAAACTGTCTTCCATAGACTTCATTTTGTATCATCAGGTTTCTCAAGGCCTAATGAGGGGGCATGTCCATGGTGTATATCTCTTCACTCTGAAGTCATCTATGCAGACCCATCAGCTCCAGTGTCTCTCTGCTGTCTGAGAACCATGGGGAGCCCTGTTGTTCTGCTACTCACTCTTTCCAGAGAAAGGGAGGGATATATCAAGGAAGAACTTTGTGGGGAAATGGGGGAGGTTAAAGGCAGTCTATGTTTTTAGGGTGTGGCAGATATAGGCATGCAAATTCACATGGAGGACTCACTGCTCTGAAGAAACAAACCAGGGTCTTTTTGGAGGAAAGCAAAGGGTTGACTTTCTATTAGGAGGCTAGCCAGAATGCCACTAGTAATGCTGCTGTGACATGGGACTCTCCCCTCTGCTTTTTAGAGTATCTGAGACCCAGTTGTAGAATCATAGAACAGACATAAACACAGCAGACACAAGTAGTTTGGGTTGCTTATATTGGGGAAAAGATTTGGAAAACAAAATGCCAGACAAAAATGTATTAATATGTATGAATCTAAGTCACAGTCAAAAAATATTGTGACTTGAAGTAAATTTATCATTTTACATTAATTAAAAACACCATAATTACCACTATCATAAGGTAGCAAAGCATAACCAACACATATATGTATGTATATATGAATGTATAAGATGCATCTTATTACATAATATACATGCTGTTATGTAATTAAAATCATATATGTTACCATTTTGTGTTGCTATTTTAGACAATTACATATTATTTTCCATGTCTCTAAATAATCAACAAGAATTCACTAATATTTTATTTAGAAAACATTAATATACTAAATTTTCTAGAAATGCTTATCGAGACTTCTTTTGCAAGTAAAATAAAGTAATTGCTAAGACATTAGCTGGGCAGTTGTTCATGCCTTTAACCCCAGCACTTGGGAGGCAAAAGCAGGTAGAGTTGAGTTTGAGGCCAGACTGTTCTACAGAGCAAGTTCCAGGATAACCAGGGCTACACAGAAAAACCCTGTCTTGAGAAACAAACAAACAAACAAACAAAAAATGACATTATACATCACATTGACTCACACATGGAATTTACCATGAAGAATGAAAATGCCAAATGCATTTTATGCAATATGTCCATCTTTATTGAATTTCTGATCTTCAATATCTCTGTATAACATATATGGGAATGAATAACAGGTATTTCTTTATCTCTAAAACTCTGCTTCCTAGTGAATGTCTATGCAACAGCAACAATCAAGGGAGGCACCAATGTGCACTTATATGCATGGTACTTAGGCAACCAAGGAGCTAGGACTGATTCTAATACAAGCCTGAAGATGAAACAGAATCAAGTCACCCAAGGGCTAGTGTTTCACTTAGACACTGGAAAATAGAGGTGTACAGCAATGCTGAGGTATCCTTAAGTGGCGGGATGAAATGTGGGATTACAGACATTGCAGAGATAGGCAAGGACTCCATGTTAAAAGGACCCAGTGACTCAGAAGCCTAGTAAGGACATGGCTGTGATGTAGGTAGTTTAGAGATCTTTCAACCGAGACATCAAAGTGGGTAAGTTCTTGAGAAAGACAGTTTAGACAACCATAAGGAAAGCAGGAGGCACCAGAAAGAAACAAGTTGGAAAGAGTTAAAAGTTGAAATATGAGTGAGAGAATAAGGTCATGCCTACTTTGACAGTGAAAGCAATAGCTTCAGGAAGGGACAGATGTGAGGTCTCAGATTCCATAAGCCTACTCTCAGCTGTGATTCCACAGTCTTTGGTGACCCCTCACTGACCAACTATGGAATTTTTTCCTTATCTCCTAAGGCATTACACCACACAGTCCTTTGCATAGTTCCTTCTTTGCTTGTGGCCTAATGATCCTTGACAATGATCCTCTACTCAGAAATGAATCTTTCAGAGGAGGCGGAGTTGCTGGTGTTATTTTAGCTTCCTTACAGTGGCCTGTGGCAGGGGATTTGCTTGGACTGTAACCAGTATGTCTGGGTGCTTTTGCCCAAGGTGTCTTACTTTGCTTCACCTAACACTATTTTAACTTCTCAGATTATTTTACACCTTTCCAATTCTGTTTTCTCTCTGTTGAAAATGGGTGTGTGCTCTGTCGCTGGCCCTTTCATTAACAATTCAGGTATTTCAAGCTCTTAACTACACTATTGTCCTGAAAAGAGGAGAAAAAAGAAAAACACTACAATATTAGGTTTCACCAATTTGTTATAAATATCATTATGTCCACTAGAAAACCTAACATGGATTTTATAAACACGTTTGTGTTTCTTTCTAAATATATTAGGGTAAGCACTACTTGGTAGTTTATTGTGTTATGAACTAATTGTATAACAACTTAAATAAATATCATATTAATTACAGTAAATAGTTGGCTAAATTCCCACTGTGATTTTATTTGAGGAAAAAAATGAAAACTGACTTTTTTTTTCTAAAACCTTAAGAAAATGTTACTTGTAGTATCTTCAAAGTACTTAATATTATTAACACATAAAGTTGCATTTTTTCCACCAACACTGTGTTTTATTTTGCAGAAAAGCCAACGCTAATGTTCATAACATTCTTATGATTATTTTTTAAAGGAACTATTAGCATTCAAAAGAAACTGGAGTTATTAAGATAATTAAAAATTAAAGAATACATAACAAACATTGTCATAAATAGAAATTCAGTGAAACATAATTTTCCTTATGTTCTATATTTGATATTGTGTAGATACTCTGTGTATGAGTTTTTATTATTTTTAGGGGTAACTTTTATTTTAAGTTCTTGCTCTAGATGATGGAGTCTGAACTAACTTTAAATTATATTCACACTACTTTTCTCAACCTGTTCCTTCTGTCGCGATTGCCTCAGTCAGACTGCTCTTTCTTGATGCATAGGAAGTTAAATATACATAGCAATCCTTATGAAGAAATTATCACGTGATAATTTAATCAGTGGAAGCATTGAACCTATTTGAATGTGTTTTGTCAATGGGCTACAAACAGATACAGATTTTAAATGACCTGCATTCATCGGTGCTTAGAATGTGGGAGACATGGATGATAGTGGGGGTGAAGAACTCACAATGAATCTTTAAAGAAGTGGTGAGGAAATGATATAGCCAACTTGCTCGTTATACACTGTGTTACAGCAGATGACCTATTTGATATATCCAACTTACTGGACCACTACATTTGTTTTTAGGTTCAATGGTAAATGGATGGGGCTCTGCATCTGATGAGGATCGTAACTTTTCTAGTCATAGATCTAGTGTAGGTAGCTCCTCAGATGGCTCCATCTTTGCCAGCGTCAGCTTTGCACAAGCCTTGGTGGCAGCAGCAGATAAAGCTGGTTTTAGGCTGGATGGAACCAGTCTTACAAGAACAGGTTGGTAGACTCCAAGTCAACACTCTTTGCATGAGAGAATCCTGTCCTCTGGACACTGACCTTTCCTTCTGTTCTTCTCAGTGAATCTAACCACGGGCTTTTTAAAATATGCATGAACACAGTTGGATGGATGCTATGTTACCAGAATTCTCCTTTGATGCTAATATTGCAGAGCCAGAAATAAGCTCCTACTCACTACGTTGCATCTCATCCATCCTTTCTCTTAACGGCTCTGCTGGCTAATTGCAGTGTGCTTCCTTTTTGTATTACAACAAAGCCAAAACTAAGATTGTCATTAAACTTTCAGTAACTCACACATTGCAAAGTCCTCACAAAATCAATAACAAACCTGGTGATTAAAATTATTCCGCTTTTATCTCCACTACGTTACCTTGCCCCATTTCCTTCTACAGAGGCACTTTCTGGGAAGGCTTCCTCAGCATGGGGTGAAGGGTCTAAGACTACTATCTAACAGTTCACTTGGCTGATGGTCCTAATTGTTTGACTAAGATTTTAATACAGTAATTTATTATTTGTTTTAGAGGATGCTAACTAAAGATACACCCAATGCATTTGTGAGTTCAATAAGATAATATGTTCATGTGTATCGCTCTTTTAAGAAAATTCTTTTTGATTTTAAAGAGCAATAAATAATAGCATCAAAGTCAAATTATATAATTATATAAGGTGTGTTTCATGTGGGGGTGGGGTAGGGAGGGGAGGAGTTATGTAAGATTAATTCTAGTAATTTATCAGTAATTTGTAACCATGTAACCATGAGGTTTTTTTTTTTTTAAAAAAACAGCCCTTATACACATATATATGCTTCTAAGCTGCATACTAGGAATATAATATGTGCATTTACTCTGTTGCCTTAACAAAATAAACTCAAGAAATATCAAATGCACTCTTAAATTTAATGGTGCTCAAATAGTAAAGAAAAATTACTTTGAACCTGTGCTATACTTTCAGGTCATAAAATTATGTCTTGGACATTATCTTTAAGTTTTACCATCAATATTTCTTTCAAGTGTGCATTAAGCATTCTTCAAACAAAATGGGAGAATTTCTCAGGCATTGCAAAGGTTTATTTTTATATAGCATCCAAACTAAAATATGTTGCAATATAACTGTTATTTGGATTTTCTTGCTTCATAAGACGTAAGTCAGAATCTTTATGTTGCCTGAGTGCTTTTTGTGGCATTTGTTATAGGCAGAGAAGAGAGAAGGTGCAAGGGAGCTAATAAATTAGAAGGCATAAGTGCACTAGCAGCATGTATGCTAATCGCTAATAAAGCATTAAGCAATATCAAGTCACAATGACTTAGAACAGTGCAACTATACATGATAATTTTGTAAAAGTGAAAATATGCACAAGAGAATAAATATGTGCACATAAACCAGTCCTCTCTTACATAATATACTTACTACTAAAATAATTTGTTGTAGAAAATATATTAGCTGACCTTTTTCCCAGAAAAATTGCATTCATATATTCTAAACTATCAAAAATAAAATAGTGCAATTCATTTAAAAAATTAAAGTGTAGGGTCTGTTTAGATATAATAATATGCTCAAAATACACCTATCACATTTTGGATAGACACCAAGACTATAACTTGCTAGCTTCTACATTGATCTTATTTAATTCTGCTAAAAGAGGTAGAAGTCATTGTGTATGAACATTAAGTGGTAAGGTTGCACATGCATCTCAACAGACCCTTCATGTAAATCTTCAATTGTAATTCTAAGACAGTGTTTAAGATGCTAAGAGTAAAACATGACTAATCAAATAAAACAGTAGACAATTAATTAAAAAAAAACCCTCTTTCTCATTTTGAGAAGTAAATGTGGCATGCAGTTTTTGGGAAATATTATGAAGATTGTTAAGATTACATAAAACTATGATCAAGCAATGTGAAGCTTTTCGTTGGTGGATTTATTTCAGGTTCATTTGCTTGAAATGTGTTTTTGTTGGGTAGGGTTTTTAGCTTATTAACAATCAGATGAATTATAAGCAGCAGTTCATGCATCTTGTGCAGATAAGTTGTGGGTTTTGTGTCTTTGAAAATCTGTAGGTACATTCACTAGGTAGTCTAGTAAGAGCAGAGACACAAGGCAAGACAAAAATAGAGTGTGTTATAGTAGAGTTCTCTATGTCCACTCCCTTGGTTTTCATTTCAGGAAAAGCCTTTACCTCTTCTCAAAGGCCGCGGCCCACCAGTCCATTTTCTACCGACAGTAACACCAGCGCTGCCCTGAATCCAAGCCAGCGGCCTCGGCCCACCAAAAAACATAAGGGAGGGCGGATGGACACACAGCCAGTGTTACCTCATCGGAGAGAAGGGATGCCAGATGGTAGGTTTCTTGTCTTAACTTTCATCTCCTCATGAAGAAGTATGCTCAGTGTTATCATTAACGTTCAATAAAGAAGTTGTTGTAACTTGGGCGTTGGCACTATAGGAACCATTTGGCAACAGGCCATGTTTAAATAAAACACACTCTTTTGCAATCATGTGGAATTTATTATTATTATTATTATTAGTAGTAGTAGTAGTAGTAGTAGTAGTAGTATTACTTTTATGCCTCAAGAAAGATCTAGAATGCTACTTTCCAAACTTTCAGCTCTTCTGGAAATTTCCAGCATCTCATTTTTAAGTGTAGGAAGGAAACTGTTAGCAGCATGTACATTGCTAATGCATCAGGACACTTACAACCCCACATTTGTCTCTTTGGGGGCTCCTTTTCCTTTAGATCAGTCTGTGGAGTGATTTTCTAAGGTTTGGGGTTCATCAGTTTCAGGACTAGAAGGCAGCCATAGGCCATGGATATGAAGACTTTCTTTGTTGGTGGTGCTGAAGTATGTGATCACAGTCTCATAAACAGTAGAAAAGATGAAAAATGGAAATTTGTTTCTCAGACTGGAAGTCTGGAAGGTCCAACTGTTGGTGCCAGTTGAGAGACTCTTTTATGGTTGTAGATAATGCCTTGTCAATGTTACCTCACTTGGAAGAAGGGGTCTCTCTGGTGTTTTTGATAAGGGCCCTGAGCCAACTACATATCTAATGACCTCACAGAGGTCTCAGTTCTTAATACCATACCAACAAATAATAGGATTAACTTCAATATATGAATTTTAGAGGATAATGATTCCACCCATAATAAAGGCTCAATATTTGTGTTGTTTTGTTTTTCTGTTAATGTGTAAATAGTAAATACTTTTGGCTTTGTAGAGCATGGATTTTATGTTCTAAATCTACTCCTTGTTGAGTGAGTTTACCTACCGAAAAATAAATTTTAAAATGTAACTGTGGGATGGCTCAGTTTGTAGAATGCTTGCCTAGCATGAACATGAAGCCTTAGATTGGTTATCCCACACTAACCAGACCCAGTCGTTAGTCCTCAGACTTACGAGTACAGGGTTAAACCTTAGCCTGAAAAGAATAATGGTTTTGTTCTTTATTTTTGTGGGCAAGGAAACCGGCAGCCACCAATATACTTTCTTTGAATCTCATCACGCTAAGACTTAGAACACCAAACATGTTTGTTTCAATGCCTCCTGTGTTTCTTTGGAAAGTGTTATGATGGAATATGAAAGTTAAGAACACAGTTGTATTCACACGTGTGTGATTTGCTTTCCCACGATGCACAAACAAAAAAACAATGACCATTTCCTTTCTGCTTCAGATTCTCTGGGGATTTGTTGATCACTTTGTGTGTCACATTGATCTCATTCTCTCAACATATGAACTTCTCTCACTTATATGCTCATTTTAAATCCCAAAATTCATAAGTATTTCTCATCAAATCATTCTGTTGCAGAAGGTCATTGCTTAGTAGCATTTACTATATAGCGTTTCACACTGAAACTTTTGAATTACAGATTTTATAATAGTCTTTATGAGCATATAAATTGAGGTAATTATTGTTGGCTGTTTTCTCAAATATTTAACCTTCAGCATCTTAGCACAATAACAATCTTATTCTCATTGGCACAGTTATCTTTCGAGGTCAAGTGACTTTCCTTTAAACAGTTACATAGGCTTTAGGATTTGGAGAGATTGAGATATTATCTATCTATCTATCTATCTATCTATCTATCTATCTATCTATCTATCTCTCACTGTGTGTGTGTGTGTGTGTGTGTGTGTTCATGTGTATATTTTGAGGGCTGTGAGTTTGCCTCATGCATGTTTAAAGTAGAATATCTTTTTAAACAACTTTGTTTTTTTCTTTTAGAGATAGGGCATTTCACTGTTTTTGGAGTTCAAACCTTGTCCATACTGGTTGGATAGCAAGCTCCAAGGATACTCTTGTCTGTTCCTCCCCAGCACTGGCTTTTTTTTTTTTTTAATGTGGATACTGGAGGACTGAAATAAACTCTTCATACAGAGCAGGCATATTACCCACTCACCCATCTCTCCAGTCTTCAGTAATACCAATTTTAGAATTGGACTTTGTGGATTTTGAAGATAGAATGACAGATTGTTGTTGATAGTAGAATGTCCTAATAGCAAGCGGCACATCCCACTTTTCATATGTCATTGTCAAGATTGCTGTCTCCCTGTGTCAAATTACCTTCTGAGGAAAGGAAGTCATTTTCTCTGGGTCCAGTGAGAGGAATTTGGAATAATAAGGAATGTCAATTTCTCTCCCAAAGGCTATGTAAAGCCCATACACAGTTATGGACATGCTTGTTTCTCTTGTGGAATGTCTCTTCTAAGCAAGGGTTGTTGCATATAAGTCTTCTCTCCCTTGAAGGAAATATCCTGACCAATTCTGGACCAAAGATGGTAGATGGTTGGTTCCCCATCAATGTGTTCTCCTGAGATTATTTTCTCTCAAACTGTTCTGTCTTTCCCCTAGTCTTCAATTCCCAGTTAAGAAAAAGAGTTCTTCCCTGTATCTGCCACAATATGGCTTTCTGCATATATATGAGCTCATTAGCCCCTCCACTTAAACATTTAGTGAGCATATATTATAGATATGATTCCTTAATCTCCTGCACCTTATATCTAGTAAAACAAACAAACAGAGGGTCAGACGAATATAAATGTATGAAGTGTGCAAATGGTGGCTGTTGCCATGGAGAAAAAAACAACAGGAAATTGTAAAGTTTTTAGGGGGAAGTATTTTAATATAGGGGGAAAGCCTCAACAACAGCTTGACATATGAGAAAAGACAGGAATAATATGAGGAAAAGAACAATGCTTATATTCAAGGAAAGGTCCTCCTTAGAAGCTGATACAGCAATTGAAATCCTGGTGCATATTTGATTATATATTTAAGGAAGGCAAGAAGCATAACTGGAGCAAATAAGAAAGAATTTGATGCCAGGCACACAAGCAAGGGGCAATGTTTAAGAACCTGTTTGCTTAGGAGCTTTCATGGATTTTTATAGTATTTTAAATGGGAAATTCCTGGAAGGTTTTGTGAGTGTGTGTGTGTGTGTGTGTGTGTGTCCCCATAAATACATGTTTATATATTTAAGATAAGATGGTGGCATAATTTTATGTTTTTAATATTAAAATATAATATATATTTTAATATTAAAAAATTTAGTCTAAATTTTGTATAGCAAAGAATTAAAAGGCCCAAAAGTGTAAAACTAGAGATAATTAGAGATCATAGAAGCAGTAACTAAGGGTGGTTCATGCCAAGATGAGATCAGTGAAAGCAATAAGAAAGGTAAGATGCTGGAGATGGAACTAATGGGATTTGTAAATGTAAACTAATATAGGCCACCATTTTGAGTAGAGGGGGATTCAAAGACTATTTCATGGTTTGGGGGAATGAGCAGAATGGAACTGTAACTGAGAGGAGAGACACAGTAGCAGAAACCTATGTCTTTAGTTTGGATGATGCAAAGCTGTGTTGAAGTATTAAGTTTGAAGTACTTTGCAGACATCTGAGCTGAGCTGTACCCTATGAACGCAATTTCACGAGTTGGATCTTATGAAAAGAGAGATTTAGGCTGGAGATGCTTGATTTCTTTGTGTTCCACCCCCATCCATTTACCTGAAAAATAAATGAGAATAATAAGGTACCTATGTCATTGGACTGTCATTGCTTGACAATAGCTAACCCACAGTGGGCCAGCGAGATACTCTAGTGAATTGACTTACTTGAAATAATTCCACAAAGAATTGAATAATGAATTTAATTTAAGTAAATGTATTGTATTATATACCTTTATTTTTTCCACAATCATCTGTAATTCCATCTCTTTCCAGTTTATTTCAATGTGCATGCAATGTCCTTTATTCTTAGAAGATAAAATCTCCAAGGATATTATATAATTACAAAGCTCTATAATTTCAAGTCAAATTAAATAGGCATCAGAATTTTAGCTGCCATAAGCAAATGCCATTTTGGCCATTTTAGAAATTAAACAGCTCAGATGGAGAATAAAAATCAATGACAAGATATGTTATTTTAGAAGCCAATACAATCCTTTCCCCTCAGTGACAGACTAAGTCTAATAACTCAAATGAAATAATTAATTTGCATTCATAATAACACACAGCAAAGGAAGCTAGTATTGAATGTAAAGGAAACACAAAACTCATTAGTTTATCATGCAAACAGATAGTGCATTAGCTCTTCATTTTGGAATAAATGTTCAAAATTCAATCCTATTCACCCAGACAGCATCCCTTTTCTCATTAATTACTAGTAGCTTGTAATCTGACATGAAGACATTCATGAGAGCTGAGAATGCTACTTAAGCTTCAAACCTCAAGAACAAATGCTCAACAAACCATTATTATTTTTCCAATGGAAGATACTACAGTTTTTTTTTTTACTCTCATAAAACAGAGTAAAGCTTTTAAAGAAGGCCTTAGAATAGACACTAGAGCACTTTTTAAGAGAGGTGGCTTCTTGTGTATAGGCATTTGGTTTTACCATTCTGATTTCATAAAGTATCATTAGAAGCAAAACTGTATTTATGAAAAAGAAGGAATGAAAAATAATGGCCCATACTAAGTGAAATATCATTTATTCATGTAATAACTGTATATTGTATGATATATAAGTTTTATAAATAAGCAACATAATTGCCTAATCTTAGGTTGAGCCAAGAAATTTACAATAGAAAAATAGGAAGATCCAGATACAAATGAATGTTTAAAAGATTTCAAAATTCTTGCCGGGCAGTGGTGGCACATGCCTTTAATCCCAGCACTCGGGAGGCAGAGCCAGGCAGATCTCTGTGAGTTCGGGGCCAGCCTGGGCTACCAAGTGAGTTCGGAAAGGCGCAAAGCTACACAGAGAAACCCTGTCTCGAAAAAAAAAAAAAAAAAAAAAAAAAAAAAAGATTTCAAAATTCTTAATCATGTCATTTCAGACATAATATTAGAAAGATATAAAAAGAAATGTAATTTTATAATTAAAACATTCAAAATATAAAGATAAAAATCTGAAGAGCTAGCAAAGGAAAATGAAAAATTAGCTCATACTCAACTTTTAGTTTTTCTTCATTTCCAAAGTTTAATTTTAAAAGCTCTTTCAGTGTATAGTCAAACAACCCTGGGCATATCCAAACTCCTCTAAAAAGTTCTTTCAAAAACTTATCTTTTCCACTCCATCTCTAATTTCTACAATACATTGTCTACCCTACTCACCATTTAGCATATTCAATCTGTGCTCTGAACATCGGTTATTACTTATTAAAATTAATACAAGGGAAGAAGATTAGAGTGTATTAGTTGTAACTCATTAGCTAACTCATGAAACGAACAGACAGGATCAGTTGTCAGGCAGAATGTTAATTGCATTTAATAAAGTTAGTTTAACCCCTTGACTGTTGCTCAACATGGCACACACGTGCTCAGAGGCAATCCTAGGCTGCATATGATACAGCCTGTGGTCCCTAACTTCTGGAGCATGATCTTTCCAGTGGAGTTTATTCAAAGAGCTTTTGTTTTGCTCAGGAACTTTTAGGAGGACAGCTGCTAGAATCTATAGTGATTTTTCCCTCATAGTATTTCTGTCTTGAAGAGAGGGAAATTGAATGTAAACCACAAACCATCCTTTGACTTGAATGTTAGCCCATAGTATGTTGTTGAAAATATGTTCCCTGTTGAACACATGAATGAGTTGATGAAAAGATGAAAAGGATCAATTTTTATCTTGAAGATGCTATGGCAAGAAGATCGAAGACAGATCAATAGCATGCATTTTGAATAGCCATTAATTGACTTTTATTTTCCATAAATATCTTTGCATGAGTAATACTTATAAGAGGGCAAGGGGTTTTTGTTTTTGGATTTTTTTTTTCAGTTTTTCAACTTAAACTTGTATTTTTCATTAAATCATAGTTCATTCTAAACATTATTCAAAATTTTTAGATCTTCCCCCAGCACCAGATCCCCCACCAAGTCAGGGTTTAAGACAGCAGATAGGCCTGAGCCAGCATTCTGGTCACGTGGAAAATTCAACAGAGAGAAAAGGAAGCTCCCTAGAGAGACAACAGGCCGCCAACTTAGAAGACACAAAGAGCTCACTGGATTGTCCAGCTAAGACCGCCCTAGAGTGGCAGCGTCCAACCCAGGACTGGATAAACTCTACAGACCGCCAAGAAGACACACGGAAAGCCCCACACAAACAAGGGGTTGGATCAGGTGTGTGCTGCACAGTCCCAAGAAAGTGTGACTGTTACCAGTCTCCCCCCACCCCAACCAGGTATTTTAGGAATGGCAATTGTTAAAGCATCTGGAACACATTTGCCTTAAATCTGTTCAAACTGGTTCTTCAGCAGAGCTTAACAGCACCCACTCAGTGGGGCATATTCCACAAGCTGACCCTGTATAAGGTCTTTGAACTTAGAAAACTCCAGGTTTCATCTGGAGAGCTCAGAAAATAGTTTGATGTTGATATCCTTTAATGTCTATAGTGAGGAGTTTTAAGAACACTAAATTTCTTTTTTTGGGTCAACTTCATCTCTGCCTTCAACTGATTGATTGAAGTGGCCATTCATTTGAGAGGGAGCTCATGTTTCAAAATGGAGATTAAACTCAGCCCACAGCACTGCAAGTAGATGCCCCATCAGGTATCATAAAGTTAGAAAAGGTGGAACCAAACTCATACACTCTCCAACAGACTAATTGAAGTTCAGTGTTAATATCTGGATGGGAAGAGTTCTTGCTTATGAGAAAAAAATTTCTGAAAGTTTCACACATCATAAACCTCATAATTTCTGCTTGGATATTATTTGGGGAGGTAAATCTGTAACACAAATATATGTTTGGGGGGAGCATCCACTATTGCTTAGTATCTACTAGGAATGAACACACAAACACACACTTCAAAAAAAAGCATTCCTTTATCTAATCAGTATTAATTTATACTCAGTCTTGTCTAATATGTGTTTGCCCATGCATTTTCCATAATTACATTTTGTCATCATGTGATGCTCAAGTCTTGGAAAGTTCTTTGATGAAAGGGCCAGAAAATGACAATTGCAATATTTAGATTTAATGAAACATTTTAGAAGGTTACCAGCTGTAAAAGAAATACTACCTGCCCCTTCTTATTAGAGACTAGCTAAGGAGGTGAACTGGTAAATTCAGCCAGCAGTTTTCATTCACTTAATAATGACATACACCCAGAAAACTAGAAGAAACAACAGTGGGATTGGAAGGAATGGGAAATGATTGGAATAATGAGAAGAGGAGTTCTAAGAATCAACATATTGATTGTAACACCTAATTTATTTTTGGAGAGTCAATATCTAAAAAGAACATTAATATATTATAATTAATGTTTTGTTCTCTTTTAATGAAACACAGAACCTTTCAAACAATGGATTTCTGGCTCAAGAAATAAACACAAATTTAAGATGCTTGTTTAAGAAACTAATACATAGTTCTATTTCTCAACTGATTGAGAGAATATTGCCATAATTTAAACTAAAACAAAACCCATCTTCTTTCAGTCTTACTGGGAAAAATTAAATTGAGCTTCACTGAACTCCAGAAATTGTTCTCAGATATCATTTTTGTTAAGCAAAACAATGGCTCCTTTAAGCAATGCTCTATTACAATGAATTTAAACCTTGAAAACACTGTTCTGAACTTATCCCAAGATCTTTTAATTTAATCCCTCTCAGTGTCTGTTGTAGGAAATGTTGCCTGCATGTGGAAATACCTTTAATATCTGGGACTGATTAAACTTCGTAATTTTAATTTTGCTCAAGAATGAAAAAATGATTGGGTTTGTGTTTGGCCCCCATCTAATAGTTCAGCATGGTCTCTTATGCTTTGTTGCCTTTTTTAGAGGAGTCCTTGGTCCCTTACAGCAAGCCCAGCTTCCCATCTCCAGGTGGACACAGCTCTTCGGGAACATCTTCCTCTAAAGGGTCTACTGGCCCTCGGAAGGCTGAAGTATTGAGGGGCGGCCACCAGCGGAATGCCAGTGACCTTCTGGACATTGGATATGTGGGCTCAAATAGTCAAGGACAGTTTACAGGTGAATTGTGTAAGTCATTGGGGTTATTTTAAAGGCCATCATAATCCAGGAAGAATATTGGCCTGATGGAATCACTACATTAAACAAATTTCTGAATGATGGAAAATTTCCTCTGCTAAATAAAAAAAACAACCAAATTCTGTTATTTCATTCAGGATTGGCCATAAGTTCAAGGACAACTGTTTACAGTAGTCAGTGATGCAAACATTTCATTGATATTTCAAGTTTATTTAAACTGTATGTCAATAATTAATCCTAATACTTACAAGTTAAATAAAATCCACTTGGCAGGGGCTGCTTTACCTTTTTTGAGTACAATTTGGAGTACAATAAAGGAAAGAAAGCAAATTTCCCGCTTGATATTGTGTTTGTTTATTGTGATGGGAGCTGAATGTCACGTCTACTTTGGGGCACTGAGATGATCTTACTCCTCTTGGTAGCTTTCATGAACCTTTTTAGCAGTTCCCGTTACTTGAGTTGGTCTTTATTTTATTCTTAAAAATAAAAAGAACATAAATTCTTTCTAAACTGACTTCTTCCTCGGGTGAAATGTGGGTTTCTTGGTAGTTTTGCATCAGTGTTGGGAGATAGTTCACCCTGTGATGCAAGCAAAACCTGACAAAACTGCGAAGTAGGAATCTGGGTTACTATACCAGCTAATTCCAAGTTTGTTATCATGGTTCCTTTATAGCTTCTGTTATGTCACATATGCATGGATTGTTTTTTAACTTGCTTTACGATATCTGTAATCTGATAAGTACTGCAAGAAAACCTCCATGTGCATCACAAATCTGCAAGCTTCCCAGTACTTCCCTGTCCCCTGTCAATCTTCAAAGGAAGTGACTTTAACTCACAAATGCAATATTTAGCTAATAATCTTTTGTTATTCTCTGATTGCTTTGATTTTTATCACTAGTCGGGATAGAAGACCATTGAACATATGAGAACGTTATATTTATGATTTTTGTTTGTTTGTTTTTCAGAGTAACTGAGAGGGGACATACAAAGATGCTCTGAGGACCATCAGGTCTGAACTCATGGAAGTGATAACATTTAACAGTGCAATGAACAATTTCTTTATTTATGTACTATTAACAAAACTGTAAATGCAATGTAAAAACACACAGCCACACATATCCCACAGTTATTTTCTTGTGTTCTCCTCTTAATTACACCACCTACCTTAACTCTTTCTTGTCAGGAGTATATAAGAAAAAGAAAGAACGCAAACTCACCCTCCAGGAAAAAAAGGATTTTCCTCTGTATATAATTTCTTTTTTGCATTGCTATGCAAGCTCACTCTTTTTAGCTCTGTTCATATTATTGTCTGTTCTTATTGGTCTGTTGTACTATATGTGAATTAATGGGCTGTGGTGCCATATATTAACTTTTAATTGTGTAACTTTTTATGTTTAAATTTTGCACTGCAATTTTATTTGGTGATAAGCACAAATCTCTACTCCTCATGACATGAAGAAAAGATTGAATGTGAAGGGAGTTTTCTGTACTGTAAGTTAGGTTGGGTAATGCTGGTGTAACCAATCCTGTGCGATGGTTTTCATTTGGGGGTGTAGAAATAGGAAGATTTGAAGGAATGATGGTGTTGGCAAAGTCTTCTTGAAAAATTGGATATTGAGTCAATTTTAAGAAGCAGAAAGATGGCTTTTAGTATTGAGAAAAGCAGGGGTCAAAAGAAGGAAGTTTAAGTCTACACAGAATATGGGTTAAAGTATGCTGGTAGCAAAGATGTACTAACTTGCTTTAAAAATATAATTAAAATTTTATTTAGAAGCAACTTTACTTGCCATTGTAATTGAACCAACTGAGAATTACAATGAGCAAAATGAAATCAAGGTTGTTTGAAGAGATCTGTATTTATATTACAGCTTTTAAAAAACAGCATTTTTGAATTACCATAATTAATCTTTCCAACTCATTAAGTCAGAGTATAAAATGAAGTTCCCCAAGGAAACAAAGAAAATGAATTCTAGGAATCTAACAAATAGTTAAAGAAGCAACTTATTATTAGGGCATACTCGGGCTACTCTTGAATATTGCGATATCTTGCTCATCTTTCTAATACATGTACAGTACATACTAGAGGATGTAGCCACATCACTTAAGTTCATTACTTAAAAAAAAAAAACTAATGCATTCTACATACAATTTTGTGTTTCTTTTGATTAAAAAGTGAAATTGATGCCACCAAATGTATAGCCAAGTTGTAAGTGCTTAAAGGCAGTGCTCACAGTATGTTCAGTTTACAATTAGTAGATATATTGGACTAAATATTTTCTGGTACATTCTCAGAAATTGGCTACCAACGAAAATCTGTTTGACCCATTTTGAATGAGTAAATTGGAAAGAACAGTCAAAGGGAGAAAAATGCATGTTTATACACTTTTTAAATAAAACCAAATCTTGTAAGTGGACATTAATAACAGTGTCCTGCCTCATTTGTTTTAACGACCTTGAGAACAAGGAGTTTCTGGACATCAATTATGTATACTCAAGATAAATGTGACTTTGAAATGTATGTTAGCTACTGTACATGTATGTAAGTCAAGTAGATGATAGCCTTCCTGAACTTACCACTGATGACGTTTTCCCATGTGCTAGCTACACAATCTTAAATTCTAGTCCAAACAATATTTTGTATTATTTTTTTCTTATGATATGTTCAATAGATGGTATCTTGAAAAATATTCAATGTGATGGTCAAAATATTCAATTTTCAAGTAGGGGACATTTTGATTGACACAACACACTGTGTATTATTGGCTCAGATGCCAACTTTTATGACCTTATTATATAAAATACATAAGTACATGGTTCCAAGGCTACTGTACCACAGGAAAGCATAGAGTGTGATGTTATACATGGGTCTCAAAATTTTCTTAGTGCCATAAAGTTAACTTTCTTCACTGAAGGGACAAATAATTCTGACACACCGTTTAACAACTTTTTAGCATCCGTGCCTGAGTTTTACTGAAATTTGATGTCTCTGGTACAAGGAAATGGGAAAAGTTGAACAGTTTCTGTGTAAAACAAAAAGGATTATGTAATTATTTTCAATTCCAAGATGCGATGAATTTAATTTTGCACGTACACAGTTCCTTATTCCATGGCCTCTATTTAAATGCATAAGACCTTTTAAGAAATATATTTAGTTGGATTATCACTTTATGTTCATGAATAATATAGTTTAGTGTAAAATAGTATATCATATGTATGGTAACTGACATTTGCAGATTATTATCAACCCAAGTCACAAGAAATAATATCTGCAGAACACATGATGACTTGAAGAATGATTTGGGATTATAGCACCATGTCTTCCCGATTGCCTTCAGTATAGAATCATAAACAGTTAGATTGTGATCCGTACAGATTACAGACCGTGATTACTGCAAAGTCTTGTACCCAATATCTGCCATGAAGACAAGATAACATGCTATGGTAATTTGAATTCAGGCATACTATCAACAACAGAAAACCTTCATCATCTAGATATTTGTACAAATCCATTCACCATTAACGTTCGGATTGTTGACTGAGGAACACGTACCTCCTGAGAGTCCCATGTCTTCCCCTTTTGTAGCTGATTGAATGTGATGGAAAATCTACGGAGCTCACTTTTCTGTGAGCCTGAACAGAAACCTGCATAAGCCATCAGAAGGAAATCTGGGTGGGAATGAAACCTCATTTTTTTGATCATCCGCAATACTGCTGTGTAGTCAGGCCAGACCCAAGCACAGCTTCTTTCAGAACAGGCCAAGTCTCCTTAGGGAATGCAATATCAGTACCCAAACTCAGGTATGCCAGTATAAGCAGTGGAGTCTGCCTACCCTTTTCATGTCATTTTACAAAAGTAACAGGAGAGGACAGGGCTATGGAAACAATGAACTCCATCATAGGATTTGGAGCAGCTCAAGGAAGTATATAGGAAAGTCAAAACCAATGGGTAAGGCATCACACAACCAAAGTGAAGTAAAACCTTCCAAATTTACTTACTCTGACTAAGAAAACAGATTTAGTATGTTCTATGTTAAAGTATAATGCTCTACATATTTAAATACATTTTTAATGGGGTTTAAGTTGCAAGTTTGTATGTGGTTTCATGGAATATAACCAAGTTCTACTTAATGAAATTATGCAATTTTCATTGATGATAAAGCAATTACCACATCAATGAGCTCCCAACTGCAGATCACTTCCCCTGAGAAGTAATCTTGTCAGTATTGAAGATATGCAGAAACATAACATTCGCTACTGTTAGTTTATTCATCTACTTCTGTATATTGTGCAAAAAAAAATGAACCTGTCTTTACACATTACCTGAGAGGTGAAATGATTTTTTACTTTGCTTCGTCATAATGCGTACTTCAAATGAAACACCATACATTTTTTAAATGACATGCAATTTACAAATATTTTTTACTCTCATAATTTTAAAAATGTTCATTGTGATTTTAAAGTGTTACAAGACAAGGGATTTTGTGGCCGTGGATAGACTTTTTATACTTTGTTTTATAGATGGATTTTTTTCATTGTAGTTTATTTGAGTCAACAAACAATATCCCAAATCTTATTGTGTTTCATTTGATATTGTTAGATCAGCAAAGAAATTGGCATAAATTGATTCATAGTATTGTCAAAAAATTGTGTATTGTGTATTCACTGGGAAAAATAAAAATATATTCACATTTCAATTTTGTAAAAAAAAAGCCATTTATGTAAAACAAATTTGTCTGTGGACAAACCAAAAATAGATCATTGTCTCACTTTTAGAACTCTGTGAATATTTTGTGGCCCTATTCATATTTCTTTTTCTAATTCAGAGAGAGATCAGAAGTGCCAAGTAGGAAATGGTGTTGACTAGGTAGTCATAATTAAAAGACACCAATAAAGACTACAAGTATTTAGAATTATACATCCTTCTCTGTTAGCACTAATTTCCAGATCTATTGCCTCCCCCATAATGATGTTTAGATAGGCAGTAAACTGAACAAAATGATTTGATCAGCAGAATTACTGTACTGTTATTTTGAAAGGTAAGTAAATGAAACTGGAAGCAAGTGGCCCTTTTTTGTTTGTTTGTTTTAGAAAGTTAATGATGCATCTCTGTGAGGACATGGAAGATTGATGCATCAACTCGAGAATGAGTAGAAAAGAAAACTAATCTCTTTTGTTGTACTTCATGAATATTTCATTCTTTTTAATTAAAAAGTACAATTATAGGGCTTGATTCTTGCCAAAAAATAAAAAAATGCATTTGTGTTTCGTAATAATCACAGTAACAATAAAAATAAAGAGAAAAAATTGGGAGAATCATTTAACACTGAAGTGTTCATTTAAAAATATCTTAAGGAGCATATAGTAAAAGGACCGTGCAATTCACTTCCATTTATATTAACTAAATTAGGAAGGAATAAGATACTAGGAGACTAATTGTAAATAATGTACACAGTACAATGGAAATACATATACATATAAATTAAAAATGAAATATATCAGTTACCTATGTGTCAAATGATAGAAAAATGAGAAACCATCATTGCTTTATTGAATCTCTATTGTGGAAACACCAAGACAAGGAAAATGTGCAAAAGTATCAAAACAGTTCATGCATGCTTTCTTAGTTATTGCATATACAAGCTCAAGAAAAGCTATGTCATGGTTACAAGAAAGCTCATGCAAAATGTAATACTGTGTAACTTCAGCTTATGAAAACGTACTTTATTTTGTTCAGCTAAGAGAGCAGCAGGCTAAAATTACTTACCAGAAGAAATGTGAAATAATACCAGATACTAACAACAAAAAGATTTTAAGAGTTAAAAAGGAAAGACAAATTAAAAAGTTTAGCTAGTAGGGTCAAAGCACACACAGATACACACATGTGTGCACTGTAGAGCTTAGCCTTCAGCCTCATAGACACATGTAAGACATTGGGGGTTGGGTCTGTCATAGCTCTGTTTAGTTCTATAGCTATATGTATTATTTAAAAAGAATTAGGGCCGGGCGGTGGTGGCACACACCTTTAATCCCAGCACTTGGGAAGCAGAGCCAGGCAGATCTCTGTGAGTTCGAGGCCAGCCTGGGCTAACAAGTGAGTCCCAGGAAAAGCGCAAAGCTACACAGAGAAACCCTGTCTCGAAAAAACAAAACAAAAACAAAAACAAAAACAAAAAAAAACATAAAAATAAAATTAGGAAGGTAGCTAACCTTTGCATTATCTAGTCACCACATTTTGGTTTTTCAGTAGAAAACTATGGGAGAGAGAGAGAGAGAGAGAGAGAGAGAGAGAGAGAGAGAGAGAGAGAGAGAGAATAGACATACAGTATTGTATATTTCCAGGATATCTGATGTTACCAAGGTATCTGATTATATACTCAGGCATATGATGTTTGATATATATATATATATATATATATATATATATATATATATATATGCCTTATTTGTATGTTACATATTTGAATGAGTGTATTATATCACAATCAAAGATACATTGCATTCAAATACTACAACTTTGAGCTAAGACTACATTTATCCCAGGCTATTGCAATTGTCCTCTCCCTGATACAATAGCACCACCATACCCTGTACCTAAACTGAATGCCTAGCTAAGTCTATTCTTTAAGTAGAAGATGACATATTTTTTAGATAATTCATTCTGGTGTTTTTCTAGGCAATATTTTTCAGTAGTTTGCATCTGACTTATCTGATTCACTTACTGTTTGTTCACGAATTCCTCTTGAAAGTAAGAATAGTGATTCTGAGCTTAAATTAAATATTCTGAATACTTGAAAGAAAAGTAACCTTTGTCTTCAGAAATAGATTAATATCTTCGGTTAAATCTTGCCCTGGTTTCTAGGAAAGCATCATTTGATTAATGGTTTGTGCTAAGAGGAAAGACCAATAAACAAAGCTTTCAACTACATTCCTAGGCAACAAACTCTATGCCAACTTTGTTCACATCTCCCACTACCCTCATATTAACCATGTTCCTAGTCATTCTCAAAAGAGTCTATAGAATATTCGTAAATATTTAAAAATACAGAACACAGGGTATAAATATTTCTATACCACTTGACTTCTTTGCAAATGCATTTAAATCTTTTAAAAGATATTTTGAAATTGCATTCATTTAGTTTGTGTGTGTGTATGTGTGTGTGAGTGTGTGAGTGTGTGTGTGTGTGTGTGTGTGTGTGTGTGTGTGTGTGTGTGTGTGTGTGTGTATACACCCCACAACATACATGTAGAGGACAGAAGACAACTTGGGGGAGCCACGTGTCTCCTTCTACCATGTAGCTCCTTGGAAGAGACTTGGATTGTCAGAGTACCCATTTCCAACTAAGCAGTCTCCCCAGTGATGCTATTCCAATCTCCCATGACAAAGAACTCCTTTTCCATGAGTATCTTATGACACTGGTGTATGTGAAACCCACCTTAAAAAAATAAACTCCTAGAAATTGCCTATTGTTCATGACCACGGCCTTTACCTTTGAGTGCCAAAGTCACCCAATGCATGCCATCCCTTGCCCCCTCCCTTTTTTTATTTTATAGCAAACATTGACATAAGAGTACAAAACCATGCAACTATCAGGTGTTATGTGGAGATGACAGAAAATCATATTCAGTGGGAAAGGAATTCTTTAAGTTGTTTCCAGAAGTGAAAATGCTGTTCTCTCACCTTTTGTTTAACGATGGCACAATGTTCTTTAGATGTCCAAAATGCCTTTGAATGCTCTGGACCTTCGAAATCATTAGGCTGCTGTTCAGTCATTGAAGTACACCCATTATCTTTCACGGAGTTCAAATCAGAGTTCCCCCAACAGGATATATGTTTTTTTCATTCCCAGGCTATGTGTCAAGTGGAACTTTGCTAAAAATAATAGTAGGCAGCATAAAATTTAGGGCCATGATGTTTATCTCAGCAAGATAAACACTGCTAAGTCTCAGAAAAATTTGTAAAAGAATGAGCTAGTAATGACAGAAATCAGAACACTAAGAAATGTGTAAACACAGAAGCACTGAAGAGAAAATTGACTATTATGGACTTTTGCCATGAGTACAAAATGACAGTATAGAAAATAAAAGTAGAATTGTGAGTATATTTATGTGAATTTACCCAATTTAGAAAGCAACGGATCAATGCAATAGATTAAAATATTCACATGAATATGATTTGGAAAAAGAATAGATGCTATTAGGTAACTATTATTCTGGTGAGAATATGGGTAAGGGAAATGAAAACAGCCCAGGGGTGGAGGAGTGGGGAAGATGCATGAGCGTAATGAGTCATGAACATAAGAAAAAAGAGACTAAGAATGTTTCAGTAACTGTGAAAGCATTACATTCTTACCCACTTTCCAGAAGGAGAAAAAAAAAACCTATGAAATACCATCAGGAAATTTAAAATGAAACAGGATAACAGAGTGAAGATCCATGGTTGAAAATGAAAAGGAGATCTCTGTTTCCCCTTCCCAAGGCAATGTATGCATCCTTCATAGGGTCCTCCTTGATTCCTAGCTTCTCTGGAGCTATGGTTATAGTCTGATTATTCTTTGCTTAACACCTAGTATCCACTTATGAGTGAGTACATACCATGTTTGTCTTTCTGAGTCTGGGTTACCTCACTCAGGATGATGTTTTCTAGTTCCATCCATTTGCCGGCAAACTTCATGATGCCATTGTTTTTCACACCTGAGTAATACTCCATTGTGTGAGGGTGTAGTGGGCAATAGAGGGGAGGGGATGAAGGATGAGCACTTGAGCTGGAGAACATGAGATGGGAATGAGATGGTCGAGCTGGGTGATGGACGGAGTGGAAGAGCAATAAAAGAGATATCTAGAGACATTATGGGGTAAGCAAGAAACCTGGTGCTAGGGAAATTCCCAGAAATCCACAAGGACGATCCCAGATTAGATTACTAGCAATAGTGGAGAGGGTGCCTGAACTGGCTTACTCCAGTAATCAGATCGGTGAATACCCTGTCATGATAGAGTCTTCATCCAGTAACTGACGGAAGCAGATGCAGCGATCCACAGCCAACGAGCTCAGGGAATCCAGTCGAAAAAGGGAAGAGGGATTATATGAACAAGGGGGAGTCAAGATCATGACAGGGGAATCTACAGAGACAACCAAAACAAGCTCATGGGAACTCACGAGCATTAGACTAATAGCTGTGTAACCGGCACGGGACTGGACTAAACCCTCTGCATACCGGAGACAGTTGTGTAGCTGGGTCTGTTTGAGGGGCTCCTAGCAATGGGATCAGGATCTATCCCTGGTGCATGAGCTGGCTTTCTGGATCCCATTACCTAAGGTCGGACACCTTGCTCACCCTTGATGCAGAAGGGAGGAGCTTGGTCCTGCTTCAACTTAATGTACCAGGCTTTGCTGTGCCCCCATGGGAGGACTTACTCTTTTGGAGGAGGAGATGGGTGGGGGGTTGGGGAGAAAATGGGTGGTGGGAACAGGGATGAGAGGGGTATTTGTGGTTGATATGTAAAATTAATAAAAAAAAATTTTAGAGAAGAAAAAAGAAAATGGAAAGAATTTAAATTTTACTTGAGTCCATTATGAATGTGTTTAAATTTTACATGCCATATAAATTTTACATAAATTAGAGTTAGAGCATGTTTGTAGTGTTCAAGAGAGCTACTTCTTTTTAGTTTCCATAATTCAGAGAAAAGTTGAAAATGCACAATGAGGATAAAGAGTCATTTTCTTCAGTGATAATCAAATTGAAAATATGGTGTTTATTTCCGATATTTCATGTAAATA